CTTTTCACGCTTTCGGGGAAAAACGCCTCCATATGTGTACAAGAAAACACGGTTTCGTTTTTCTTTTCGTGTTTTATTGGTCGATAAGAAGCACCCTAAGCAAATAACAACTCAAAAAGTCGAGAAATGATGGGATGGCCTCCAGACCCGTTTGGAAACCCGGATCATTCGCACGCTTCTACAAAGTTTGGTTGTTATGCAGGGAGATGAGGATGACATAGGGCGTGTACTAACGTCCCTTTACTGGACAGGGAACACGGAATAGGTAACTCATCATTATTGTCTGATTCGAGCGAAGCGAGATTTCTAATCTAGACTGCCGGCCCCCCGAATTGCAAGGGCTCGCTGAAAAACAAAAAACCTTGCGTGTATGTACCCGCTTTTTCTAGGTTTTCGACTACATCACTTGATTATAGAATGGGTCAGCATTTCTTCTTTTTTTTCGGAGCACGCAGCAGATTGCAGCTGCACACACGCACAGGCACACACACAAAGCAGACAACACACGCCCAGCGGGCACAGCGGATAGAATCGCGGTAAAAGACGCGTTCAGGTCAGTCATTGTTTGTCCAAACCGAGACATCCCATGGTGCCCTCGACTGCTGCTGTTGACACGCGGGGATTTATTGTACCACATATACATGATAAGCACGGAAACAGTAGAATGAGGACAGCAGCAGCCCCAAGACCTCCAACGCGCTGTTCCTTCTGTTCGGTTGTCTATGTGATCCTAACGCCCGGCGCTGTGCTGCTTCATGGGTGTTGGGGGCTTGGGTGCTGCTCTAGAACGTGTGTGAGAGATGTGTACCACCTCGCCAAACTGCCGTTTGAAAAAATGCCGTGAGATGGCCTGTTTTGGGTCGTAGACAGCCCCACAAACCAACGGCACTACGCAGCAGTAGAGCAATAGGGCCTCCGACACGCTAATTCTTTCGGATTGGTCATGTATATGATACTGACCGTCAGCGCCGCTGCCTCTCTATGATTGTTGAGTTCGTCAACCTTTCGACAGGGAGCGGGTCACACTTGGGTCACCACGGGAAAAAAGAGTGGAAGGACTTGAGGAAATCGCAGGCGACACCGTGACACCCAGTTTGCGACACTGCTCCCTGCCCCCAGTGCTGAAAACAGCAGGACGGGTGGACAGGGTCTTTTCAAGTGTGCTGTCCTCTGTGTCGGTGCTCATTTTTGTGCTTGTACCACCGCTCTTTGGTGAGCAAAGCCAGTTTGGCCTGTTGTGTGTCAAGCAAGGCGTGCATTCAGCGATGCAGGAAACGTTTTTTTGCGCCGATTTTTTGTGGACCGATCCAATTGACCGATCGGGGAATTCATTCACCGATTCGGGTATTTGGGGTGTCGATACGTAGGAATAAGCCTCTCCGTGACACGTACTTCCGCCCGTGGACGCACACTTCTGACGAGAGTTAAAACTATCAGCTGTCGCTCGTTGTAGCAACAGCTATCCTATCTTTGGTCAGCCACAAGAAAAAACTTTCCGGGAAACAAGAATTGACACACACGTTCCCTCTTTGAGGTAGTTATGTCGTACCATAATGTTAATACTCGCGGGTACTAAAATTAACCAACAGACAAAAGGTAACGTGGAACACAGGCTGTTCGGCGGCAGTTGAGGGCGTGGTGGTGGTGTGTGTGATCACTCTCGGGCATGTGGCTGCCACGGGTGCTGCATGCTACCAGTTCAAGGCATCGCCACGATCATCAGGTTTCTTGCATGCCAAAAAGCGGCGGCGGATGCTCGTGTAGCCGTTGTATGGGGGAACAGAAATTGTCGAAGAAATGGCAAGCTGCCGATCACCACAACTCAAACAGCAAGCCGTCAAGAGCGCTGTCGAGGGTGCGGATTGCATGACGACCACCGCCTGTTCTAGCCGATACCTAGCGCATGTGTTTGATGTGCGCTCGTCAACAGCTTCCCTCAATACCTACACCACCCACACGTGCTTCTGCTGCATCCAACAGTTGTATTTGTTGCCTTTGAGTACCCGCGGGCCGCACACGCGCTCTGAAATATTCCGCGTTCCTGGAAATGCGGTGTATGTTAGGACACAACGACACGCACCGTGTTCCCTGTCCAGCAAAGGGACGTTAGTACATGCCCTTTACACGCCTGTAATGCATACGGTACACTTTGGGCCGCATCAGGGTCAAATCGCTATGGAAATTGCGCATGTAAAACTTGCAAAAACTCACAGAGGCTGACATTTTCTGAACACGCTCCCAAATATGTTATGGGCTGGCGGGGCAGCGATTGCAGCCTACAGTAGAATACCCAAATTAGCACTTATCGGGACCGGGGAGGCGGGCATTACGAAATAAATCACAGGGGGGTGTTATCTTGCCCACAGGTCCCCCGAAACGTGGCACGAGACACCGATCATACACAAGGCTCGATATTGTAACCCAAAGTGAGCTAACATCCCATGGCACCTCGTACGAACAGTCTGTTACACTTTCTGCGCGGTGCAGGGATGCCTGTCAAGCTGTCGAGTGATATCATCCTCCTACAGACATGCGCGTTCCACACCAGCGCACCGATGCATACCTAAGTGCTGAGACAGAGACGCTCACCCGCTCATTCTGGTGTAGTTTCTTCTCCCGGTTTTCTCTCTCCTTCTCTCTCCCCGTGCCACCGCTGCTGCGGCTGTCGCTGCGGCTGCTGCTACTACGGGTGTAGCCAATCCATGTGTGATGCGGCGGCGCATAGCAGTGAACAATGCGACGGGTTGTCGATGAAAAGTGTTGCCGTTCGGCACCGTGCGGGTGCGGCATCTCCGCATCAGAGTATCAGAGTACTGCTCTAGAGAAGCAACCTCTAACCCCACCGCAACCCGACTCGCCGAGAGATCGGAAGGAGAAGTATTGTAGCAGTGCGAGGATCTATCCAAGGCTATGTACATCATGTATAACGTGAAGCGGCCACGACTATATTATTCTTGTACCTCGCGACGGTATAGTCTAACGTAAAGAGGCCACAACAACTATTTTTCTTGTACCTCGCGACGAGCGAGATTGTGTGAGAGACGGACTGCTGTGAACCCACCAACGGCACACCAATACCGAACAATAACAATGTGTGGGGAAAGGTTCCCTTCAGGCTATTTTCTACGGGTTGGTTGCTCTGGTAAAGTTAAACTTCCCTGTCGCCTGTGGACTTAAACTACGGGAGCAGAACAACAGAGGGAAGAGAACACGCCTTCTCTCATTCATCTGGCTGGAATGTTGATCTCGACCAATCAGTGCGCCCTGGAAAGTTGACCCTGCCATCCTTCCTTCGGCTGGTTCTGGGCTCACTCGATCGCCCAGAAAACCGGACCAAGATATCAAGACAAGACATACAGGTCCGATCGTTCGAACGTACGTCCGAAGCACCCCGGTCCGAATCAACGCATACCTCCTGGCGGCCAGTTTCAGCAAGCAAATCAAAGAGACTATAAAATGAAACGCGTTTGGTTTGTGAAGCAAAGTGATGACACAGGATGGCGTGTGTTTCTCGTCCAGAATATTATTGTGGTAACAGTCCCCCCATTTTTCGTGGTGACATGTATGCTACACGTGTTCCAGTGTAGTTCCAGTTTACTGCGGGATAGTTGTCAACGATGTAGAGTTTGGGATGAAATGAGGCCTCCGGCTACGAAAGCCCGGAGACTCCACCCAGGGTTACTACCCCCGCGTTGACGCCCTCCGTGTCGTCAACGCGGCAGTCGCTCAGAATACTAAACCCAGTCAAATCAAATAACTATTTAGCGCAGTTGGGTGGGCGGGGACGGCTGTTCTTCCTACCGTACTCTCCCTCTCCGTTAGGGTTGGGAATAAGGCTAAGGCTTGTCACGAGTAGGTGCTCTGTCCAAGCTTCTCTGCAGTCAGTCTGTTCTCATCTGCAAAACCCCTTTCGCGGTTCCATGATTTCGACATTATTTTACTGCGGGATACCAGGTAGTTGTCAACGATGTAGAGTTTGGGATGAAATGAGGCCTCCGGCTACGGCACGGGATCCACCCATACTTTGCCTTTCAGCTATTCATGCTGTGTCGGTGCCTGATGTCTGTTATTTTATCCCAAACTTCAAACTAGTCTATATATCCCGAACGCAAACGTTTCCGCGAAGCCTTCTTGCAGTGGCAAATCCACTGCTTGGATGTTCCGTTGCTCCTCCTGCTCCCTCCGATCCGGATCTCGCGGACGCTTAGCGGGTGAGCCCCCCCCGTGTATCATGGAGCCTACGTATCGCTGGGCTACCCTTCTCGTTTTCCACCCCACTAACTCCATAAGGGCTTCCACTGCCGTCCCCGCGAGAGACTGACTGGCTGACGGCTCCTCCTACCCTAAAGGAGTGCATAGCATACAGGCCGTGGTGGTCGTTCAACCGGCCGTCCCGCATATGACACTGCAGAGCCGCTGTCATGCGAGCGGCGGTCCACTGCGATGTCCCCCTCGAGCCATCTCCCTGGATCTCGGGAAACAAGTACCCCTCACGCATATTCCAACCCACGGACTTCGCGACGATGAAAAATTCTTGTACCGCCCGGACTGGACACAGTTCGTTACACTTCTTATCCCTTGTAGCAACGAGTGGGTGTGAGGAACGGCGAAGCGTCTTGCCAAAGTGAAAGTTGAAAATCATCCCTTGGCCTTCGGGGAGGCGCAACACCTGTGCTGCTCATGCGCATGCCAAATCGAAATCCCCGCTGCATCGTGTGGAAGGCGACTACAAACGCCGCAACGTCTCTACTGCGAGCCACTCGCTGCCCCACGGTTTGTAGCTGGTCTGCTGTGTTACGCATGTGCCGTACGAGCCGCAGAAGTAGCGGGGCCAACATGGGCCTAGCTTGTTTCACGGTAACTCCCGCCCGGCGCTGCTCGATCTGGGCGTACAAGAGGTACCGACGAACGGCCGCGCTATCGGCCGCATTACCTCGCTTCTCCCTCTCGTCCCACGGACCAGACTTTCCCAATACCTCGACCATGGCTCTCTTGAGTTTTGTGACGAAAGAGTACCGTACACTCCCAAGTTTTTTTTTTGTACAACTACAACCATCCAGGGTCACACAGGAGCGATGGCCAAATAGTAGATGTGAGACCGTGACCGCATTTATTGCACGAGAGCCAAAACGAATTATTATGCTGGCAAGGCCCTTGTATAACTATTATTATTGTTGGTTCTCCTTCCCCTTTTCATCAAAAGCCTTCGGATGCAGAAGCATCAATACAGTTTTACCTCCAGCAAGCAACTAGCTAGGCAGGCAGGCATGCTTTAATCCAACCTTGCAATGAAGGGGTCCCGATCTCGCATTACGCCCGTTTTACGTAAAAAATGAGGGGGAAGTGCTATCACAACGCTGTTGCGTGCAGTTGATGACGACATGGGCAAACAAACGTAGATCGAGCATTGATAGCGCTGTTGCATGAAGGTGAGAAAGAGAAAAAGCACGGAAGTCATGTATGTACAAAGGGGGTAGACTTACTCCAATACATGTATGTCTTAAGGAGGAACACAGAATTAAAGGGAGGGGAGCAAGTTTTGTTGCTCCCCACTTCGGGCACTCGGTTGTTGTTTTAGCGTTCTTGGACCAGGTCCGCTCGGCATTCAATCGGATAGTGCGGAAGCGAGGCTGAGATTCTGATTCTTCAAGCTACTTACTTCAAATCCCAAAAGATGTCAAACATCCATTTCCATCGAAAATTCAAAATACAAGTAAGCGCTAAAAACAACGCAAATACAGCGCTCAAACACTAGTTGCTACATTACGTAAGCCCGCCCTGGAAAGTTAGGATGCAGATACTTAGTCTTCAACCCAACGCTTACCGTCAAATATATCGAAAATGCGACTTTCCGTACAAAGCACAAACAAACCAACTAGTATCGGAGAGATCCCACACCACACAGCAGTGATGACTGCTGAGAACCACATCGCTGACGACGGAGCCAGCGAGAGTCAAACGGGGTAACAACGGGGTCTGGACGTAGAGAAAACGCGAACGTCGGCGTGACTATTACAACAATAAAAGAAGCTCACCCCACTCCAACATTCGCAAGCGGACCGCGGAATACTATATATGAGCAATCACAGAAAATGTAGCCGCAATATATCAAAGCACCGATCCAAATGGAGCGACCGCCAGCTGCGCCACGACGCCTAGCGGTGCACGTAACTCCTCCTTCCCTGGAACGGTTGGTCAAAAAACCTAGCAGTATCGGTCAACGTCATCAAATGTGGGATGCTCGATGTGACCCAATCCCCAAGAATTCGGCCGACGGAAGACCTAGGCGTGGACGTGGGCTGCGGCGGACTCGGTGTCCACGAGGCTTTAGGCGATGTCTTCGATCACTGCGTGCGATAAGTCGATACGTTCACATTCAAAAGTTAATTCCCGGGAGGCGTCACATGGTCTAAGATTTCGAAACTGCCATTCCTTCAGTCGATTTTCTTATGGCGCGCCATCGTGGGATAGGTTACAACAAACTCGTTCATCGCCTTTCGTGTGAATTTCAACGTCCAAGCTTATGATGTTATCAAAGATGTTCTCAACGCAAGTGTCGCTGAAACGGTCGGGAAACGTGCAGAGGCCAGCCTCCGGACAACGGATTTCATAAACGGTATCATGGCATTGTAGAGTCTATAATGCACACTGTACGCGTAGAGACCGAAAGTAGAACCCAAAACAGAAGGCAAGTCTAAAGAGAGAAATAGAACACGGAAAATATGTTCACAATAATAGCGAACGATTCTTACAACAACCGCTCGGGCATTCATCAAAGAACTTTCGCAAATGTGGGTGTCAACATTGTTCCAGATACAAATCCTCACGTGTGCACTGGCCGTCGCCGCCGTCGTGTTTGCAGTACCACGTGACGGTGGGCTCCGTAGCAGTGCCGGCGACAAGGCCGCTGGTGTCAACATTAATCTCAATCCCGAAGTCGCAAACGCACGCGTAGTCGGAGTCGCACGAGGCAGTACCATCGTCGCCGCACTCCAGGGGATCGATTAGGTTGGAAATTGTGGCAGTGCTAACCGAGCCAGAAGTCGGTCCACCACATGAGCAAGACCCCTGGCCGAAGGCGGATGATGCGCTGAAAATTGCCACCATCAGTGTGCACAGCGGCAGGGCCCAGACTTTGCCGAACATCTTGCTGTCGTCCGTTTAAATTATTCTGTGTTCGACGAGATCAGCGCGGGGACGAAACGATTTGGGTTAGAACAATCTTCTTCCGGTAAGCTATTGAATGATTAATTAATTAGCGCACGACAATGAAATGCTCTTGTTTAGTGTTGTGGTGAGATTTCCCAAGGGTTTACTGGGTAATGTTACAGCCGTGAAGATACCACGTAGTACCACCGTTTGAACTCTGAGAAGAACCGCTCCGAGGAGCAGTTTTTTCTTGTCGAAGTTTTCGATGACCGGTATTTGGCCTTTTGTATTGGTCACGGAGCCGATAGGAGGGGTTCATTCGAGGGGGAAGGTCTCACGATGTGGCGCGGTTTTGGGTTTTGATGCCACGAAGCGGAACGGTGTTCCCTTAGCACGTTTTTTTTGCAGAGCGGCTTGGTTTCCTCCGTGCGTGAACCGCGCGGAACCGGGACCTTGGCGACTTTGACGCGTGAGAAAAAAACACCAAAATCATTTGGGTTCAAGTATGCGTTTTTATTGACGGAGTAATTGCGATTTCGAGCAACACGGTGGGTTTGATACATACAAAATTGATATTTTTTCATGGCGGGGACTTGTGTATGGAGGTCGCCCGTGACACAGAACGCACACTCGCTGCCGAACACCCCACACGACACACGAACGAGCAGTTAAATTGTTGGTTGCAGTCGGGTGAAGGGCCATTGCCCGTGTAAAGATACCTCCTTGACCTACTCGTTCCTGCGGCACGTTCTAAACAGCAGCAGTTGAGGGCGTGTCTTAACTGCACCCTTTTGGACAGGGAATAGGGAACAAGACCTCGGATTGCTGTCTGAGGCCTTTTATTAACGACCACAAAAAAACGAAAAAATGCACGGACGCGTGCTTTCTTGCAAATAAACATGAAGGCATTTTTCCCCCGATCCGACAAACAGAGCAGCGAGTATTTTTTTCGGGGCTTGCTGCTTTCACGGATCCGGGGAATTTGACACAAGGGTCGGGCAGGCCCCCCGCGGGCGCTGTAACGTCACTGAGAACGCTCGTAAGACCTGCTAGACTCACATCCAGGTCTGTCGAGGGGACGGACAGGCGGCAGAAGCCGCGTCCAGCTTGTTCTTGGTTCATATGAGATATTGCGTGGTGCTCTCGCCTTCAACTGCTGCTGTCGGTACTGGAGAATGTTTTTCAACCACACATGGCCAACACGGAAACAGTAGAACGAGTACAGCAGCAGCACCAAGACCTCCAACGCGCTGATTCCTCCGGTTCGGCTGTCTATATGATACTAACGCCCGGCGCTGTGCTGCTTCGTGGGTATTGGGGGCTTGGGTGCTGGTCTAGAAGGTGTGTGACAGACGTGTCCCGCCTCACCAAAACGCCGTTGGAAAAAGTGCGGCGAGATGATGCGTTTTTGGTAGGGCACATCAACTTCAATCCACGGCACAACGCAGCAGTAGCGCAACAGGGACTCCGACACGCCAATTCTTTCGGATTGGCCATCTATATGATGCTGGCCGTCAGCCCCGCTGCCGCCCTATGATTGTTGAGCTCGTCTGTACCTTTGGGCAGGTGTCAAAGAAAGGAGTCGCAACCCTGAAAAATGAGCCGGCAAACTGAAGAAATCGGAAGCAACAGCCAGGTGGCGCCACTCTGCCCTGCGTCTTTTGTTGCTGAAAACTGAAAACAGCGGGCCGGGTGGACGGGACCTTTGTAAGTGGGCTGTTGTTTGTGTCGGGCGCGGCTCATTGCGCTTTTACCGCTGCTCTATGGCGAGCAAAACCAAGTCAACCTGTTGTGTGCCGAGCAAAGCGTGCTTTCAGGGAAGGAAACGTACGTTTTGCGATGACATCACGAGTAGAACGAGCGGAAAATATTCGGGTCTTGTTTTCACTGTTCCGTGAAAAAATGCGTGAATTTTCCATTGCATGAATAATAGCCCTGATCGGCAAGCTTCACAACATGACCTTCCCGGAAACAAGAGTTGACACATTTGAGGCAGATAAACGCCGCACAATAATTTCAATACCCCGGGGAGGGTATTATAATCGGCAAACAGACCATGGGAAACGTGGAACACGGTCTCTTCGGTGGCAATTCTGGAGGTGGTGGGATGTGTGTGATCAATCTCGGGCATGTGGCTACAACAGGTGCTGCATTCACTTCAAACTTCTGCGCTCACAGCGCTAGTGCCGTTTACTCAACCCGTGGTCACACAGAAGAGCCCCTCTCTCCTCCCCTCCTGCGGTGCTTTGCCTTCGATTCCTAATGAGAGAAGGGTTCAGCACTCTCTTCCCTCTGTGTACACACGAACTAACGCTATCTACTAGGCCATGAGCGGAAGCGAGAGAAAAACTCGCTTTGCAAGAAAAGCTCGCTTACGCCGTGATTCGAACCCCTGACCTGACCTCTAGAAGGTTTCGAGGATACCAACTAGACCACCGGGGCGACCGGTCACCTGCATGCTACCAGTTCAAGCCGTGTGGTCATTACCCCGTCATCGGTGTCTCGCATGCAAAAAATCGGATGCGAATGCTCATGTAGCCGCTTGCGGGGGAACGGAAAGTGTCGGAGAAACGTCTAGCTGCTGATAAGCACTATTCAAAAAATATGTCTTCCAGCACCCTTGAGCGTGTGGATCGCATGACGAGCACCACCTGTTCAAGCCGATACCTAGGACGTGTTCATGAGCGCTCGTCAACAGTTTGCCTTGAAACCTACTTAACCAATCCTTCTTCTACCCCCCACCCGTCTTTTTGTGGCATTTAATGGTTGGTTTATTTCGCTTTTGAGTTCCTGAGGCCGCGCGGGCGCGCTTAACTGTTCCTCGTTCCGTGGAACTGTGGTGTATGGTATATGTGGGTGTATTGAGTATGCAGAAGCCCGTACACACACATCGTGTCTTGTGCAAGACAAGCGTCGTGCAAAACCCGTGACTCGTTGAAAAATCGAGGCTCTATTGCGGTTTCAACAGTGGATTTTGCGGTGTTAACCGCGGGTTATGTAACGCAGACACTCAAACCGCTCCGTGAGAAATACGCTTGCACGAATTGTTGGGGAATCTCACGCAGAGCGGTTAATCCGAGGACAATATTATCCCGGAGTAGCGCGTTTTCTTGTCTCATGTTACGGAGCGGAACAGAGCGGTTCTGTTTCTTTGAAAAAATTCAAAGGGCGGAGCGGAGCTGTTCAAGCCGTCCCCTCCGTAGAAAAAGGCTCTCTGTGAACAACCCTACACAATGAACAGGTGTAGTGTCCGGAAGGATCGGTGGAAGATTTTGATTTGCGGGCTTTGCTCGGGAACGGAAGCACTGTTGAATGCCGTCGTTATTACACAGACTGCGCAACCACTTAGGGCCGGTCTTAACGAAGAAATCAGATCTCGAAATCACATTCAGATTTGGTTATAAGACCGGAAGATCCACAGAACTCTTTCATTGATTGGCTGAAATGTTATGGAACCCGTCGAATATTTAGGACTTAAAACAGGACGACCCAAACCCAAATCGGGATTTGAAAAAAGGTGAAATCATTTAGTCGGATCCCGATTTGGGTGAACAGCGTCCATAGTTGCGGGACCACGGTCTACTCGCATACACGGCGCGTGCCCACCTACCCCCATCCACACGAACTCCATCCACCGCCGAGCACAGAGGAAAGAAAGAGCACAAAAAGCCAACCCAAAGGGAGGGTGACTGCGCATCGTTGTTGCACGTGACTGATGCCGAAAAAAACGTGTGCGGGATGTGTTGGTCTGTGGGGCAATCTCCCGTGGGTTACCGAACTTCAAATGCACATACAAATTGGCAGCTTTCCGTCGGACGAGGGTCGATTCAAACTCTCACATGCATGCATAGACATCGTGCCAGTACCGCACAGAGGCCATTTACGCGTTTGGTGTGTGCTTCTCGGGAGCCATAGCTCCCCATGTGGTGTGGCCACGTCATGACAGTACGTCACAACAGCAATCTGGCAGTTGGCAAGCGGCGGACCTCTCGGGTTGTTCGTGGTGGACATCAGATATTCGTTTCCATTTGGCAGATCTCCCGTTTAGACACACAGGCCAGTTCTGTCCGGATTTGGGTAGATCCGACTCTTTTATTCTTATATCGAAATGTGATTTCGAGATCTGATTTCTTCGTTAAGAACGACCCTATTTACGAGATTGCAGTCAAGGGAGCTAGTCCAACCACTGCGGCGTGAACGTTCGTGCCGCTTCCCTTATTCAGTCTGATCTCTCCGTTATCCTTCCTTTCTTTCTCAATCACTCGCTATCGCTAACTACCAGGCAACACTGAGCTAGAGGAAATGCTAATGCTTGCACATCGCTTGCTGCGGCTTCTACATAAATAACCATTGTACCCTTGCCTGCGAATTTGTAATGTCGGGATACCAGGAATCTGGGCAGGTGGTCGGGATATTACTACAGGTATACCACCCAGGATGGTACCCAGGATGGTGTCTTGGTCGAAGGGTCCAAATCCCACAGTAAAAAACGGGACATATTTTACGTGACGCTCGACGCTTGCTTACTAGTTGCCTCAACCTGAGCACTGTTCTTTCCCATTTTCTAATTTTGAGCGGGAGTTTACCTAGCATGTCCGGATTTTTGTTTTTATTTCAATGCCTTTGCCGTTTGCACCACGCAGGGGGGCCACGAACGGAGAGTTTGATTGATTTCTCCGGCGGCCGGCAAGGCGGGGACTCGAGCACGATCGATCCTCTTTCGCAGAACCAAAAGGTTCCTCATGTCCGCTTTATCGCTCTATAAACGGAATCATCTGAAGCTCGAACACCTGCCGGGCACTACGGGAATGTTATCGCGAACACTGAGGTGTGACATCCGAAACGCGTAGTACATGTACTTCACGGCTGCAGCCATCGCTCAGTACATGACGTGCGTCACTGTACAACTCTGCACCCGTATTTTCATATGTTGTTTGGGCCCACCCGCCCTCACGGCGGGCGGGGGCGCTAAGTGCCCTATGTAGTATAGGAACATACGCGCGAAGAGAGAGAGGGGTGAAAGTGGATCTCGGGATGTCTGTGTCTTTCTAGACCATCCTTCTGTGCACGGTTTGCGAATAGCGCACTCTGGTTGTTGGATCGTCGGTGTTCTTGATCAACTCGAGGTTGGAGGAGTAATACTATTCTAGTAGGGTCTTGGTCGTTCGCTTGGTAGTGTGATCGCCCCAGAGGTGGCGTTTTACCCCAACTCTGCAACACTGTCATAATGACTTGAAGAATCACCCGATAGACTCATTCGAAAGCCTGCCCACATTCACCGCGGCCATCGAGGTTCACGATCGCCACAAACTGAACAACGTTGTAGGTTCGCAAAATACACGGGGTAGTTTGATGTAGGTGGGGTTCGCTACCAACTCGCCTATCATGGGGAGCAGGGAGCGTAGACCTGCCTATTTTCTAATATATGCTTCGGGCGATGGCATGGCGTTGGCGTGATCCTGAAGCAGAATCTCTGACTCTTACCTTTGAGATGAGCCGAAAATCCAGCAGTGTTCAAAGAGCCGATGTAATGTGAAAGACAGGAGTGGGCCAATGTGATGTGTGTGGGTGTGGCAGATTGCGCGGCGAGGTGTTCGGGTGTTCCGAGTCTACACCAGCTGTCTACAAGTTGGTCCGCAGTCACAGATCCTTTTTTTCTTACTTCGAAGTACTGCTGCTGTACTCGGAGCAAGCAATAGTATACGTAGTCGACATTTGTTTCCAGCAAGAAATGGTTGGCGGAAACAACTTGTTCACAGTTGTGCGTTCCCTGCGCTACCAGGAAGGAAGGGTGGCCCCTGGGCAACGAGCGAACGTCTAAATTAATCACCTTCACTACAGCTACATACATACTGTCATCGGCATATTTTGATTGAAAATCCGAGATTGGCCTGCAAGATTTTTTTCTGGGGAAATTATGCAAGAAGACTACGTCTGGGCACCCAACAACTAACTGATTGTTACTCCTTACCATATGTGATATCTCAGCGAACACTAGCGGACTGCTGTATCATGCAAAAACAAGAGATGATGATGTGTTGATAGGAAGTTAGTTTCAGGTTCGGTCTGCTCTTCATCATTGATGGCGCGGCAACCAACCAAGCGCGAGGGACGAAAGAAAGCGCGTGAGAGACGACGATTGATCCAAACATCCATCTATCTATCTGTTTCTCGTTGATGACATGTTGTCTTCTTCATCACACACGACTAAAAAATATACCACGTCCGTTCCGGTCTCCGCTCTCAGAAATAAATGGAGCGAGAAACATCGACAGAAAAATGACTATTTTTAGTCTAGAATAACCATGGAGGAGGCGGGTAGATGAAGTGGTGTGCATGCATGCATATGAATATGTCCCTCAGAGACGAAATTTGGATTTTGCGCACGCACGCTCCGTTTGCATCCATCCTGGTTCGAGCCCTAATACCCCGCCCGAGTAGATGCATTGTTGTTGTTGTTGTTGTTGTTGTTGTTGTTGTTGTTGTTGTTGTTGTCTTCACATTAAAAACCGTTCCGATCTCTCTCTACCCAGTACCTTCGTATGTCCGTACTGATCCAACACTCGACGCGGTCGATTCCCGTGGTCACAGGTTAACTTGTGCGTGGTCGATGCACCGCCGTGGGAGAGGTGCCAAATTTGCGCATACTGGCACCACGGTGGTATGTATGTAGTAGAGGGTGGTGGTTAGTGTGGACCCAACGATGATATATGAAATGAAAACACGTTGAGCCACATCTATCTATCTATCTATCTCCGCACGTGGAAACCAAGTCCACTAAATTGTGCGGGCCAACGCACCGGTATGCATACTACGTTGTTGATGGCGGTGGTTTCTCACCCACCCCTCGGGGTTATTGTACTATTCATGTGGTATGTTGTTAAGATATTATTAGTCTATGGCACCGGGGTACCGGGGTGCGAAAAAAGAACGGTGTTGGCTGCACTATCTTTCAAGTTTCGGATCACCCTCGCTGGCACGGCGACGACAGTACGGTGCGACAATACTGCTGAGTCATCGGCCGACAGCGTGGCGGCGCCAGCGGGGGCAGTGGAGGATGCCAAAACGGCGCAGGAGAAAGAGGCTCTCCGCAGGCCGCCTCCTCCGCAGCGAGCGACGGAATCGGTGGCGGCGAGACATACATATATATATATGCTACACATACATGCATTGCATGCACTGTGTCTTTATGATGCATGTAGTGAAAAAACCGATTCGGCCGCTCTTTAGCTGTATACTTAATTAAGGAATAATAAAAAAAACACACACACAGAAAGACTACACATACCGCTGTCAATCAAATGAGGTGAATAAAGGTGTCAGTCGGTCTCGCCACAAATATATATGTCGCGCGGTGCACGCACGCACGCGGGATTCATTGCGTTGCACATCATTGCAGGCGGTATGTCCCCTGTGATCGGAGTGTGTTTTCTCCCGAGGTGATCTGTGGGACATAGATGACCGGGGTATTAGAGTTAGGAAATATAAATCCAAACAAACTCAGAAAGACTATACCCGTCCGTTCGTTCGGGTGCAGGTAGGGTTCATCCATCCGTGGATCCGGGGACCGCCTACGCCTATATATTAATAAACTATATGGATCCGGAGTGCCATCTCCGTAGATACGTACGCAATGTACGGTCTGTTGGGCCCCCTTCACGAGTTTTGGTTCTCTCTCTATTTATTTGGTTTGCGCGACGATTCGACATCCTTCTCTTGTAGGCTGGCAGTCGGTTGGACTTACATACATACATCCAGACACAGCAGTTTGGACGCCGAGCTTTGGGTGGTGTTGTAGGAGCCAAGAAGGCAGGAAACCTTTTCGGCGAGGACTTCTCAATCGTCAACTGCGTTGGCCGGCGGCGGCGGAAGGCGGGCGGTGTGTTGCCGTTGCTGGAGCGGAGAGAGGAGAGAGGAGAGACAGCGCCACCCTACCTATCCAGCCATGTCCGCGTGTGTCTATCGGGGCACGATGGTGCACTCAGTAGCCATTGGGAAGGTCAAGGCAAGTCACGCGCCCGTTTTGCTGCAATAAACTTACGCATGATATAATTTCGCGAGCTGCCAGGGACTACTGTTGTGTATCAAACGATACCACCGGCCTGCTGTTGTAGCTACTGTATTGTTGTGGACTTTTTTGTTGTGTTTCACCAAACGATTATTTACACTGCTGTGTCCAACACAGATGATCAGTAGATTCGGTGATTGTCAATTGCAATGATGGCTTTGGTTGGTTGTTCTTTTTCACTGTGCTGCATGTCCACGGACGCATCCTGACAGCAATTCAGACAGCAGTTGCGCGCCCCGAACTTGTACCATGCCTGCCATGGTGTATTGTACAGGCAGCACTCCATACAGCTGTACGCTGTAGTGGACATTCGTTTTGGTAAAGTGTAGGACAGGGGGGATGATGCTGCTGTAGTCGAATGTAGTGTGTGGATGGGAAGTTCAGTTTTTGGGCAAACGTGCTGCAGGGATGTAGGTGTACCTCTTCGGGCTTGTGTACCCTTTTCTTGCTAGTTTGCGTGTTCTTTAGATCTTCTGATGGCTCTAGCATTTTTGTGACCACGGACCGCGTCTTTGCTAGATTTTGGGATTAGCAACTGACACGAGTTTAATGTGAAGACAACAACAACAACAACAACAACGTACGTCAACTCAGCTCACAGCTAGTCTCGAGATGACGAAATACTGCATGGTCTGTTCAGAAAATGTGGCCGTCATTACATGTTTTACGTACGTACCGCAGCAGTGGTGCTTCTCTCGGTGTGCTTCGCGGTATGTATGTGCAACGCAAGCCACGGTAACGATGTAAGTGTTTCTGTGCGACTTGTTGTAATCTTGGACAAGAGTGCCGGTCACTTGCACCTTGCGTGGCGCATCTGTTTGGTGTGGGTTCGATTCTACAGCAGTTCTGCGGTTTGCAGCGCTCTTCATGCTTGCATGTGAGACTAATGTTACCGAGCTCGCCAGCGCACCCATATTTGTATTCAACATGTGACAAATGAAGGAACACCCTGATGTACGTGTACCCACAAGTAGCTGATCAACAGCAACGCACCGACGTCCACATGACATGTAGAGCGAAGCTTTCTTGAGAGTTAGGGCTAGACCAAACACCTACCATTGACAGGCCGCCCCTTTTTTGTCCTCTGGACGGCATGGGGTATCGGGCGCTCGGGAAAGGGCGAGCGAGGTGGAGGGGGGGGGGGGTTCTCTCCTGCCTGATACTGTATTCAAAGGAGGTTGACCCCAAGGGAATTGTAGTTGTTGGTATCCGTGCTGCGGGGGTGGTTGTCACTGCGTATGCAGAACGCGCCCGCACTTGTAGACTTTAACCTTTAGGTCGAGGCTGGGGATCTTGGTTCCGAACGTCATCCTACGAATGGCCGCCGTATAGGTTTTAGTGTAGGGGGTCTTAACCGAGCTCACAAATGGTGCTCCAGTTCTTAGTTTTGGAGTTTTTCGAGGCTATATCGACTTCTTCTCTGACAAGTTTTGAAGCGCGGGCGCTCTCTGTAATAGGAAAGTTTGTCATTGAATCAGAACCCTGACGGCAGTCATCCCCTCTGGGTCTCCCGAAGATGGTGTTTGCTGGTACCAAAACTGCTGTTCCTATCGGCCATTCCGTCCTATAACACACATGTCCTGGGCAGAGCCCTCCTGTTCCCGTTGAATATCTGAACGGCACCCTCTCTTCTTGGAACGCATGGTATTCAGTATGGTTCATACGCAGCAAGTTGGCATCTTGTTTGGATTGGCTTGCTGCTGCCTTCAATACAAGTATTGAGTCTCGAACTCGAACAATGCAAACATGAGTCTTGGGTGCACACGAGTTCGCAAACCTTGGCGCTTTGATTGATGCGCCTCCTCCGCCTCGCAGGCAAACACATAACGCAAAATTGGGGCAAACTCCTAGCGTCATGCGTTGAGCGGTGTAACAAAACGCCGAGAACGAGATGGATACTCAGTATTTAGTGGATTTGTGCGAGGTGTGCGAATGGCTGGCGGGGGAGAGAGAGAGAGATGCCGAGAGAAAGATACGTAGATAGAAAGTGCTTCATGCTCATCTGTTTGTGGTTCTGTGATGCACGGGTAGGTTGCGCGGTTCGCCTGTGCTTCGTGCCCACCTGGCGTAGTAAAAGAACTCGCTTGCCCGGAAATGATTCGACATTAGTGCACACTCGATCAGTTCCACGCAGTGCAACCTTTGCTGGACGAGTTTTATCCTCGCAACTCGCCTTAGCGTCTACATATAAGCAGACGACCGTTGTAGGCGACTTGTAGGCGACTTGTCTCAGACAAACACAGGGTTGCTTCGGCCTCTTGTGCTTTGTGTTGTTCGACATCCAATTATTTTCTGCCGTGCGCATTGCGTGAGTACTGACTACCCTACGGCCTTGTTTCTCTCAAACTGAAGAGCTCCGACCTCAGGTCACACGAGGGAATTGCTCAGCGGTGCACGCCATAATATTCCGACCGTCGCGTGTGTGTGTATGTCTGTACCAATCGAGTCGAATGAAATCGAATATGATCGTGAATCCTTTGCAGATGCTGACGGACGCGGCGATCGTCGTGAACGAGGACGGTGTGATCAGTGCCGTGCACGACATGAAAGACGACGGTGCCGAGGAGACCATGGCCGACCTCATGGCGCAAGGGGTGGAAGTGGCGGACTTTCGAGGGAAGCTCATAATGCCGGGATTCATTGACGGGCACGCCCATGCGCCTCAGGTGGATAAGAAGGGTGGTGTGTCAGTTCTTGGTGAATTTGATGTCGATCTTTGAGTCACGATTTGACGCTGATGTTGGAAAGATGTTTTTTATCAGCGAATGAGATGGATGACGCATGCACGTGACACGAAGCACCGCGTTGGGGGGTAGGAATGTAGGAATGCTTTTGACGTGGCATCATGTGCCTCCTCTTGTCCGGTACCGCCGCTGTGACGATGATTTTAAGACACACAATGTCTGGATCTACCGAATGATCTTGTTCGCATGGATGACGACAGTAGCCTACTCTCTCCCCTGTTTCAAAGGTTATTGCGGCGACTATGTTTAGCGAATCAGCCCTTCGTCTCCTCTTTAAGGTTGACAAACATGTACCCTACTGGCCTGTTGGTGCGTGCATGGCTCTCGTGGTGATAAACGCAGTATGTGTATCGGGGGACTGGGATGGACCTACCGCTGCTGCAGTGGCTGGAGACGCACACATTTCCGGTGGAGGCAAGGTTTGCAGACCCCTCGTTCGCAAGGAAGGTGCGTAAGGGTGTCGAGCTGTTTGGGCGGCAAATGAGCAAATAGCAGAAGCACACATGCCGGTGCTGCCTGTACCATGCATATTGGGCGAGGTGGAGAAGGTGATCGTTTTTACTCAACCTCTTTCGAAAGGAAGACCGTTGCCTTTTTGTTGCATCGCGTCCCTCAGATTGCACGTTTGAGATTTTTAGATATTCACGCTGCTGTGTCGTGAGTTGGTGGGGAAACGACCAACCGCTCGGGAATGACGTGTCACTACGTTTTATAATTTGAGGCAGCAGAGATGTTTACTTATCGTTTTGCCAGATACTATGGTGGTTTTGTTTTTTCGATTTGAAAGCCGGAGGTGCCCATGGGAGGTTTCACAGCCCCGCTAGGAAGTGGTAATTCTTCCGAAAGGCATTGGGAAACACTCCACTTCACATCGGCACTCGAAGTCTCTCTCGCACGGACCAGTTTGCGTTCAAACATTCGACGCTGTATGTTACACTGCTGCGAGCTTCTCTTAGCCGAGTTTGGGGAGATACGGTGGAGACCACGCGTCCTTCACGCGTGGAACAATATACTAAATAGTAACTTCCGAATCGGAATTGTTGGAAGAAGCTCGTTGGAAATTTTATATCGGATGCATTCTCTTCGAATGCCCCATTCTAGCTCGCCAAACTTGGCTCCCAGAACCTCGCACACGTGGACCATTTGCTTGCAATCAGGTATCCGTGGGGCGAGCACCATGTCCCAACGTGGTTCAAGCTGAATTCAAACCTCTTTTGCAGAATTCCTTTAGGCCGGGACGGGTTGCTACCAAATCCCACGCCATTCCCAGATTTCAGATCGGACAAATTACCATAGCATCTTCCGTTCGGCTTACTGTTTTCGGCCTTGACCTGCTAGGAGGTGATTCGCCGACTCGGCTGGGTGGGTGAGCTGTTTCTGATCAACGCGTAAGTAGTCAAGTGACTCGGAAATTCGGAACACACGACACCCCGAGTAGCTCTAACCCTGCCCAATACACGGGTTCTTGAGTATGTTTATTACTGTAGTTTATCTTGCTTCTGCAACCCATTTCCAGATACCCCAGCAGCATTATTCCGGGTACTGTAGTTTCTCTACACCATAAACTTGAGCGTGCAGATCACACTCGCACCCTGTTTGGCACGTTTGCTTCGGTGTCGGCACAACCTGCATGATGTATCCTGCTGTGTTCGTTGCGTGTCAACAGGCGTACCAGAAATGTGTGCGGCGACACCTGACATGCGGCACGACCACATGCTCGTACTTCGCCAGCTTACACCTGGAGGGCACCAAGGTGCTCGTAGACGTCATCAGGGGACTAGGCCAGAGAGCCTACGTGGGGAAGGTGTGTCCAATTTCACCCCATGGACCTTGAGTATCTTGAGTCGGTGTGTGTTGGTCTTGCGTCTCTCTACTGGGGCCGTTTTTCTTTGATAGTGCTTTGCCTGATCGTGACGTGTAGCGAGATATGTTCATTCGGTGCCTTGCTTCAGCCACCTCTTGCGCCTCGATGGTGACCCCCACTCCGCTTGGTGCCCGTCGGAGTGAACCCCTGTGAAAGGTGCTTCTTTACAGCTTCTCGTTTTGGGGGGGATTGGGTTGTGCGACTATTGTATCGCGGTGGTGATCGTTCTGTGCCTGTGTGTTATCGCAACAGCTCAGTGGCGCCTCCGATTAGCTTTGTCTCGTGTTGTCTGATCGGCGCTCCTTGCCTCCGCGCTTACTGTCCTGCTTGCCTTGTCTTTCGTGATTTCCCGTATTTGTCTTCGATTTTCGTGATTCCACGTGTTGTTCGGATGTGCGGGTGGCACTACAGGGTACCCAACACTCAACCCCGGTAAAAGTCCACGGGCCGGTCCTAGTTGACGGAACGGAACACAGCTAGTACCTCAAATCTTCAACACACATACACTCATTTTTGTGCGATTGTCGTCTCCAGCTGAAAGCAGCACGCGAGGCGCACATGCCTTCGCTCCCGGTGCATTCGACCCGGACGTGGATTACACCTGCTTGTGTCAACGTGAACAAAATCAAACCACCACCGTACGCCACAAGCGCTGGCTGCGCCCTGGGTTACCCTCGGCTAACAAGGCTTCAACCTGCCGTGAATGAAACAAGTCGGTCGACCTGCTACACCAAATAGACGCTCTCGGCAATCGGCCCCACGACGCCAAGAATGTGCACGTGCGCAGGTGAGCATGGACAGAAACTCGCCGGACTACCTCCGGGAGACCACGGAAGACGCCATGCGAGACGCAGAAGAGTTTATCAAGTTCGGCTCGGAAGAGCTGGACGACCCGCTCATCACGCCCGTCGTAACGCCGCGTTTCGTGCCCTCCTGCACATCGGAGCTCATGGCTCATCTAGGAGAGGTGTCGCGAAAGTATGGCGTGCCGGTGCAGTCTCACTTGTCCGAGTCGCCGGCCGAGATCGCGTGGGTGAAGGAGCTGCACCCAGAGTGAGTTGTCAAGCTCGAGATGACACGAGACTAGACCAGATCTCTGAAAGGGTTCTGGTGTACCTACTTGGAAGCAGGACAGCGCGGGTCGGTGGTGTTCTGAGGTACTGTAGTTGTAGTTTTCTTGATGGAAGTTCGGCACCCACGCAATCGGCGCGGTGTTTGGGATGTACCACTCTGCGTGAAATCACAACGATCGTCCGGATACAAATGTGATTGCCCCAATTACTTCGAGGTAGAACTCATTGTCGTCGTATGGTTGTAGTTTTTTGGAAGGGAAGTCGAGAGGTTGGTGACGACGCGTGTCCCATGGACAGTGTCAATTAGTATTCAAATGTTCTTCGAAACCCGCCCTGCTTGAGACGTGTTTCGTATGGCACACAGACCTTATGCCTGTTGACTCGACTTGACTCGACTTGGCATGCCTGGCCTCACCTTCTCACGCCCGACCATGCCGTACCGCCATGAAATCATGGGCACATCAGGATCGAAACCTACACGGGCGTGTACAAGCACTACGGACTCATGCACGAGCGATCGTACTTTGCACACTGCATCCACTGCTCGGAGGAGGAGCGCGTGATGATGCGCGACACCAAGGTGAACATTGATGTGACAAGAGCTGTACGAAATCGTTAAAGCACAACATACCGAAGGCGCTTGGTGAAACGACTGGCTAAACGGAACGTCTCCGCCGATGTATGGCCGAGTTTGGTGTGCTTATCTTACGTGGCCGCGAGTAAACCATTCCACAACGTCCGATCAATGGGATGGCACACATGAGTTATTGAACAAGTCGAAATTGCCTACGGTTCGTGAAGCACGCGGGTGATGGCAGGGTCACGGGCCCAACAAACGGTTTTCCACAAGATTTTGACCGTTCCTCAATAGCTCGATGTTTGAACAACTCCACTCCTCGGAGTCGCCCTGGCGGCCCTTCGTCAAACTGGCTACAGGGCCGCCGCACTGTTCTTATACTTTCTTCGCGTTATCACAGCCGCAAGGTGTAGACCGTTGTGATATGAGCTGGGCGCCGTCGCACCGGCGTGTCCCGTGGGTATCATTTGTGGCGATGCCTGTGTTTTGCCTCGCTCCCACAACTCTGCCACAACCCTTCTCGCCTTGCCTTGTCTGATTCGCGAAGGCCGCAGTAATACACTGTCCGTCGTCGAACTTCAATCTCATGAGCGGCGTCGCCAACGTGAGGAGGTACCTGAATGAAGGCGTCAAGGTCAGACAAGAGGAACTCTGGACTTTTTGTTGATATGTTATTAGTACGTACGCCCAACAGGCCCCGTCCCCCCAGCTTCTCTGCCGCCAGGGGGCTAGAGGCAAAACTCCCCGTGCAAAGCGAAGCAAGGTTCGGGGCGGGTAAAGGGGAGTAATCTTTTTGACCCCGGCAAGGCGGGTGGTGGGACTTGATTGGGTTGAGTTGAAGACATTGCAGAGATATTTTCTCTTATCTGAAGCACATTTTTCATGTATACCAACGAAGAGTTGTGGTGTTTTGCTCTCTCTGAGTTATTCCAAGACCATGGGTTGGCTGTGCAGCAGCAGTACTTTGGTGTTCACGGTCGTGGAAGTTTCCGTTTCTTCTTCCTGTGGTGTTGAAACGTTGGAGTATTGGAATGAACCACAGCTGGCAAAACAACGGTTTGGGCCAAGTATTTCCTTCGCAGTTCGATTGCACAGACCATGGGCTGGTAATTTTTTGGGGCGCCGGGTCAAACATTTCTTGGAAACCTTGTAAATAGTTGACTTCGTGCATGTGTAAGTCCGATACCAAATAGCCAGTAATCGAACGCATGCACAGCTGTATAGCACTACAAAGCACAGCAGTTAGCATCAAACGCGTCCTATTCCATGAAAAATCGTGCTTTGGGGGTGTTAGCCTTCCGCGATTGCCCTGACCACTGTGTGGCCTCATGACACGAGTCAGCTCTTTGCTCAGCTTTAGAGTGCCGGCGATCTGGCTACACCTCGCGGTGGGTACCACTAGCTAGCGCAGCGTGTTTTGGGTGCTCGGGGCTTGTAAATGTGCGGGAAAGGTTATGTGTCGTGCTGCCTTACAGCATCGAAACCAGCCGTCATGGGCTTGAAAAGTTTAAATTTAAGTTCTCGGCTACTGCAGGTGGGTCTGGGGACGGATGTGGCGGGAGGTTACAGCGCTTCCATGCTGGACTGCATCCGCCAGACTATGATCGCTACAAACGTTTGCGGGATGAAACCAGATGAAGATGGTGTCACATGGAAGCCTTTGAGGTGTGTACTGCTGCGTGTGTACTATGGGAAAATACACAGAAGACATATCGGTAGCACGGATGTGAATGGAGGGTTCTCTTCCTTTGAATTGACTCCTTGGCAACACTAAGGTGACATACCCTATAAAAGGAGTCTGAAGTTGAGTGTGAAACACCTGGAAATGAGGAATGGAACAAGAGCCTCTCCACTAGAGAACATTGGTCGTTGGCCTAGTGCACGGGATGACTGTGTTCAGTCCGTCTTGTTATGGTAGCGTGTTTTGGTTGTTTTTGCTTTCGCCGTACGACTAGGTCTGCCTCACGTTAACTTCGGCGCATGTAGCCTCCAGGCACGTTTTTTGTTTTTTGCGCGAACTTGGTAGACATTAGGTCATTCACAATGTGCAAACAACGATCTACGGGATAAGAACCTTCGTCGGGTGTATGCCGTTATAATTGTCACTTTCCAGCTACCAGGAGGCGTTCCACCTTGCTACCGTGGGCGGGGCAGAGGCCCTGGGTCTGCAGAAGGTGGTGGGAAACTTCGTTCCCGGAAAACAGGTGCCCTCATACCTCATGCATCAATATAGCCACACACTTGAGCTCTCAGGTGTCTTTACACACATACATGGTGTGGCATGTTGCGTATCGATGACTGTTTACCCTAGTCCATGGGGGGAGGGCAAATCGTTTTTAAATATGTCTACGGTAAGAAATAGCAGCGCACACGCCCACAGACAAGTCATGTTGCGGTTTTGCCAGCCACGATTTTCAGATCCGTGTCGACGGCTGACATCTCACGGACTTGCCGCGCACGTAGGTTCGAGGAACAACGCATGTTTGCGGTCTTTGAAAGCCCGCGTTTGAGCTTTAGTGCATGTACCCCGTTGAAGGGGGCGTAGTTTCTGTGAGTACCTCTTGAGGCTCCACTTGTGTCGTGACCTTCAACGGTTGGATCGCTTCGTTACCGGGGGTTGTTGATGTACCTATGTTCGCTGCTGTTGCCGGCAGCGCTACAGATTGTTCGATCGCCTTTTTGCCACCTGACGTTTTCTGTATGTCTGGTTTGTCGGCCGGTCTCGTTCGATTGGTGGTGTCGGTGTGTGTATTTATATTAGCTCCGTCCTTTTACTTTCGGCGTCCGACATGTGTCTGGATGCTGCACTTCTTGTGTGTTTCGGAGACTGTTGTCCTCCTGCATCTGTATTGTTGCCCCCCCTTACTACGTTCGGTCGGCTTGGTCTTGCATGGGCCTGACGACTCTGGACAACGCGACTATCGCAGTTCGACGCCCTGGTGGTGAACCCTTCTCCCGGGGAGGATACAGAGGCAGACGGCGGCATCGGAGGAAGGCAAGTCCCGAACACTGCTATCGACGGGCCGTTCGACTTGTTCCCCGAGCTGGGCCAGGGAATGCAGACCGCCTTCGAGAAGTTCATTTTCATGGGGGACGACAGGAACATCGAGCGGGTGTACGTCGCCGGAAATAGAGTAGTTTAGACTTCCTTTTCGTTGACAAGGCAGTTTTGTCCGGACTGGAGGCTCTACTGCTCCCATCACTGCGCCGTGTAGCCTTGTTCGCAACGTGTCGGACTCTAACCTGGACCAACACTGCCTTGGTATGCCTGCTTACACAGTCTCCGGCACTGGGCTCAACACCGAACGTATTGCTTGGTCTGCTGAGCATAGACAGGGTGACCTAGTTCTTATGCGATGTTCTTTGGGGGTCTACACGTTCGGTATTCGCGGCACGTGTGACAGGCTGCTGGGGCACGATCACGTGGTGTGCTAACGGAACAGTCGGTACTGCCGCTGTCGGCGTTGCCTTTGAAGTTCGTCGTGCTTGGCCCCCGCAGGCGGGAGGTCGGGCATGATGTGAAGGCACCAGGTTTGCTTTTAAATGCAAGCCAGCCCGGAACGCTTGCACCAATCACAAAAGCTCCTTTTCCAGAGTCTGTTGAAGCGACACTCAAAACCTTTTTCGCCGCTCTTGGGTCGGCATTTGTTGTTTTTGTCAGTGTTGGAGGTCTATGTTGATAGCTGGGCAGCGATAGCTGCTTGGCAGGCCTCACGGATTCACCAACGTATTGATATTAACATTTTGCTGTTACGCATATGAAAATTTTGTTCCTGTTCCGCTGGACGAGTTGTGCGTAGTCGGGTGTTGCGTTGTGGAAGAAAATCGTTTTCTCACGCCCCGCTACTGTACAAGCATGACCACCGATGCATTCGATGATGTTTGGACGAAGTTATGCTACTGGTTTAGGCGCACATGGATTTTTCATTTTTCAGGAGGTTTAGGATGTTTGTTTTCACGCGCCAATGTCGTTTTTTCCGAACGTTTTTTCAAATCGCAAGCTTGTCTGGACATACCGAAATGCGAGCCTGTTTTCACCATTGCTGCAGCAGTGAAGCGCGTATGGGGCTGCACCGGGGGAGTGGTCCATTTGCCCTGAGATAACGGCGGAGGCGGGGGTTGTGAACTCGTTCGTTTTTTCTCCACTTCGAGCGGCCTGTACGGCATGTAAATAGTATTCGGGTTCGGGGTGTACTCATAGTCGTGCATGCCGTAGTCGTTAGACCATTGACCTGGCATCCCTACAAAGCCGGGACGGAGCACGCCGGGTTCTCAACGGACCAGGCTCTCACATTACCAAGCGTGAAGCGCCGTGAGGTGTTCGGCGAGTCGCATGAAGGGTGCGCTGCATCCTGCTAAGGGTGTTCGGCATCTTGTGCTTACTTCCTTGCGTACGGATGACAGCTGCGTATGATTTAATTTATTTTCTGGTGCTTTCACTTCCAGAGACAGTTATAAGCACTGTGTAACGGCCTCGAGGATGATTTACCATTCCCGATGGCAAACACCGGGGGGGGGCATTCGGGTTCGGCGGGGGGATAATTTAGGCAGTCCTCTTGAGTGCAGTTTATGTGCTTGTATCATGTCTGTTGATGCCGCGGTTATTTTCGTTCTGTCCGTGTGTGCGCGACAAACGTCCGTTTGCGCATGGTGGATTTTGTAGGTGGTGGTGATACGTCTATTTATGGTCATCACGAGGGAGAATTGGCCCATCTATTGCGACCTACAGTACCCGCTGGGCCCATGCCCCTGCGTGTGTTCGTGTATGTGTTTTTTGGCCTTACGGGCCGCAGGATCACGTGTCAATAGCATCATGCCGATTGAGGGCTTGAGACGGTAGACTCCCGACAACGAGCGAAAAATCGCATTTGTTTACGTGAAGAATGATTGGACGGGATCGAGTGTTGAAGCTCTTCGACAAGTGAACTTCGATGGTCAGGGAAGCCACAAGCGGCACTTTCTCTTTTGGGTGAGAATGTTGTACTTGTACCAGTACCCGGAGAGATTTTCGCACTACCACGGTGAGGTACGGAGGTACGGAGGTACGGAGGTACGACGAGCGTTTTGTTGCGTCTTTACCTTGAACGACATTCGTGTTGAAGGTGCTGACGCCGAATGACTACAATGCGTGTGTGTAACCCTCATTCGCTCTCTCTCTGCTATGCTCAGCAAAGGCCTCACACTTTCGAGACTTTGGCATTTGTTGGTGAGGACTAGGCCCCACGTCATTGTGGAGAAATCCTGTGGATTGTCATGTTGCGCGGAGTGGTGCTCCCAAGCGTAGCACAAGCCGGCTGCTGCTTCACGCAGTGGCACGGCACAAGAAATGCACCATGCAAATGTACACTCAAGGGAACCGTGCCACCGAATTGTGAACGAATGTATCAGTCTTTCCACGCACGCGCAAAACCCGCCGTACAGTGCATCGGTGGATGAGGCTCTCGATCACATGTGACAAAGCATGAGTAGGCTCTCTCGACCACTGTCACGACAGCAAGGCGTTTTTCACTCAACGTCTGTGGTATGGTATGCTACAAATGCACGCAAGCCAAAGAGCACCATAGTAGTACTTGAAATCGATCGATGGGATTTGGGACGCGTACGGTCATGCGTGCGCGTACGGTCATGCGTGCGCGCGTGTATGGTCCGAACTAAGGATCGGGTAGAATATCAAACCGCAAGGCCACCGACGCTCGTCATTCCAACTTTTCCCCTGAATCTTCAAAACTTCGACCTGCAACAAGGCCACATCACAGAGCTCTGAAACGACTAAAACGAAGTAGTGAAACGGACAGTAACCGCAGCATCACTTCGGTTTGTAGATTACCAGGGAAACATTGCATACGAGAGGTAGGAAATCAATGCTACGAACCCACAAGCCTCGCGCCTGGGTCCGCCTCAAACCTCTCTCTCTCTTTCTGTCGCTCTCTCTCTCTCTCTCTCTCTCTCTCTCTCTCTCTCTCTCTCTCTCTCTCTCTCTCTCTCTCCCTCTCTCTTTCTGCTCACACGTCAGCTGCATCCAGCCGAGGAATCCCGACCACTGCTACTTTACACCGGTGTCCAAAGCGATCAAGTCACTCGAGCATCCTACTACACCCAAACCCTAGAAATGCTGCAAGCCAACCAAAGGAAATAAGGACTTCGTGCCATTTTCCGTTCTCCCACCTTCGAAAGAACAGAGGTGGGTGGGCGGGAAAATGCACTACGTTTGTGACCGCGTGTAATGGGCAGTCCTCCTGCCCTTCGTCCTGCCTCGCGCTCTCAAGCGTACCGTCCCACGGCATCTAGACTACTACTACTGTGGGTGTTCTTCCTCACGAAAGTCCAATGGCTGGTACGCGAGCTCTACCGCACTCTTCGTACCTCGGGGTTCCAATAGCAATGCAACATCCGTTGCACAAAAAATCAGCTTGCTTAGTCCATTACAACAAGGTTAGCTATTGTTGGTGCACTACGCACGGTGCACAGCAGGGTGGTTGACCTTAACAAGCACAAAGGCGACCGCCGTAAAGGTGGCAACAACTGCAGCAGTTTGCACGAAACACAAACATTACTCCTAGGAGTCGCCCCAGCAGAGCAAGCACGTGGGGAAGCGACAGCGCAAGATAGTCCACAAGCCGCGAGATGTCAATCGTCCCCGCTAAGAAGACTAACGCTGCAAACAGGACGGATCGTCCTGCTACCGTACCAATTTTATGGCGCTCACGACCGCCACACCTGTAGCGTGCAAGAAGGAAGAGATGCGTCAATATCGCATAAGGACGCCCAGCACCTTCTGCACCTTCTGCAGCGCTCCTTCAACCTGCCAGCGAGAGGGAGGCGTACGCAGCGATAGGTGCAACCATTGTGGCACAGTGGTTACACTTCGTCAAGAGTATGTGAAGCAATCACGCGTTCCTTACGTTGGGAAGCGGAATTCACAAGTCTGGAACACCATGCAGCAGCTCGAAAAACCATTTCATGGGGCAGATTGGGCTCACAGCAGCCCAAGGGACGACCCGCTGGGACCACAAAAAGAAATCTGGTCCAATCCTGTCGGTGCTGAATGAGCTCGGCGCAAGGGTGTGGCGCAACAGCATGCCTATCGACATGCTGACCATGCCATATCCTTCAACCGTTGTGTCAACAACATCACAGCAGTGTTCGAACAAACCGCATGCGAAGCAAACACAATGAACACAGTCATGGCAGGTCTGCGTCACAAGACTCCTCCTAGCAAGCAGGAGTAACGAGGCACACAAACAAAAACAACTGCATCCACGACCACAACACCAACCGCCTGAAGCAATTTACCAGGTACACCGTATCGAACATCATCACCTCGCCGTTAGCGGCGTCGCTGAAACCGCCGCGCTCCTTCTGTGTCGACAGCACCTGCTCCTGCTTAGATGGGTTTTGCCAGCCCAGGACCGCCTCCAACGGCAACCGCCACCCGGGCACAGCGCCTTCGATCGCCTCTTCTCCTGCATTACACGTACCACAACGTTCATGAAGAATGAATCGATCGTCCAGGTACAAGCACGTTGTCAAGAGACGGAACGGACTCGTGCCTCAAACAGCCGTGAATGGTCGAAACCATGCGAGAGTCGACGACAATAGCAAGCACACCGTAGACTTTGGGTGTCCACACGGTAGTGGCTTTCAGGAGAACGCTCGATACCCTAACAATCAGGCATAATGATGTTAGACAAAAATGAGTAAGACAACCGACGAGAATTCGCAAGCGCGCACACCTGCCACGGGCGGGTGAACGGCTGCCCAGGGGCAGAACGAGCGATGTTCCACGGCGAGATCCATCGGCTTCAAAGGAGTTCCACCTCCCGACAGGCGTCTACGCTTGCCGCTCCGACCGGACCCTCCCCGACCCTCAGGGCTGCTAAGGACTCCGGGCGATTCCTCCGCACCAGTACCGGCGGCGGTACAGCCAACCCCTGAGCTGGGCCCTGCTTCCAATGTGAGGAAGTTGTCGGTCACCAGGCGGCGCTTGCACAGGGCGCAGCTGAGCCTTGCTGGGGATTTCGCAGTCGCTCTAGCACCTCCATCGGCAACAGCAACGGTCGATCCGTTGGACGACGAGCCTTCTGTCGGAGACACAGCAGCACACGCGCTTACCGGCACCGTGGCCGGAGCGGATTGCCACCCAAACATGGCGATTGCTGCAGCGGTGCCCAGCATCTCATCCCCAAACCGCAACATCTCCCGGTTGTCGGCAGAACCGGCCGCCTTGCCGCTCCCACTCCTCTGCCTTTTGTGCGCCCCTGCTGTGCGGTTTTCCGAAGTCTCCTCCCTGGTTTCGACGACCGACGGCATAGCCTTGGTACCAGCATCAGTAGCATCGGCGGGACGTGATCGTGCTTGTGTCCAGAGAGCCCTCACCTTGGCGGCAAGTGCCGACAGCCCACCCGGGCAGTGTTGTTCGAAGGTGCTCGGCAGGGACACCTCGGGCAGGGCTGCAGCTCTCATCACGGGCAAGAGACTGTCCAGTCGTGCCAGAAAGTCTTGAGGGCGGGTGGACACGGCGAAACATTACATGGCACGCAGAGTGTGAAGCGCCACCACGCATGCACATCAGGGTCAGCCAGGAATAGCGGTCTAAGACAGTGAGCAAGGTGGGCGACTTCTTAGGGTCTGGAAGTTTTTGGGGCCTTGTGTAAGTCTCGCACTATCATTTTCCCTGGCGATATCTTCGGGGATGAGCCACTGTGCAGGGACATCGAGCATAGAGCATTGTGATGCCGTCACGAAACCATCTGCATGCAGGCGAGAGCTAAACGAGCTGTCAAACTGTACCACCCATTGTGAACACAACGTGTAGGAGCAAGCACGAGGCGCACATGATCAAAATATCCGTGATGTAGTCGCGAGAAACGAACTTTGGGTACCACGATTTTCGGTACCAACCAACCTGCCGCACGACCTCAGCCTCATGCGAGCAGGCCAGCAGCGGCCCAAACGCGAGCTGAGTGAACATACCCCACACCTTGGACCAGTCGCCCCCAGAAGCACCACGTATACTGACTGATTAGAAATCATGATAATAAAACTCATGTTGAACGACAGGTACGAATGCCTGCTTACCTGCCAGCTGATCTTCGACCGCCATGGGCGGAAGCTGTAGGAACTCTCTGGGGCAAGCGTTGCCATTCCATGGACATAGGTCGTGGTGCTGGGACTGGAGCCGAGATGAAAACGATGACGAAGGCGTGGGCTCGACGACGGCCACGATATCTCCACCACCGCCGCCACAAACATCATCATTCGCAGCGTTACCGTCGCTGCCGGCCGCTTGGTCTGCAAAGCGCAGCTGGGCACTGCAGCTGCAGGGAGCAAGCAAAGTGGTGAAAACGTCACACAGCAAGCGGGTAGGGAGGTAATTGGCCATGCAGTGCTATGAAGCCAAACGTAACACGCCTTCAACTTGCGTGGTTACTCTACAGACACCCACGGCTTTAGGTGCGCGCAGTACTGGGTGGAAAATGCCTGAATAGTCGGGTTTCCACCTGCAACTTCGGAAAAAAATGGCATAAATTGCGATGTCGCGGGGGTCGCACACTCAGATGGCTTGACGTTAGTGCCTCCTCCGGAGTAGGGTCTAAGACCGCTTTAATTGAGGCACTTTGGCTGTCCGCCATATTTTCGGTAATGACGCTCTGCAGCCAAGTACGGTGCGTGAAAAGCCTTACTTTCCGCAGCCGAAAATTGGCCCGCTTTCAGAACTGCCTCTTCTCACTCGCGGCTGCTTATAGTCGTACACACCTCAACTTTTGGCCCCCAGTTTCGACCGGGACCACGGGTCTGGTTTGCAAGGAGAGAGCTTGCCACACTTCCGGTGGGCAGAAGAAGACAGAAGGTGCTCTATCGCAGTTGCTATGTAGTGAGGCTGTGAGAAACTCAATCTCTCCTGAAAGCAGCACACACATCGATGCTCTGTCACACACCACGCTGGGGTTGCCAAGGCTCGTTCCACAGTGGCGGACAGCCAAAGTGCCTCAATTCAAGTGGTCTTGAATCCTAGACACGAATACCAAGTCTGTACCAAGTGGGGTGCCAATAGACATAATTCATGTCTACAGCACCGTCGGATGAACGGTGTCCTAAATCCTACGGAGTGTGTACTCTGTGCACAGCAGTCTACACTGATAGTTGGTGAGAGACTCTTGTTGATCCAGCAGTCTGGCTGCTGACATTGCTGGACAGCCCCAGAACCTTCCCCAAAGACGGGCGCCACCGTCCCCATCTTTGGCGGTTTTCTCCTTCCGTTAAACACCGCGAGCAAAAAAACACCGGCAGCTTTCCCCTCACCACTGGCAAGAAAGGGTGTCCCGTCCAGTGTTGATCCACCCGTAGCGGGCGCATACCGCTGGGGACGCGAAGGCCGGTTTGGAAAACCAGTTAAGAGGTGTGAAGGTCGCCAGCCTGGCCTTGAAGCTCTCGTAGTCCCACGGACGGCAGGTGGGTTTGTCTGCAGACGGGGAGTCGCACCGCGAAGCAGGCCGTGTGTATTGATGGTACCCAACACCAGAGGATTAGCATGGGTAGGTGCAGCACCACTACCTTTCGGTATCACCCCACGCTGTACCCGTGGTGTGCGTGCAGGCAAAACAACACCCGCTCGAGGGAGATGCTGTTCGGTACCTACGTGGACTACAGCACAGGTTAACGGGCAAAAAATGGTATGTAGTCTATTCGTGTGTCATATGTATGGTGAACAAAATATGCGCACTATTGTACCGCTGCAGTTCCTCAGAGGCTGAAGGATGAACTTGGTGGAACTCGGCAATAAATGCTGCGGTGGGGCCGCTGCTTCGTCTGCCTATGTACTACAGCGGTATGTCTCTGGATGAGATGAGACGTGCACCACGGCATCGATCGGGGGGAGGGACGGAGCACCTACCACAATCCAATTGAGTTGAAAAGCCGTGATTCCACACAAGTGTCTGTACGAGCTGTGTACAGCAAAGCTCTTATGCACCCCTAGTCCTGAAGCACGTACCCGCTAGAGGCCTCGCTCCATCCGCCTCTGCTGCAATCCTTTCAAGGACGTCGATTTCACGGGGGTCCTCCTGCTGTTGATTCAGCCTGATTGGGTTTGCTTGCCTGACTGCAGTGTCAAAACGAGCCAGTGCGGCCACCACCTTCTCCTCCAGATCTTTCGGCATCCTGCCGTCGACAATCGAACGTCTTCGACAGCCGGAGAAGCTGTCTGCACTCGCGCGGGTGTCTCAGATCAGCAGTGCAGGGCCCGACCGAGACAGAGCGTCTGCTGGCAATCGGCGCCCCTTTTCGGAGAAACGCGGCACAATTGACCGTCGAGTTTCGGAGATCACAAATCACGCACCACACAGCGTCTCCTATTTCCTGCACGTGCAACCTTCTATCGGCTCTCGTATGGCTGGGGAGAGGGGAGGGGGCTCCAACGCGGAAGGGTGACGCAGTCAAGATGGCCACACGGGGAGAATCACTGTGTCACTGGGAAGACTCGATGCTGCTCCACGTGGTAGGTTCATGTTTTTTTTTGTTGCAACCGTTTGCACGACAGACGGCTGCTGCGGATTAGGGCACCCAGGGCCGCATTGAAAGCTAGATTACGCTCACGAGGAAGAGGATGCACAAATGAAACAACACATTTTCAGATATCTCTCGACGAGGCTATTCTAACGCCGTCATTTTCGGCGCCGCTATTTGTTCTACTGCTGCAGAGAAATCGAGCTTTGAAGATCGGTCCAGGGGGTGTGATATGTTGTGTCACCGCGTGCATGGCGTCTGAATGTGCTGAATGTCCTACATTTAGTAGCCGTGGAGGGGGGGATCAGAGCTACATAGGTTTGCAGCTTGTAAATTACGTGCACACCATTACGACGTATTTTCGACCCCATAAGACTGTTTCTTGAGTGCCGTTTTCTTTGGGGGGGGAGGTTCTCTCTCACGGAGGCCTGCAAGGGAAACATATTTCAGAACCGTGGGACCTTCTCATGGCTCCTCGAGACATATTTTTTCCCCAGTGGAAGAAAGGCCGATTCAAGTTTTGCGGTCACAACATGCTTCAGTTCACGTTTTCGGCTCGTGTGCGGCCAACAAGACACAGAGCGCCCTGTTTTTGGGTCGCCTGCAGGCGTGTGTATGACCGCACGTCGTTGGCTGCAGTTTGTGGATGTCGTCGGCCTAAGGCGTCCCTCTGGCATCGTTTTTGAATGGTAGTGGCACACGGAGCACACACGCGGCGGAACAAGAAAAAAGTCTAGAACAACACCGAAACACACTTCGGTTCACGTTTGCAGGCCGTGTGCAATCAAAACTGAACAATACGCCATGTTTCTGGGACTCGAGCAAATGGTATGTGTATGACCACACGCCATTGGCTCAAGGTTGTGAATGTCGTCGGCCTAAGGCGTCCCTCTGGCATGTGTTGAGGACTGGTCACACATGCAGCAGGCACAAAAACGGCTCGTTTTGGCCGAAAGGCAAGAACGTCAGCGAAGCAACATGGCAGGGTTGACGTTTTCGGCTCGTGTGCGGCCAACTAGTCGCAGAACACCCTGAAGTTTAGATTCCTTCTGAGGGTTTATGCATGAGCTAACGATAGTGGCCTCGGTTTGGGCAGCAGACCGTGTAGTTCCTGTTCTGGCACGACTAGGGTGTGACCCCCCCCCTTTTCCTAGCTGGAAAACATCAGCCGATCCAGTGAGAAAATGGGCCAATTTTCTTACTCACCAGCTGGAGTCCTTGGACATGTTCGGGCTGTGAGAACTTGGGCTCTCGGAATTTGCCATTTTCCTCTGCGTAAGAAGTCCAAATATTTTTTCAGGCTACGAAAATGATCCCCCTCCCCCTCCCCCCAATCCAACAGCCAGAAAACTGTTGCGTAAGAAACCGCTTAAGGACGATCTCGAGCAAGCGTCTTCGTTGTCCCCTATTATAGCTGACATTTGCCTCTCCGTCCGAAAGGTGTACCAGGACCTCGTGCGAAAGAGCGGCTGGACCGACGTTCGATCGACGTTGCTACATCTCCCTCCCTGTGTCTGCTGTCGTCGGGACTCAAGCCATGGACAGCCCCTGCAGGACTCACCGCGGGTACCACCAGAACCCGGAGGCAATAATAGATGCTGCGGAAAAATAGCGCACGGACTAGTTGCCACTGTTGGGGAAGAACGCAACTGCAACCGCGACGGTGATCTTGGCGACGTCCCAGTGGAGCTGCCAGCTGCATCAACCACGATCGTGTTCGCTGTAAACGCAGGACGCACCATTCCGACGCGAAGGTTGGTGAAGCTAACGACGAAAGACACGATAGCTGAGGTGGGGCACCAACCAAAAGCGTGCCCCGAGCTGGGGAACCGGACAGACGTTGTAGCTACCAACAATATCCACCCCCCATCCAAACACTGTAGGTCGAAAGCCGGGAGGGGATACGCTCATGCATCGTGAACACAGGCCACCACCGGGGGCGATGCTGAATCGTGCTGCTTGTTCTGGAGTGCGTTGAAAGCTATTGGCTTTGAGCAAACGCGGCTTGTCAAAACTGGGAGAGATGTATACAAGTAGTCGAAGCTGTGCATAAACGATTGAAGAGGAGGCCGAATTTAATATTTTAGGGCAGCTCCAGCTGCCTTGACAGGACCTTCTCTTGAACCCTAGGCGCTACTGCTGTACCCTGATTCGCTTGTCGATGTTGCTTGACGTATCCGGAAGATTCAGCGACGTCGTGGCGGCAGCGGAAGAACGCCTGCGAATAGACTTCCGCGCCACTGAAGGTCGTGACCAACTGCAGCGACCATGCGTTCTGGCAGCCTTCTGCGATGGATCGAGCATCATGTGAGCGTCTCCCCACGCAACTTCGCGTCCTCGCCTACTGCAAAATGCGGTCTCTTGCACATCCTTCAGTAGATTTCGCTATCCATGAGTGCTGGTGTTCTGCTCAACAACTACCGTAAGAGTCGGAGAGTTGGCACCGGGTGCGCTCGTTTTTTAAATGTTTTTTCCTCGGGTTTTTATCGCACCCCGGTGCCATCTCTCCGACCCCGGTGAGGAAGTGCAACTGAATCATTTCGTTTAGAATTTTCAAGGCACCCCGGTGCGATCTCTCCGACCGGTGCGATCCCCGATGAAATGCACGCAGGTGTTGTATGCACGCACCCCGGTGCCATCTCCCTGACCGTTGCCACAGTATTGATTGGTACCAGTGTAGGTACCCACGCACGCACACGGTCTTCTGCACACACACGCCTATATATGAGCCGGAAAAAAGGCCGCGAAATACACATACAACATACCCCGAAAAAAGCCGCGAAATAGCGCATCTGAGTTGGTACCAGTACACACATTATCAATTGGTTCCCGCTTTTGTTTCGGTCTTCTTCTACGGATACCAGTACGTACGCAGAAGTACAAGCTTCGGGTTGTGTAAGGTGGGGTAAGGGTGCGGCTTGTACGTCGTGTGTTTGGTTGAGCGTATGGTTGGCAACTTCCAAACCAATAAAAATATGAAAACAACTGTCATCCCGCGTGAACCGCGACCATCCAATCATACGTAGAGGAGTGGCGCTCCGCTGACTCCGCCCCCACGTGTAAAAGGTACGCACATGTACCTCATTCCGGCAGCTGAAAAGGAGTTTATTCTTAGATTTGGGGGTCGGAGAGATCGCACTGGGTGCGTTTTTCCGACCCCGGTGCGTAAATCGAATTATTTTTTCATTTTTCTCAGGATTTTATCGCATCCCGGTGACATCTCTCCGACCGGTGCCATCTCTCCGGCCCGTGCCAACTCTCCGACTCTTACGGTAGGTTACTCCAAGAGTTTTTGTCTCCCGCGCTCGAAATCTCAATGTTCGGAACTGAAGGGTTAGCCAAGAGATTCATGGGATCACACCTGAAGTTCATGTACGGTTTCCCCCTTTCGCTTCACGTGCCTGGTATCCCCTGCCCCCAGCTACTACACTGTGTCAAGCGGGATTGATACTTCGTGATTCGTGCAAGATGGATTTCGAAGCAACAGCGACCACCGTCAACGTACGTCTAGTCGCGGCTGCGGCGAGGTTTGTGTCTGTTGGCGAAGACAACGACACCCGAGGGACTGCTGTGAGGCAACATAAGGGCACCAGCCGTTCTGATGGAGAGCTGTGGACACGAGGGAGGTACGCCAGCTTCACAGGAGAGCTTAGCACTTCAGCCAGGTTGTCTGGTGTTTGCTCCAATGGTGAATTTTTCGTGCTGCGATTTCCAAGCGTCAGCAGCCTACACCAATATCAATGCACGGACATGTTTGTAGACGGGCGCGGTAGACACAAGATACCCGCAGTATTGCCCTCCAGCCCCCTGGTCCTTGCCCTTCCTGTCGTAGCGATCCGCTTCATGTAGGGGATGGGAATCGCCCGATGAATGCACCAATACGCCTCGCTCTCAGCTCTTGTTGGAATTGAAACGTGTGTCCCAAATCTTTCCACGCTTGTAGCATTTATTTACCCTCATGCTGTTGATGGCCGCCCATCCCGCCCAGGTGATCTGGGGATTCAACGTCACCAACTGGCTGTCGCAGAAGCACTATTCTGCGTGTAGTAGCGTATAGAGACCGAGTCCGTTTCGATTGTATTCACCCAGTGATGGCAAGGAGGAAACGACTTTCTACGTATGCAAGAGGAGATGGGTATGTTTTGTTTTGTGATGTCGGATCTTCCGACCAAGGGTGGTCTCAATTTGGTTATTTCATTAGAAGGCGAACTATCTTCACGGATAGACTGCGAGGTGAAACGTGACTCCTAGATGTTTTCACGCAAGTTTTGTGAGTTAGCGCTGATGATAAACGTATACTTCTTCAAGTACAAGGGTCTCCAACGTGACCGGCAACTCAGTTCATTAGTAAACCCCCAATCCCAAGGTTTATCACCGTTGTCGCGCCGGTTGCTTGCAATCTTCTTCTTGTTTCAAAGGGCGGCCAACAAAAAGAAAAGGCAAGTGTTGCCCCCGCTCTCGGAAGCCTGGGTCAAGCAGGAGGCTCATTCGTGCTGAAGCTTCCCTGCCATCACCCGACTTCATTGAGCACTCACCCATCATCTGTTTTATTGCAGACGCACACGCATGCATAAAGTCAACTCGAGTCTCGACGGAATGCAATGACCAGGAAGTAGAGACCCAACCTGGCTGTCGGGCCCGTACCATACAGCAGTAGTTGGTGGCGGCAACTTTGCACCTCGTGAAAAAACTTCATGTCAGAGGGGACGAAAATACCCATCATACCACCTACTACGAGTGTTGGTTGTCGCGTTTCGACCAAAATTGTCAGATGTCGAAAGGCTCCCATGTTTTCGTTTTTCACCCATTCATCGATCACGGTCACACAACAACAGTGGCTGGTTCAGTAGGTAACCTCACAACCTTGACGTTTGGAGTCTCGGCGCAGTCACACGATCTGCCCAATCAATGATTGGTGGGTGGAGAGCGTTAATTTTCGTTTCTTTTTGTCTTCACTTCAAATCAGCGCTCACAGCACTAGTGCCGTTTACTCCGACCCGTTGTCACACAGACAGAAGAACCCCTCTCTACCCTTCCCTCCTGCGGTACTTTGCCTTCGATTTTCGATGCGAGAAGAGTTCAGCACTCTCTTCCCTCTGTGTACACACGAACTAGCTCTATCCACTACGCCAGGAGCGGAAGCGCGAGAACAACTCACTTTGCAAGAAAAGCTCGCTTACGCCGGGATTCGAACCCCTGACCTGACCTCTAGAAGGTTTCGAGGACACCAACTAGACCACCGGGGCGACCGGCTTATGTGAATGTTGCTGTACAGATGGCTGTGCGGGCGCCATCTGTACCACGCTGCATGACAAAAAAAAATGTGTACTGTAAGAGGAGGATCGATTTCATTTATTTCATTTATTTCATTTATTTCAAGCTTGTCGATGAGAGAAAAGACGGCCTGAATCCTTGGCGCGATAAAAAACCAAGGCACGCACCGCAGAAGAAGGAAAGCAGATAAGACAATATTTCTCCTCTAGTGGCCTACACTGCTGTTGTGTATCCCCGGCTGTGGTCATCATGCGTCCAGAAGTGTTCCGAAACGTGTACATGACTGACCGACCTCCCGGACCAAAAAAAAAAATCCGTCTCATCCCCTTTCCCCCGCTGAAAACATGCAAAACTCAACATGTGCATTTTTGTTCCAGCTCCCCCTGCTCTCTCCGATCACATCACCGAACTATCTGCGCGCGCTCTCCCGCTCTCTCCCTCTCGCGAACACTTGCCGACCTCCTTTGTCCACTTCTCTTACCCACGGCTATTGCGCAACACTCTATACGCCATGTTCACCCTCAACGCAAACGCTCCGAGCTTCGTGCCAAGCAACCCAGTTCACCAGCAGATGGTCCGACCCATCTTCAACTCGGGCGTTCCTTCGTGTGTGCTAATCCTGGACAGCGACGAGTACCGCTCGGAGTTCCTGATCAACACCTTCAACCGCGAGGCAGTGGCCGATGAGGACCTGTGAGTGGTCTAGCGCCGGGTAGGGGCCGCGCTTCGGTCGTTATGGATTGCGCAATTCCTCCGATCCAAAGCTCAACAGATTGTACCCCCAGCCTTCGGTTGATGTTTACTGCCGGCTTCTTTCCTCTGTGTGCTGTACCTCGTATCTGCTGCCTGCCTTTCCTTCTCTCGCCGTCCTTTCCAGGTTTAATCCGGCGGTGTACCCTGTCTCGGCGGCAGGTGGGAACCGCGTCTTGTCTCTGATAAGCTAGCTGTTTCTATTCCCCAAGGAAAGCAAGGCGGCCGAAACCAGCGTGTTGTGCATATTTGTTGCAAAGTTCAAATGTTCCGTCCCAAGGGCAACATGCTCGAAAATATTTTGCGCGCTGCCTCTTCGTGCCTCGCGAACGATTTTGCTGTCTGTCGCTCAAGGGACGCATGCCCTGCCTGCCCGACTCCTTCCTGCCCATACAGACCACGAAGAGCTAGCGGCTGCTGAGAATTTCAACAGAGAGATGGCCGAGCTTGAAGCGCTCGAGCACCAGGAGGAGCTGAGGTCGCTGCTTCAAACCCGGATTTCGGGTGAGAGAGCAAACAAGCAAGGCGGGAAAAACAGGCTCAAAGATCCTCTTTTCGTGTCCGGAAGAGCCACGCGTGGCACGAGCGAGGGCGCTACTTTGCTGATTTTGGCGCTATCCCCCCCCCCCCCCCCCCCGCTCCCGGGCGGGCGCGCGCACGTGTGTGTGTATCGGGCGAGTAGAGTAGGGTAGGATGAGGGTTCCTTTGTTTGCAGCGCATCTTGTTCAACAGCGGATATCTTTTCCCCAAGTGCACGGAAGATCTGTCCCCTCTCTCCCAGCAGATGCCTTCCGACTTTGCTCTATGTTTTTCCCCGTGTTCCCGCGGGGTGTTTTAGGTACAGTACTCTAGCTTTGATGCGACAGCAGCAGTAGCAGCACGCGCATGGACCAAAGGTGGTCAATGAACTCGTCCTGAGTGATCGCGATTGGCTCTTGACACACATCAGATATGCAGCTAGAAAATACACCTTGTGTGATGCAGATGAATGTGTCAATGCAAGTCTACAACCGCAGCCGCCAATCTTGTTGGCCAGAAAGTTTCGTCCGTGATAAGGTTGCCGGAATGCACGACCGACACATGAGTGCCGGCTGCTGCTGCTGCTGCCATTCCCCCGGCGCCGCCTCGCGCATGACGGGGGTGTCCGGTGCATGTTTTTTAATTGTAAGGAGGTGCCACACCGTGCGTCTGGTGCGAGGCGTTCCGTTACTTGCTGCCTACTGCTCGGCGCTCTCGACAAAACAATGCAGTTAAACAATGGGGGGGTGCATTTCTTGCCGACCTTGGTCCCTGTCAATGAACTGTGCCATATGCCTACTCTATGGGTAAAGACTTTCCTACCACATCCCGTTCGACTGTGGTACAATATCTCGAATGGGTAGTCTTTCTGTTTTATGTATGTATTTTTCTGAATGCATAGTCAACTGATGATGAGTTTGGTCTGCTGTGTGTTGTGTGGTGCTGTGTGCAATGCAAGCACAGCTCTCCAACAAGGAACAAGCGGCAACCAACGGCCGGCAAAGATCGCTTCCTTGAACAGCGCCATGTTCTCGGGGCTATCCAGAGGTGCACCGGCATCGGAACTGAAGGTATGTACGTCGAAACATGGAATATGCATAGATAAAGTGTGCCTCGATCATGTAAGACAGATGTGATAGAAGTATACTGAAGATACTCCGGAATGCAGGTACTTCTGTATCGATCCATTTTTGGGGTGCCTGTGGTCTAGCCTGTGGGCACGAAGGAAGGAGTGAAGGTCTGGCCTGACCGAAACCTCGACGTTCGAGAAAACTTCTGAACACTGCGTTCACTTGCACGGCCTGCATGGAATGAGCTGTGAGGGGCGCAACGACCGAACCACGGATAGGACAGGATTAGGCAATTTGTACTGTGCTGTAAGCCGGTCGCCCCGGTTGTCTAGGTGGTATCCTCGAAACCTTCTAGAGTTCAGGTCAGGGGTTCGAATCCCGGCGCAAGCGAGCCTTTCTTGCAAAGCGAGTTTTTCTCTCGCTTCCGCGCCTGGCCTAGTGGATAGCGCTAGTTCGTATGTACACAGAGGGAAGAGTGCTGAACTCTTCTAGCATTAAAAATCGAAGGCAAAGTATCGCAGGAGGGGAAGGTAGAGAGGGGCTCTTCTGTGTGACCACGGGCTGGAGTAAACGGCAATATAAGCGCTGTGAGCGCTGATTTGAAGTGGAAGACACGTATGTACACAAAATGTATCCTCCCTTTGCTCGTTGTTGTTCCAATCCACACAGACAAGTACACATCTAGCTTAGGTGACACTTTCCGTTGGAAGTAAGTGAAGTGTGGTACATGGTTGTTGTGTTGTTCGAAGTAGTGAAGTACCGCCATGTGTGTCAAGGGTAAAAGGCGTCAGTTGCTGAGAGTTGCGTTCACCGAAGTCTATCCGGTTGGGATGTTGTGATTATAGTGCTTCTACAACACAACTATTATTGCTGTATGCATCTACACAGCCATAGTTGCAGCAATTCGTGCTTACGCCCAACATGGGATGTTGAAAATGAACCGCATTTTGACGCCTTCGTATGTATGTAAATCTCGTGCCATGCTGCGATTCCAAAAGTACAAAAAATACCTTGTTGTAGTGCATGAGTTACCTCTTGCACGTTCGCGTTGAGGATCTTGATTTTGATATGCCTACTGGTAGGATTTACGGCGACGATAGCAGTTGAGGCAAGCACGTGCCGCCGCATCGCGGACTAACATAATGTGGAAATGATGGGCCCGGAAGGGGTTCCGTGGATGAAAACTTGGCGAGGGCACCCACCACCCTCTCGTGACAAGCCTTCCCCTTTCCCAACCCTAACGAGCCGGAACTACAAAGAGTACGGTATTGAGGGGTGCATGCATATCTTTGTCTTCGTTCCCTGGCGCGGAGCGCCTCCTGTTGGACACACGCATGAGCACCCACGTCTTTTGCGTACAAGTGCGAATATATACACTACTGTACGCAGAACGCTCTTTTCCACGGCGAGACTCGCGTGAGGGTGTACCAAGGGTCGTTTTGTCGTTTTCTGTCGATCGGTGCAGTGACGCCGCCTCCCCTTTCAAGATTCGGCACTTGGTTGCCGCAGACATGCTGCTCTGTCAAAGACTTTTGCCGTTCACCTGCGGTGGAACTTGACATTGTTTTGTTTCGTTCCGAAAAATCGTTACGGAATGTTGGAAGTCGATGTCAGCAGGAGGATGTGTCTGGTTTATTTCATGCACGATGCTGCGCCTTCCTGCTAGTCGCTTCTCTGCCTGTACTGTAACAGCAGTGCGGTTCTTTCTAGACCGTAACCTACCATCGTTTATAATGTGTACGTGATCCTATGCATGTTGCGTATACGCCATGTCAAGCTAAGCTTTGTCCGTGAACCATCCCTTCCTTCGTTGCCTTCTCTCGCACACCCCTTGTGTGGTCATGACCAGGGAAAGCGCTTCAACCCCGCCAAGAAGTGCCCTCACAACATCAACCAGCCGCTTGAAGCAGGACGCTATTACTAACGGCAGCAGCTCGAAGGCCACCCGATGATGTATATCTTCTCTCGAGAGAGAGGAAAGTAAGTATAATGCGTAATGCTAGTGGTGTATCCTGCGGCGCACCGGTCGTCGCTCCCTCGTAAAATACAGTAGTAGCTGAGGTTTTCCGCACCGACTCGATATGGGCGGATGTTTTCGAAGTGATTCGTCACAGGAAGTGCTTCGTTCAGTATCAGAAAGACAGGGCGAAGTTCTTGCTTGGGGACTGTCCTGTCTGCGTTGCCCCCTCAGCCCCCCGCCGTCTACCGAACGCATTGTAGTGGCGTGGCATGGCATGGCATGGCATGGCAGCGACGGACGTGGAGGTTAGGTTAGGCTAGTTTACTTTGGTGCGGTGCCGTGTGCCGTGGTCGAATTACCCATGCCTGAATGCCTGAATGCCCGAATGCCTGAATGAATGGGCCGTCGGTGGTGACGGTGTAGATTGTATTTCCAAATTACCAGTACCACAAAAAGGGTGGATGGAGAGGGGAGCGGACTGGCGACACTAGTTATCAATGCAGCACAACGCATTTGGAACTAAGTGGCCGCAGGAAACAACACTGAAGTACGCAGGGGGTGTTGATAAGGATAAGGAGGGTAACGATGATGGGGTTATGGTGAGCATTGAGCATGTGATCATAAGATGAGACGGACCAAAGTAAATATAAAAGACAAAGGACGGGGCATGACATGGGAGGGACAGGGGTGGAGTAAGAGGCTGCAGATATGTATGTGTGGACATGGTGCTGTTGGCCAATTCAGGAGTATTATTCATGTCATTTACTGCAGTGAAGGTGAAGAAGGGAGATGGCGCGGGAAAAATATACCCGCCCTTATCCCAATGATCCCAATACCTATCGTGACTGTTCCCAGTGTTGGTCAAGCCAAGATGGGGGTGGGAAAGAAGGCTACTAGACACACAAGGACCACGGTAACGGCTTGTTTCCTTGCTGTATATCGGTTGCTAGACGGCAAGGAAAGATGTCTGTACGGTCGTGGATTGTTGCTCTCCCGAAGAGGTATCTATCTGTCAAGACGTCGCTTTTGTGATGGCTCAAGAGTCGCAAGCATCAGTGATTGGCGCTATCCTTACTGTACGCGTAGATACCTTAAATTTTTAGGGTTGTACCGATGAGACAGCAGCGTAAAATGACCCTTGCTGCTTTCTCCTCATCGAGAGAGATGCGCACGAAGAATGTCGAGTCAAGTGCGATAGTCTATGCATACAAAAGGCGAAACATGTGAAACCCATGATGTTGCGATATGCCTGTTCTTAAAAGTACGGTTAGATGTGTAGCTGTCGGTGTTGTTCTGTCTGTAGACACGTGTGTGTGGAGTTTCGAGTATGGCTTTGACTGTTCCGGGATATCCTGGTATCTCAAGGTCCACTGTGTGTTGCTGGCTTGGCTAGCTCAGTGATAGATAGTGGCACAGAGTGCGAAGGGTACGGTTCGATATCTTCCCCGCCCGACGTTATAACTGCCGTGGTGGTGGGTATTTTGTTCATGGTACGCACGGCGGTGTCACAATTTCAGCAGTGCACGAATGTACCAACTGCTGTGTGTGCATGATGACAGTATGATCCTTGGTGTAGCCGAGGCAAGGGACATGGTAGGTCTGGAAACGTCTGGAAACGTAGCCCCATCAAGGTGGGGTTGGAGAAAGGACATGACGATAAAGGCTGTGTCGTGTTGTTGGTTCCGCCGCTCGCTGCTGTACCGGAGCAAACGTTGGAGTGTCAAGAGTGGTGTGCTCGATTAAGACGTTGTCTCGATGTAGTGGCGTGTTTTATGCAGCACTCTGTTGTGGAGTTGCTTTATGCCCCTCCTTGCGTTGTTTTGGAGGCAGGAGATTTCTCTAGAAACACTCCTCAAAAGCTCCATGGGGCAACGGCAGCGATGCGGTGCTGATAGCTTAGACTCTAGCAAAGCGTGCTGATAGCAGCGTAACATGCATGCGTCGCGTTCAAGATGTCCATACCTGTTTTGTTTAACTGCCTTTTTTGTGTTGTCCTAGCGCATTTGCCCTGTCCAGTGCCAAAACAGCGTGTCCATAGGGGGGGGAGGGAGTCGTCGCCGGAGTAGGAGTAGCACTGCCACAAGGTTAACGTTTCGTACGAGACAGAAGTGAGTGCTTCCAGTCGAGTCAATATTGAGGAAACGTCTTCGGAAGGGGGCTATTATAGTTTTTCTGACCGAACATGGTGGGGGTAGAGTGTTCGGGTGTGTACCAACAACCAAAATAACGTTTTGAGACACAAATCGTCGGCGACTTTTTATGTCGTTTGCGTGAACGTGCGATACTGGCTGGCCTGACACCCTCAACATCAAGCTTGGAAGTGAATGAGAAACGCCAGAGCTTCGCAGGCGAAGGGCCCCCGTAAGCTTCTTTTTTCACAGCTGGTCCGTGCGGGGAATGGGGATCATCGTGACTCTAGAAAAGCAGGCGTTCATCCTCGCCCTCTCCGAACGGGAGGCAGGTTTATTTCAGGACGCGACACAGACTATCGTTGTGTCGACTCAATGTACACGAAACAGTGTTGGAGGGAATCGGGCCAACCTCACTCATTTTTCAGGCTGATCGCTATATATAGCACCATTGCCCTCAGGGTTACAGGCTTAAACCCCGTTCCAGTACAATTCTAGCGGACACGTATCTTGGCACGTTTCACGCTACATCCTAGTGTAGTGCCCGCGCGCAACGAACTCCGATAACGTTACCGTGAGCTTGCTTGAGGTGGGTGCAAATGTACACCTCTCTAGGCTTCGAGCCTACCAGGTAACGTAACGAACCTTCGTTCTGTGGCAGTGAAGTGATGGCTTTTTCTCGTCGATAATAAACGTTCTACTACCTTACTTACCGTTACCACACTCTCGCTAGAACACGCACACGCTAAAAGAAAGCAAACCTACAGATAGAAACCCCAACCTGAAAACCCTTGTACCAACCGTTGCCCCCCCGTGGCTCGACACCAAACACAATCCTCTCGCCGGACAAGGCTAGGGTTAGGTCCCAACAAGAACCAACAACCAAACAGTTTGTGCGGTAGAGTTCTTCCTGTAGACTCCTGCGCCAACTACCTAGACCCACCTCAGCCAATGACACGGAAGGGAGGGGGAAAACTCGCAACACCAGACGACAAGACTGGACCTCACAGCAACACCCGACACATTCAGAGGCAGTGATCGCACACTACAAGCACCACGAGAGAAACGCCACCGATATCGCCTTGTGTATTCCTATTCCTCGTATGTGTTGATTAGCCCGTGGTGCACAAAACCAAGCCTACGCCTTTCTTTCAGAGCAGGTCTTGTTGGGCACCACCTCATAGCATCGGCATCGTCACCAACACCCCGTTGGTCTTGTCTTGGCAACTTCGTTCGGCGTTCCATTGGGATCTTCCACAAAATCTACTTGACCACACCGGCACCAAGCGAGGCACCTCACACGCGTCTATTTCAGATAATCCAAAGCATACCCCAACAGGAACAAAAACAATACGATGGCATGCCGCAAACCAAAACTGATTGATGAGACTATGCTACGATCGAATCATCCGAAACCGAAGCTTGTTCGGAAACATCGTGGACTTGAGGTGGCCAGACGCTTCGCAAGCATCTCTTGGTAGATTGCTTGACCCGACATGACCAGATTCGTCGGAAAGCGGTACCGCTAAGAACCTTCAAAGGCGAGCACGCTCACGCAAACCGACACGCTGGCGGGCTCGAGTGAGACGCCAAACCCAATCACCCGCTGATCGGCTTCAGAGTCGCCGGATCCTCAGCAAGACTCGCCCTCGGCGCGAGACAACGGTAACGTCATCCTTAGCCGTACAAGTCGTCGACGTCGTCATCGTTGTCGGCACCGTCATTGCCTCCCTCCTTGTCATCGAACGAAAACTCTTCGAACCCTCTGTCGGACTTCATGTTGGTAGAGAAGGACTCGTACCGGGCAAGCTCCTCCTCGCTGACGGACTTGCGAGAGTGGGCCATCGACTCCTCGAAGTGCGCCTTCAACAGAGGGAGGGCAACAAGACGCGGCAACGGCGACATGACAGAACAGAACACGACCGCAGAGTCGGCGGTGAGGGATGTTGCTGTTGTGCCGAGAATTGACAGCAGTAATGCAGGAGGCGACAAAAGCATTCTCTATAAACTGCTAGAGAATATGCATACAACCATCACGTGCGAGCACGGCCGCAGTAGAAACATACAAACACTTCGACGGAATCCACAGCATCGATGAACCACCCGCCGAAAACATGCACGAACAGATCGACATCTTCAGCATCAGCCACCCCCAATAAACGCCCCGACTTGACAAAAAAAAAAGAGCAAACAGCAACTGCTAAAGGCATTCATTTGTCTACTCGACCTGATGTACTCAGCATGTTAAAGTAAAGTGCATGGAAATTGTATGATATTGCAGACACACAAGTAGAGTAGAGTAGAGTAGAGTACACACCTTGGTGATGGCGGGGACGGGGTCACTGCGAGCCTCGTCCTCATCGATGTCTCCAGACTCGATCAAACCAATGCGCTCGATTTCCGCTGCCACACATCTGGATAGGGGGAGAGATGGGAAGGCGCGCCTCAATTTGACGCAGGTGCATGGCGGTATTCTCAGGAGCAGGGGCGACGGCGAACTGACAGCAGAAGCCAGTTGGCGAGATGTCTACATTCGATGATCCATATGTCATACCGTTATCTTGTAGACCTATCACGGAAATCGCTCCCACAACAGCGTTAGAGAGGTGCCAGATGAGGGTTTGCAGGCCGTGTAGGTTCTTAAACTGTTCTTCGGTTGATGCGCCTACAGTCCAAACATTGCGATCACATTGTTGCCGTATACACCTTTATGCAAAGGGCAAGGGGCACATTGAACGAACCCTAGCCCTAATCTCTGCTGTAATGCCGCCTATTGGACTAGTACGGCAAGAGGAGGTTCTGGACAGTGGCGGTAAGACAAAAAAATGAAAGGCAACCAAAGCTGGCAACCACGGCAGCCGCAGTAGCAGCAACCAGAGCAACACCAACAGCAACCAATAACGGCTACAACAACAACAACCATATGCATAGAACACTCGCGGATGGTTCTCTCGGCCGCGATCGCTATTCCAACCCAAACCATAGCCAACTCACTCCCGAATGGCGTTCTTGGCTGCCCTCTGGCAGATCTCCGTGATGTCAGCACCGGAGTATCCCTGGGTTGCCCTCGCCAGCATTTCCATGCTCACGTCATCCGCCACAGGAGACTGGATTATCGTAGATAGCGTAATGGTACATTTTGGAAGTAGATACGGCAGGGCACACGATGGCACGAAGGCGTCAACACTATCGCCAACCATTTCGACGGTGTAGCCGGATGGAGCATGGACACAACGCTTCAACACCACACGAGCGAAAGAATATTACCACTTCTGCTCCGTAGTCGGTACTGTACAAGACGAGAAACTTCCCTCCTGTCTCTTCCCTCTGATGAACTAACTCATACTTCGTACTTGTATCTCTTAGATGAACTATCTCCTACTTGTATCTCTTGTCTTGTCTTGTCTTGTCTTGTCTTGTCTCTGAACTGAGCTCACCTTGCGAAGGTTAGCTTGGAAGATGCTGATGCGGCTGTCCATGTCGGGCAGAGGGATGTAGATCAGCTGGTCCAGACGACCCGGGCGGGTGATGGCATTGTCCAGGATGTCGGGTCTGTTGGTTGCGCCGATCACGAACACGGCCTTCCGGGCGCCGACGCCGTCTACTTCCGTGAGGATCTGGTTGATCACGCGGTCCGCTGCCTCGCTGCCCCCCCCGCCGCTGCCACCACGGGCCTAGAAAAACAACAACAAAGAGAGCAAAACGTTTGGGGGGGATTGGGGGGTTGGGTTAGGGGTGTACGCTCAGCAAAGAGGATTTGGAATATATTGTAGCTGCGCACCGGTACATGCTTGGGAAAAGGCGTGCGAGGGAAAAAATGGCACACGGTGTAATGATCAACAACAAACGTTACAGGTGGTGGCTTATCGTAGTCCCATCCTCCAGCAGGAAGTGTAGGGCTGTCCGCTTCTACGTAAGATCAAGGACTTTTATTATACGCTAACGGCTCCATTCGAACCTCAAGGGAACAGTACAGAACGAAACACTCATGACGAGCGGCCGCACCTTCATCGTGGAACTTGCCCAGATTTAGGATCCCATCAAGTCCCCTGCATACTTTCAACCGATTCAACTACTATAATCCTTGTGTTCTCTGGGAGGTGCTAGGCTGCACGCTAGGCTGCACGCCTACCTAGACCAATTGAGAGCTTGTATCATACTCCTTACATTGTTCTCTCCTGGGCAAAGGAGGTCGTCTCATCCAAGCCGAGGGTGCAAACCCTAACCTCAACCTAAACCTTACGACAAACTGCTGTGTTCGCGTGCCTGTTCTGTGTAGAGTACGTCACCGTTACCTTGGCAATAGAGTCCATCTCGTCGAAGAAGAGGATGCAAGGAGCCGCCGCACGAGCCTTGTCAAACAGCTCGCGTACGTTCGCCTCCGACTCTCCGAACCACATGGACAAGAGCTCGGGGCCTGTCGACAGAGTGGACAGACACGTTGACCCGTTGAGGTGGGACGGGCGACAATGCTCCTGTTAACGTTTTGTCATGGGATTTGAATTGTAGCAACTATCAACGGCTATGGGGCGTAATTCCCTTAGGAAAGTGCGGGAGATGTAACTCCCGCAGGAAGGACAAACCAGGGAACAGGACCTTTGTAGCCCCTATTTGAGGGAACTTGACCTCCCCCGCTGTGCTCAGTCTACCTTAGAGAGCCAAGCAACAGCAAGCACTTGTGAGCCTTCATCAGGGTCTTCAGGGATCGCTACGCGTGTAATCCCACAAGAGTTTACCCTGTAACGCACTCGCTCATATTGTGACGACCGCAATCTGGTTTACACACCTACAACCAACCACAACCTTCGCGGCGGTGCGCGAAGAAACACTCGCGCAACATACTCGACACCACCGTACCTCGTGTAACAGTACGTGAGAGACAAGAGTGAGCGAGCGAACTGCGGACGAATCGAGCTGGGGTTAGTCGGAACAGCGTGGCATGAACACGGCCGTAGAAATGACAACATCACCAACAACCTTCCCCTCCTCCCTCTGACATCTCTGCCTGTCTCTTGTCTCCATCTACCATCTACCTGTTTGGTTTCTTTATCTGTATTGTAATAATAGCTCACCCTTGACGGAGATGAAGTTGGCGCCGCACTCGTTGGCGATGGCCTTGGCTAGCAGCGTCTTACCGCAACCAGGGGGGCCATAGAACAGCGTCCCCTTAGAAGCGCTCATGCCGAACTTCTTGAACTTGTCAGCGTGCTCGACAGGGTACTGCCCAAGAATTAATTCAGCGTTGCCATCAAGGCGGCGGCCACGTGGTATGCGCAGTTTGAGTTCCGCGTTCGGGGAGAGTTTGGGGAGAGGGGACGCGCATGGTATGCTACTGACGTTGGGGGGTACCGCCAACTAGGCGTATGCAGCAGCCTAAACGTCACCACTCGGAGTTCCTTCGACGTTTGCCGCGACCGGATAGTCTAACCCCCCATCGTATCTACCACCTCTGCATACAAATGTCGCCGTTACTGGGGCCACATCCGGCAAGGGTTCGTGATACTACCCGGGGCAAAGCCAACGCACAACACAGCGTCTTCGAATGTAAACAACCACATTCGTCCGCTCATGAAGGATAAGACTAGAGGATGATGTCGTAAAGGCTAGTTGTATTGAGTTGTACCTGCACGGTCTCCTGCAGCTCCCGCTTCACGTCCTCCAAGCCACCCACGTCCTTCCAGCTCACGTTGGGCACCTGAGCGAGTCAAACAGGAAGCATAGCGAGTCTGGCGGTGATACTGGTGCAATACATATGCCAGCAAGAACAGCGCTTAACAAAATTTGCGACATACAATAGCGACACAACAGGAGAGGCGACTTCCAATTGGCTATGCTGCCGCTGCCGTTGTGCTAGTGTATCGCTCCAAGAAGTTCTGTTGACTGTCTACAACCAACCTTTTGGGGGGACACTTCGTCTTATTGGGCGAAGCGAAATCAAGGCCCGAGGCTGCCAGTAGGCGCAAAATTGAACCTGCCGCCGTACAGTATTCTGCCAAACACACGTGCAGTACTCGTCTGAAAGAATACAACTACTATTGTATTCACCTCGACCAGGGTCTCTCGCAGTGCCGACGGGTTGCAGTGCTGCAGCGCGTACTTGAAGTGGTCGTTCGTGATGGCCAGACCATCCAGCACTTCCTGCAGTTGTCGATCGACACGCAACCAGTCATCACTAAATAACAACATTGACCACGACAACCAAAGCGCAAGCATAAAGTTGATGCAGAGGGGCCTGCCTAGTAGCACAAACGCAGCAGGCAGGCCAAGGCGAGAGCACTCAAGACAGTAGGTTCGTTTGTAGAGCCCTCCACAACAGCGATATCGAACACGCTCATTAAATCAAGGCCGCTCAGTGCCGCTCCACGCCACTTACGACAGGGATCTTGTCCGCATCGACGTCGATCGTGTGCATCTGCTCCCGGATGCAGCGGAGCGCGGCCTCCATGCACAGCTGGGAAAGGTCGGCCCCCACAAACCCGTGGGTGTCCTTGGCGATCTGCGAAGAGACAGACATGCACAACCGGCGGCACAAGAGCGTTTTCGACGCACTATTCGTAAAAGCAGCGGGTCCAGCCGTTATACAAGTATATATCGTTCAGACACCTCCATTTGCATCTGGTATCAAGAGGTATCAAGAGGTGCGAACGGCAAGGTGCCACCACACCTTAACGTAACGTAAACCATAAAACTATATGCGTTCGCTACCCGTCTCCCTCATCAACAAGTCATGCAACTCCACTTCACCTCCGTGAGATCGACATACACACAATCCCTTTTGATCTCCAAGCAAAATCAAGCCCGTTCACGTATCCACAGCACAGCAGCTACATGTACTACCGTAGCATCTACCTGGATAAGATCCACGTCATCGTCGAGCTTCATGGTGCGCGTCTTGATCCGGAGCACCTCCAGACGTCCCTCCTCATCGGGGATGCCGATGTCCAGCTCGCGGTCGAAACGGCCGAAGCGGCGCAGGGCCGGCTCGATGACGTTGGGCCTGTTGGTGGCGGCGATGACCACCACGTGGGAGGTGGGCTTGATGCCATCCATGAGGGTGAGGAGCTGGGAGACGATTCGCTTCTCGACCTCTCCGCCAGCCTTGTCCCTCCGCGGCGCAATGGAGTCTGCGTCGAACAAACAAAAAAACATGGAATTTCGCCTTTTTGCCCGTTGTCGTGACGAGTGTGCTGTATGCAAGACTAATGCTATATTTTGATAACGTGGTCGTGTTTTGGATGATCTTGTCTAGAGAGGATACGCACATCGGCCGGCGCTACGTAAAAAGCAACGGGGCGCTTGAGACCGAAAAGACATTGCTTGATCTCGCCCACATGGGCATGGGGCGGACGACTTCGAAGGCTTTCATCAAGTCGGACAAGGCAGCACATCGCAATGACATCATCATCATCAACAACAACAAACACAACAATAGCAGCAACAAGAGCCCTCACCGATCTCATCGATGAAGATGATAGCGGGAGAGTTAGCCTCCGCGTCATCGAAAGCCTTCCTCAAGTTTGTCTCCGACTCCCCGGAGAGCTTGCTCATGATCTCCGGACCGTTGATGGTGAAGCAGTAAGCCCCCGTCTCCGACGCCACTGCCCTCGCGATCATAGTCTTGCCGCATCCAGGCGGGCCGTACCTGGCGACATTACCACATACGCCACCGTCATTCGTTCGCACAGAACCTCACCTCAAGCCTTAAACACTACCAACATCAACACCTGCCAAGGATATAACATTAAATAGCACGGCAACAGCGCATGCAAAACGGCGGTGATGGCGCACATGAAAAACACAGTTGTTGCGTTTCTCCCACTTAACCCTTCGCCTAGAATAAAACGCCTGCCGTATCTCATCCCGTATCCCCGTGTCTTTGAGTTGAATTACATGAGAACGCCTCTTGGGGGCGGGATGCCGACGGCGTTGAAGAGCTGAGGATGCCTGAGGGGGAGCTCGATCAGCTCCCGGATCTGCGCCAGCTGGCGCTTGCAGCCCCCGATGTCGTCGTAACCGATCTCGTTGAGACTCTCGTCATCGTCGCGCTGTAACGAAAAAAAAAAAAGAGAGAGCAATCCAACAACAATTAAGATCACAACCGCGCATTTTGAAAGCGGCCAAACATGGGAAGGATATTGGAGGACAGCTATTTTCGTCATCGCGCACTTCTACTACTGTAGATGGGATAGTACGGAATAAGAATAAAAAATTGTGTCTGTAGTGGCGGCAATATATATGGTATGTAGACAGATTGACAGATACCTTGAGCGCTTCTCCCTCGTAGAGGATCTCTGTGTCCTCGTTGATGTAGCAGTACTCGGCCTCCTCCTCCGTAGCCGTGGCGATGTCCATCACCTTGAACTCTACCGTGCGCATCGCGCCCTTCGTCTGGAAGGTATCCCCCTTGCGAAGCTGTAGAGCGCGTACCATCAAGTGCGACAATCAACGTGTCAACACGAGAACAAGCGTGTGTTGGATGAGAAACGCGGATGCGGGACGAAAATGATAGCCACCGCAACAAGGATCAACGATTGCCCAACACGGGGCCGAGTGTTCTGCCTTGCCCACACCTAAAAAAAATACTATCACAATACCGTTCGATTTCGGCTCATTTGGTGACTCTTACTATCCTGGACTGTACCAAGGACAGATAGTGAGGCAGAACGGCCGCAACCAAAATGCCCACAACAGGAAATAGTACAGACGCCTGACTGAAAGACTTGACTGCGTTAGACTTGAATGAACCCCGCCGTCCAAGAGCAGGTGGAAAACTCGGAAACTAGCTTGAACGCTGACTCGACTGAAGAAGACGCTAGACAGTCCGGCTCCATCTCCCCCGCAAACAAAGACCGCCAAACCGTCTCGTTCAAGCCACAACAGCAAACCTTAACGTTATCTCCAAGCGGCCGCCTCCAGGAGGCCCGCTAAAGCCTCTGCCCCCCCGTCAAGAGGGCCACCAAGATCATAAAAAAACACAACCAACAAATAACTTCACAAAATCGTATGCATATGCCATGCACGAAATCCCTCCAAACGATTCCACTCGCGGACCCTGTTCGACAAACTACTCATCGATAAACTACCCTGCTTGGACCGGACCGGTCTATCCACTGACCGGCTTGAACTCTCCCTCGAAGAAGGGCTGCAAGAACGTCTCGAACGTCTCCCCCGTCACCCCCTCCAGGTCCTCCGCGTAGGGCAGCACGTGGACCACCGTGGCGTACTTGACATCCGGCGCCTCGTGGACCGTGACGATGTCCCCCAGCCTCAAACGAAGGTTCTTGCGCGTCACCTGAACAAAAAAAAAACAAGAAATTATGATCCGATCAAAGTGTCATACGTGGGGGGCAAAAAAAAAAGGCCTCCTCCCCTTACAGTATCCGGTTAATGAACGAAAAGACTCAGACTCTCTCCGGTCTGAGAGATAGGGGCCAACTCGACAGAACGTTGTAGTCAGCGGGTGTCGTGTGTGCGCGCGGTGCTTGGGGTATTATAGCCAATACGCACAGCGCAACGCGCTGCCCTCCAGCTGCGTGGCAACAAGAACGTGGTGAACCAATGTATCAATCGCTTCAACAGGCCGTGACTTCCGCCGCTACAGGAGATGCATCTAACAAAGTTCTAGACACTCGCACCACATGCTGCTAGAGGACAAGAGGTATGCCTTACCTTGGACATGCGAATAGACGAGTCCTCGAGGCCGTCTTCCACCAGAGCGATACACACAGTGTCCTTACGCTTCTTGCCCTTCAGCAAAACCGCGTCCCCGTTGAAGATGCCGAGCTGTTGCATATCGTACAGTACGGTCGACGTAGTAGCATCGCGGGATACACAGAGGTGAGATTCACCCATCCCAGCGTGCGGCATAACAAGACAAAACAACGGCAATACCACATGCCACGACAGGACTACTGTGGCGCGTCACGAGAGACAAGGACGTCGTACGGAATACACCGTACTATCGTCGAAAAAACACAGGGTAGGCGTCACGACTACATAGCGCTACAATGTACAGCGTATGAGTGGCGCTGCTAGGCGCAGGTAGAGGTTGAAGTAACCGGGAGTTTGCTGGAAATGGCAAGGGCAGCAGTGTAGCAAGTCACTCAACTATTGGAGGGCATCCTGCCTACCTTCAACACAACAACGCACGTCACCTACCACACTGTAGCAACATCTGGGTCCACACCAACTTGTCCCACCAGATTCATGCACACGTGCAGTGTTTCTTCTGAGAAAATAATTGACGAAGCCATCGCCTGCACTTTTTAGGCTGTCTCCGCTTGGGTAGTCTTCCGTCTGGATTTCTGCAACCCGCCTATGCTCATAAAACTAATTTCGGGGTCTCAACGGTATTACTTCCAAGCATATAGCCACAGCCCATGCGAAGCAACACCTTTCTGATGCACGAATTATGCATGAGGTTGGCATTTCTGTACCAAAGCTACAGTACCAGCTACGGAGGATCGTCTTAACGTCTTAACCTTGCCCTGAACCTGGCTTAGGGTTAAAATTCGGTGTTCACATTGTCGACCAATTTTTTTTTTCTGGTTCTCACCTCGTCCATCTTGGCCGCGCTCAGGCTGACGACCGTCTGCTCCACCTCCGTGCTCACGGCATCATCCACCTGCACCAAAACACCCACCCAAACAAACATTACAAATTACGTTCACGTCCACATTCCCTATCGTCAGTGCTGTGCCGTCGAAAATAGGGAAGCAAGTTTACGTTTCAATTCGTTGTCGCTGTGTCAGTCAAAAACAGTTGATTGATTGTACTTCTGAGCCTCGGCATCGAAACTTCGAGATTGGCAGGATCAGTCTTCACCAGTGCTGTACTCAGTACCACAGCACCACACTTGTGCTACAACAACCAACATTTTACAGGAAAGTTTGGGACGTGCTTATCCCTCAAGGGACTCCGCTGAAAGCGCTTGGATTGCCGAGGGATAACGCCTATCGAACCGCTGGCATACAACATGTAACATGTAAAACGAGTGCGCCGGCAGCATTTCCTGTCACTTTCCCGCTACCTGAATCGACGCGTTGGTCATCATCCGCCAGGCCTCTCTCTCTCTCCCCTCCCTCTCAGCCACCAATGGTTGACATCTGCATTACACAAATTTCACTCTATACTCCAGCTAGGTTTCTCGCATTTCCATCTGCACTTTCAGCAATACCCGTACCCGTGGCTCACTGCCCCACAGCAGTGTTCCACACATCACACACTGATGACCGTGCTCCCTTTGTAGGTCATGGCACCGGGCTCTACTTTCTTGCCCTTTCCTCTCACCACACAAGCGTTAGGCATAGCCCGTCGGGCAGCCTCCATCTTGGCCACGAGGTCGATCTCCTCCTCGTCGTCATCAGGCAAGGACAAGGCTGTCTTCTTCTTCTTTTCGGCGGCCGCTGCCTTCTTCTCGTTGGCCTTCTTGTTCTTCGCAGCGGCGGCCTTAGCGATCGCCTTCTTGTCCGCGGGGGCGGCGTCGGCCGGTGGCGCCTGTCTCTTGCTGCTGCCCTTCTTCTTCTTCTTCTTCTTCTTGCCGCCCACTCCCGCATCGTAGTCCGAAACGGCTGATCGTATTTCCAAGAAGGCGAACGCCACGATAACGTCATAACAAAGCGGATGTCGTTCGTTGGGCTTGGATCAACTGCTGTGTTGTGTGTACTAGGCAGTCGGGGGGCAGAACAGCATGTCGCTGCATAGACTTCGCAACCACCCTGGCAGTGACATGAGGATACACAAAAAAAAAGACCCAGGACTCGCTTGTGATGCCTGGAGAACAGAAGCGTCTACACCAAGGCCGTTATGTAGAGGGCTACTGGCAGTCCACAGCAGCAGCGGACAGGAAACCCCGAGCCTCGGCGAATTTTGCAGGAGATTCCATATGCGATTTTGCGGAGATTCCCTTTGAACGTTGGCCATGATGTCACACCATGGGTACACGCACAAACGTTAAGAGCATTGTCCGCTACCAGCTCTGTCGTACATAGGCGCAATGGCAAAGAACCCGTAGGGGGATGCGTTGGTATATTCAACAGCATCAGCAGTCGTTTGACGCTACGCAGGAAAGCTACCTGTTTGTTCTTTATGCGCCACAGCAGCCGCTGTCAAGCCCAAAACACATCATTTTCCGAGCCATAAGCGCAAATTCCATGCTACAGACGTACAAATCGCACACCTACCGCATGCTGTGACCATTGCACGCAGATAGGGTCGGGTTAGCGCACCAGTGTTCTCTTCCTGTGTACATTTACAGCAGTTGGGCCATACAGGCCATACTTGTAGGCCAGGCAATCCTGCTTTCCATGTTTCATTCGATGGGCACTCTAAGGTGGGGGCTGGACTTGCAAATGATTAGTGTGGGTAGCAGCAACAGGTCGTTAATACTGCTGGGTGTAGCACCGAAGGATCTGGCACGCATAGGCGGCGCGCGGGTTGCTGTCCGTGGGGCTGTCCGCATCGTGTTGTGGTGGTTACTGGCGGCAGCCCAAGTTGAACATCTTGCACTCACGTCGTTAGACTCCACACCTCAGTAGTGTGTACACAGGGCTGTTTTTGCACTGTAGTAGCGTGTGCAAACGAATACACATCTGCACACCGACTCGACGCAACTGGAAGAGCTAGGTCTGACTGTGACTGGTCAAATGACCACAGGGAACATGGTGGGTTGTTCCATGTCTGCGCCCTTGGCTGCTGGCTGGACCAACACCAACAATAGCGTGCCTGAAGCAAGGCGCCAGAGCTTACCGCGTGGCCGCACATACACCAACCTGCTCTTGTGAGTGCAACTAAATTTCGCTTGGAACCTCATCGTGTGGAAAGCTGTACGCTCACGCATAAGGCACTGCTTCTACGGCCAGCCACCCACTCTTTCAAATGCACACAACTGCTGGCGCGAGGTCGGCCGACATACATCGCAGCAGCCTCTGTTTGCCGCAACACACATACACCTACGCTGTAGCATATGTATGATCGATAGACAGCACATGATACGTATGCAACCGGCTATTTTCTGAACATGGTGGTAGAGAGGAGAGCGCGTTTGCGAAAAAACAGCAGACTAGACACTACACACCTGATGCTCCTCCTCGGACCGTCGTCGCGTAGAGGCTGTCCACCACGCCCTCCCGCGCCCCTCTCGCTCCTAACCATCGGCTCCTTGATGACGGCTCAGATGGTGATGCCTTGCCTGACCCCCGGGGTGCCACAGCACCGCTCGCGCCGCCGCCTCCAGCCAACGGACCAAAGAACCCCCCGGACGCGGACGCCCCGTCTACAGCCGCAGCCGCGACCACAGCAAACACCGTGTTCTTCATGCTCAACGTCCCGGTTCCTCGGTGAACGCTCTCTCTCTGTGGTCGACACACCACACGTGGAAAGCTCAGGACACACAGGGTTGGGGCCGCGGGGGGGCTCCGCGGAAACGTTAGGCAGGGAGGGTTGCGAATAGAGGGGTGGCATCAGCGGGCGGCGCAGGGCGGGCAGCAGGCCAGCCAGCCTGCAGCGGCCGGCAGCAGCAGTGAGGGATCACACGTAACGACAAGACTCGAGGGACCATGGCCCCTCACTCTGAGCAACGGCCAACTGGTCAAACTCTTGCTTCAACTGGTGGTCGTGGCCTAAAACGGAAGGCGCCGAACACACCCGCTGGGAAGGCGGTGGCCTCTGCCGACCCAGCGCGATTACAGGGGAAAACAACCAGCAGCCGGAAGCCTCCTCCAACATCCACTGGAGCAAAGGGTGGTGACAAAGGGAAGGGAAGCAAGCCCATCGAGGAAGGGACAGGGAAGGGAAAGGCGAAGGGCAAGGTGAAGAGCGACATAGACGACATATTTGCGGGCGTGAAGCGATTGAAAGAGGAGAAGGCGGAGGAGGAAGCAGCGAGGTACGTGGTGTGTGTGATGGGACGGACAAAAACGGACAACGTAACTTTCATTGCTGATCTACCCTACCACTGCTGTACCTGAAGATTGAACCCTCGCGGCCCCAGCCCTCCTGCGTGCGCAGTAACGCAGGAGTAGCCTGGTCTCCCATAGATGTTTTATAGTATCGCAGTTCGTCAAGACATGCCACACAAGCCATCAATGCACCACAGCTACACTACTGTACTACTGTTATCATACCTGCCCTAACCGTAGCGGTGGCTCTAGCTACGTACGCTGTAGGGAAATATACACCAGACCTGGACCACCTGCCTTGAAGCGGTAGGTTACAACCTATTCAGCAGCACCTTTTCTGGACGACATGGGTGGCACATCACGCTATAGATGTACTGTCACATAGTTTGGTATAAAGTCCATATTTTATATCGACCCTGTTGGTGCGTTGGGGTAGAGCACACGGCATGTTCCACTGCTGTTGGCTCTAGTCTATGCATATACACGCTGGAATATGCATGCATTGCACTTCAAATTACAAAACATACAGGTACTTTCTGACGCTATGAATCCATTGCTTATCTGTCTCAGACTCTTTTCTATGATAGAGATGGTTTCGTTGTGTCATGTTAAGAAAAAAAAAAAAATACTCTGATCGCACGACGTACAGACTCACGCAGATTTCGCACAACTCGCCGATGCTCCTAACACCCTAAGCTAACCCTCTAACTCCAGGGACAAACCTTTTTCGGGTAAGGACTGGTTTGTTCAGAATCCTGCCAGTTAATTGGACTTTGATGGCTTCCCCCTCAGATAGTCTGTCTTCGGCGACCTTGAACACCAACATTAGGGAAGGCACACATCTCTCTGGCGCCTCCCTCAACCGAACGCATCAACCATGGCAATTCCAAACCACAACAGCAGCCCCAACGTCCCAACTTCTGTTGCAGATATTGTCCGTGGACGGACATCTTAGACGGCGACATGCACCATGAATGTGGTTTGTTGACAGGACACGCCGTGTCGCTTTTTGGATTGTTCGTCTGAAACACCCACAGGGTGGCGAAGAAAAAGAAGATTAAGGAGGAACATAAGCGGCGACAAGCCAATCCATTCACGGGCGAGGGAGGCCCCGACAAGAGATGGGCTTGGGCAGACGAAGTGAAGCCAGGTAAGAGATACTGTTGGGATTTTCAAGAGGTGTGTGTGTGCGACTAGTGGGAATTAGTCCGCACAGGGCTGCCAGCGGAGATTGCAGCAACGTCACCTCTAGCTGGGTGTATCCAAGGCACATCAGCTTGTCCTACAGAAGGACTCCTCTACCGCAGCGATAGGTGGTTGCCTGAATATCCTGCAGACTACAGCAGTAGCAGAATACAGCAGTAGTGCCCTAACGCACATTGACGTCCCGTGTCCAACTCGATTCTGCAGTCATCCGGAGCTCGACGTCTTCCATATTTTGGATCGAGAGGGCAAAGACCACAACATTTCTGTCCAAGGCTGTTAAGTTTGACGACCTGCAGACATGACCGTTGATAGTGCAAGACTCTCAAAATCCGACTCTGCGCCTACATGTGGATTGATCCCCCAGATATGTTGGTGTGAAGCCCCCTCTCTCAATAACTCCCAGTTGACACACCCTTGTACCACAACTTTTGTCCCAAATGAGATGAACAACTTCTATCGAAGTACTGCTGTTAGGGACTCCCCCGGGAGCCTCAGAGTACTTGAGCGTGCGTGCGTGACGTGGCCTCCCTCAGACGCTTTTATTCGAGACTCCGCGCTTGCTCGGGACGAGCCCTCCGTTAACGATTGCGCTACCGCTTGAGACTTGTCTCCTACCCATTGAGTTCTCCTTCGAACTGGGGAACGACACACAATGACAAAGTGTCTGCCGCAGGTCTGACCTCGTCTGGCCGCATCCGTGCTTTCCGCTGATCTATCGAACACCTCCCCCCACCCCGTTTGTTTGTACTATATGCATTGCCAGTGCGGTTTGACGACGAGGGACTGCCAATCTACACATGGGAATCTCTTAGAATAGGCCAAGGCGGGGGCACGGCGGCGTGTCCGTTCGACTGCGACTGCTGTTTTTAAGCTATCTATCCCGGGTTTGGTGTAGATGGCACCCGCGAGGTCGAGATTTTTGCAGTGCATAGATGAATCCACACGTCGGTCGCCTGCGTCGAAGAGGGCGGCGTCAAACCGCTCCGCGCACCCCTTTTGATGAGGCTGCTTTTGATGCCGCCAGCTATATAGGCATACTGCATACGCAAACGGTGTGGTCTGGCGAAGCTTGTCGGTTGTGCCGCAGCGATGAAACGATGGCGCGGGGTAACCTGCTGTCTACGGCGACGTTTGTTGGGTGTTTGCTGGGTGGGGTGTGTTGTTGCAGTACTTGGCGCGGACGACGGCTGTGTCGGAGCACTCGCACGAGAGAGAATCAAAACGTCGGTGATTTGGAGGAGATGTCGTTGATGTGCTGTGTTTGGGCTGGTTGGCTGCTCGTCAAATGGGTAGGCAAGAGCAGAGTACAGAGAGTCATGCGACATGGCACCAGTGGTACCTGCCCACGGGGGGGGCGGATGCGAAGAACACCAACAAGCAAAGGCATTTGATAGCAGGCCAGACGCCGACGAAGAGCTGGATAGTATGCGTATCCCCTCGATTTGGCTGTGACCCTCGATGATTTTGTTTCGGGGTCGATTCGTGTGCTCGTGTAGACGGTTACCGGCGTCTTGAAGCATTTCTTGTGGCTTCAAATGGGCCAGTTTCGCTCGAATATGGAAGTGATCGTCTGCGGTCGCGCGTGTAGTTTTGTGAAATTTTCCTGGGTGGTGTTCCTGAACAATTGCGGCGATGCGTGTGAACATAGGGACGGTTTCTGTGTCAAGCCGGTGGCGAAGTATGTGGGCAGGCACAAGCGCGAACTCATAAGTGCCACCAGTTTTCCGGCTTGGGCAGATCAGGTGTCCCGCGAGCACCCGTCATGGTCGATGGTGCTCAAGCACGAGCGAGCATGGGCATCGGGAGCATGTTCACACACAAACACGAAGAGCCGCGTGAGGTTCTTTGTTCTTGCATTTATTTGCGGTTGAAATGCAAATGTCGTGGAATTCATACGCGGCCACTTGCAGTAGTCTCCAGCAGTCCGGTTTAGACGTACAGCAATCACACGTCTCTCCAGGGCAACCGAGACTGGACTCGAATGATGCTCTTAGCTCTTCGCGTTCCAAGATACATGACGCTGCCGGTGCAAAGATAACTTGTGTTTCAGTGTGCTCCAGGAAACATGCATGATCCGACAGCACCCACATCCGGCGAGAACTGTTTCAAAAGGAGAACTCGGTAGAATATATGATGCAATAACTTCGTCTTACACCGTGGTCCCTGTGTAAGGGGCCCCCCAAAAGTATTGCCGGCCGCCCTGCCTGTGTGAAAGCAGGTGAGTCTCGAGACACGAATTGACTATTCTCGAGTCGTCTCAGATATCAACACAAGATACTTAACAATACCGGGTGCTCAGTATACGGCCAGACGAACCCCTTGGTACTGCGGTGGCCATAGACAGGGAGCCTTGTACACTCTGTACTGCTGAATCCACGTGCTTGAAGTACGACCGACGACCGACAATAAAAAAAAAGTTCCCCAAAGCAAAACCGCCGGTTCGGCCCCCAAAGATTGACGATAGTTTCGCCGCACCTCTCTCGCTGCTCTTCCTCTCCTCTACAGTAGCTCTCTCCTCGCTGCTTGAGGCGTGCTCCGTGAAAGACTTTTGCTGCTATGGCCTTCTTCGGCCTAACCGCTCTAGGCCCGCAGAACAGCTTTCAGGTGGCCCTTCTGGACTTCAGCTATCTTGATGTTTTCACGGCTTTGGACATGGAGAAAGCGTTCAACATCGTCGATCACCAGAAGCGAGGCTACATACACTCGGACCAGGTAGGATCTATTTTCAGCAGTGCCTGATTATAGGGCGTTTAAATACCTAGCGTTTGTTTGCGTATATGCTGCTCGTGTTGGTCACTGCAACTGAGGCAACGCTTGCAGTTGGAGACTCAAGAGCGCGTCGGCTAGCGGATACTTCATGCAGCATCTTACACTGCTGTTCGGCTGGCACGCACGGGCATGGCAACACCGCGGAATTTACTGTCATGTACTGCTGTAGCCGGTTGACCACCTGCTTCACAGATTGTATCCACCATGGCTAGCTTGCAAAGCACAGACAGCAGTGTATTGGGTTTTTGAGACCAACTCGGTGTCCTACGCCGCATAGTAGATGGAGTCGTCCTTATTGAACACTCTCACATGGGTCGGTCACACTGCACATACATGCAATTTACATAATTTCAGCGAAAAAATGTTCGAACCTGTATATGCATAATTTACCGGGTAAAAATTCGGTCAACAGATCTGTTCATGTGAAAACATGAAGCCACAAACCTGTATGCATACCGCTGAAGAAGTGGGCAAATTTTTAATATACCAGGACGAGGTTTTGGAGTTTAATAACGCGGGCGAAACCCACTAATACAGATATTTGTGAGACCCATCTGAGGACCCTCCCTCTGAATCAATAGAGGAAAGGAGACACCACAGAAGAGGTGCCGTCACCGCGGCAGCAAAGGAAGAACTCACCGTGCAGATATGCTGCCATGCGGGCTGTTCAACATACCAACAAGATGTAGATGATGATTGCTTTGGGGTGTTCGTTCATTCCAAAGAACCCCAGATGGAATCAAGAGAGCGAAGAAGAAAGAAGATAATAAACAGGTGCAGAGATGCCAAAACATCATCATAACCTCGTTACTTGAAGTGGTTTGGCGAGAGAATGGGCGCGCAGACGATATAGAAAATGAACAGTTCCCCGGGTGTGGGTACTACAGCTGTAGCTGGACCAACTATGTACGTGTGTTGGTGAAACCAAGGGTTGCCAAACCGTTATCGGGTGCCTGATTTCGAAGCAGACCAAGGAAGCACCCAACAGTCATTCGAGACGCGTGAGACTACATAGTCGGGGAAGTTTTCGTCACAATTTGCTGTGTGCTGCAGTGGAGCCTCGCTTTACTCGAGCTTGAGTTGTTGGTAGACATCACTGCCCAGGCCCATGAGAACATCACAGACATTATGGGTCCCGCGAGTCCCTTTTAGGATAAGTCTTGCTGAGCTCCCCAATGCGGTCACAAGCTGGCTTACCGTCGTGTCCGGGTGCCGCTGCTGTGACGATTTCGACGCCTCAGGTTGAAGCGTTCCTGACCGAATTGTACCACGGGAAGCCGATAGCTTGCGATCTGGCTAGATTTATGGAGAAGAAGAAATCGTTGGAGGGGCAGGAGAACCGCGTGACGTTGGACGACATTCAATCTACGATGGCCCAGCTCAGGAAGGAGGTGACCCTCTGCGTTTTGCTGCTCTTGAGCTCATACGATATGTCCCGTCATCCTTGTGCTAGTTTTCAACATGTGCACTGCGTTGAAGTACACCGTGTGGTTCAACGTCAACCCTCTCTGCCTGTTGTCAAAAACCCCCCACTATTCACACATCATCGTACGTCGGCCCATAAGACTAGGCCAAGTATGTAACGAGGGGGGTCTTCGCGCCAAATAGCGAGCTTGAAATCGCCTTCCTCAAGCAAGCCACGGCACCGTTCGGACTACTCTCCAAATTCACTGTAGAGTGATGTGTACAGCCCGCTTTTCGTACCCCAGCCAATTGACGAGGGACTTCGTTGTTTCAGATGCTAGGCAACTAAAGGCCTATCTACATCAACATTGTGTCGTTGTACAAACACCCGACTCCCCCATTCCAGCGTAAGGTTCACCAAGTATCCGCCAGATGACACATCGTGGGAACTCTTTCCCTCCTCGCTAGTCTCGTTCCCCCCCATAACAAACAGGTTAGGATTGGATTCTTCAAAACACATGCATCTTCTCTACATGGCGTGGTTCAGTGGTTGCAATCCTTGGCATCTCCTTCTTGGCGATTCGTGTGCAATCGTGTTTGCTCGGAGCAGGTGGAGGAAGAAACAAATCAGGCCAAGTGGCACAAGGGCTCGGGTTCAGACTTTAATTCGAACCAAAACTTCCGGGAAAAGGTACGTGCTTTTGACTACTGTTGTCCACAAACACGGTGCTCAAGCCACCGCAAACGCTGATGGGCGCACGAAACTATCGGAACAGCGCAGTTGAGATGAGGATGACCGTGTGGACACTGCTGCTATGATAGACTAATGGATAACCAGTGTATGTAGCTCACTGTGTGGACCGATTCCGCTTTGGAATCCTTCAGAGTATACGCTCTTTTCACCAGCATCACATTCAAGGTAAACGTTTAAGGCTGCCTTCGAAGGCTTAATCTACCACTCCATTCTCCTGTTGCGCTGAAATTGGACATGTCGTTGACCTCATGCACCGGACCACGGACTGTTTGCGCTGGAAAGGTGCGGCGACACGAGTACATCGCGAGGGGCCCGCGTGAGCGCTACGCTAGGACGGTGACCGCTGTCCAAGAACATGGGTGGCAGGACCAACTCGAAATCAACAAACAAGTACGCACTGCGGGGTCTGTACAACGTGTCACTACGTACATTGCAGTAGTGATTAAGCTTGAGATGATATTCGCTAATGCGTGGTTGAGGCTTCTATCCAGACATGAGCAGGCAAAACCATTGAGTTACCCGGCGACCAACAATTAGGAGCTAATGTTCAAGCCAAGAATCAACAGAACCGCTGGCGGCGAGCTACACAGCTACAGAAAAACTGCTACACTCCAACGTGGTATCAGGCTATAGGCTGGCTGACCATTGCAACGTATGATACATCGTTGTCGGCCACGCCTTCTCACTTCCCGAGCTCCAAAAAAGATGCAACACCGCACAGTAGAGTCCAACGGCATGCGCCAAATGGAGCTGGCTCTCAGCATCAACCACTCGAGATATCAGGCTGATAGAAGTTTATCCAAGCATTCACGTACCTCGTCCTTCGATTTTCCCGTTCCTGTGCCACACTGTTGCCGCTGCTGCTGTTTAACCAGATGGTGCACGGAAAGAAGAGCTGTGCCGAGACAGTGTATGCATCCGAGCTGGTCAAGAGTGGGGTATACTTCTGAGCAAACTTCCTTGGGATAGTCGATACGTTAGAAATTAAGCCAACGGAGCGTGAGCTCTTGCCTCCACTTAACGGTTCGTCCGAACGAGGACGGGGTTTCCTCTTGGCGAGGCGTCTCTTCGTGAAACGGAAATGGTGTGCTTTGGCGGAAAACACCACGCCTTACTTGTGAAAAGATGGTGTGCCTGGCTGGTCCAACTAGACATATTGTTCAAGTGGGATGGGGTACTCTACCTGGTTCTCTCCAACAGCGTGTTGAACATGTGCAATCGTACCACCAGTAGGCGTTTGTCTTGGTGTGTCATGGGATTCGTGTTAACTGAGAATAACAGCAACGTCGAGGCCCAGTGACAACAGACAAACACGACCCCATTCGCAATGGATGCCACACCTAACGCTGCAGGCAGAGGTTGCGTCGGAGCGTGTTCTTATGAGGTAAGGTTTTTGTTGCTTTCTCCTAGAGCGTAAGCTTCCGTGTTGGTTCGGCCTGCTCAATACCCTAACGACGTACTACGCTATGTGGTTCTAGGGTTAGGGTTAGGGTTAGGGTTATACTTTTAGTAATTTGCTTGACTTGTGCACGAAAAGACGGTATTGTCGCCTACGAGACGTTCTAAGTCCAGAAACTGCCAAACAACTTTGATATGACGTTTTTTCGTCGGACGCGTGTCGACGAAGCAATCGAACTTAGATAGAACGGTGCCTCTGTGCACTCCTGATACGAAGACTGGCGAAGACTGGTCTCTGGCCACAGCATGCCCTTGTTTAATGGGGACCACCCTCCGCAGGAAGTTGACGGTTCGCAACCCAAGCACCGGTGACAACGTATATGAGGGCTTCTTCAATCAATCAAACTTCACTGTACCCCAACTACAAGAACCCCTGGGACGTTCGGGCGAAATCAATCTTTCTCTACAGCAACGCCGAGTCCGGCGTCGTCTTCCCCCCGTCTTCAACGGTCGGCTCGTACACAATTATCAATGCGAACGACCAAATCTGTCGTACACCTCGAAAAACCTTTGCTCACCACAGTTGGTATCGACTCATGCCCTCCACGCGTATACTTCATATTTTTCGTACATTGGAAAACCTTGGCATGAGTCGGCGCCCCGCTAAGAAATCAGTCCAGAGCGGGACCAAGAAAATTAGAACGAGAGGAAAGCTGCCGGCAGAACCGATCCCCAACAAAATATCGACTTCAGTGTCCAGATAATTCACCGGTGCTATACCGGACCAGCACTATTCAAAGTCCTGACAATGGCTTGAAAATTCAGCGTGTGTCCGCCGAAAACACCGGGACTATACCGGGCATTGGCAGTATTCAATCGGCACTAAACAGGGACCCCCACTGTGCTGAAGCCATACAAGCTCGCCACAGCTCCCCTCCCCACCCTTGCTCTGTTAGTACTTGAGACTGGTGAAAGCCGCGACTCCTGCTTTGACCCATGTCTCCTGGTCGGAACTGCCGGCGTTGTTGATAAAGTCCGCGCGGTTGGAGGGCAAGTCTATCCACATGACGAAGTTCGTCGAGTGCCCGGTGGTTGAAAGGGTCCCTCGTCTCGACAGCACCTTTTTGCGATTAGCAGCGGGGGGAGGAAGAGCTGTGAAACCGAAAGCGCTCTTAGGCGACGACCATGCGATGGGGCAATGCTGGTTTTCACGTGCTGCATTCTGCTAGCAGTGATCAATCAGCCAACTGTTGGTATTCCGGTAGACTGTACATACCCTTGTGGTTCACTTGTAGGTGCTTGGCTCGCAAGGCGGTTTTCCGTAAAATGTACCGAAGGCTGCCGTGCGCTTCCGGCTGTCCGTCTTTTGATGTGTACAAATACCACGCAATATTAGCGAGAGTCTGCCCTTTATTGGAAAAACTTTGTGGTGTGATGCAAGAACCAGGATGTGGAACTACCGAGGAGCCTCATTGCCCCAGAGGCCTCCTCTCCACACCCTCCCGTCTCAATCCGCCAATCACCATTGCCCATACCTTGTATACCGGGCACCGGTACACCCCCTTGTCTGGGTTTCGTCGATGCTGCTCTGGGTCGAGGTGGAGGACGGGGAGCGGGGTGTAGAGTTGCTTCGGTCGGGAGTCGTTGAGAGAAGCCACTTCTGAGTCCCACCTTCCTCCCTCCAGGAAAAGACCTCGGATGTACGCACCATCCTAAATTTAGTCGTTGTCAACAAACCGATTGGCAGAGGGCGTTAGTCCCAATCTCTTATACACAGTCCAGAGTACATTACTTTCAATGAGATAACAGGCGGCTTCATGCTGACCTCCTGATGCCAGGAAAACTAAATAGGTTAAGAAGAGCAAAACTCGTGTCGGCGAAGAATGCACACAAACAGAAACCACCGTTCGGCACCAACTTTGAGCATAGACTTGTGTGCACCTGTGGTCTCTCGGTAAGCTCTTCCCACGGGGTCTCCACGATGAGGAAGTTAAACTGCACGGTGTCAATGGCGAACTTCATCCGCCGGGCGAAGTTCTGCAGCGTTCCCGTCAAAAACGCCTTTGTTTGGACCGAAGAACACACGAAAAAACACAAGTAGAAATAAAGTTTGCTGTCAAGGCAGGTGTTGAATTCAATGTCAATGAAGGAAAGAAACGGCTGAATCCGTCCCACGACAAACAAACACCGCACATGGGAGGTGGGGGAAAAAATAACAAGAAAATCTTTCTCTTGTGAGATCCCGGCTGGTGTGCCTAAAACAAGCCTACGTTGAAAAACGTAACGTCCAGAAAAGATGGGGTGACCACAAACACAACAAAGTTAGCGGCAAGACTACTCCTTGTTGGCGGGAAGAGTAGAACGACAGATGACCTGAACTCCTGCGCCGTAAAACGATCGTTCCTGCTCGAAGAGAAGCACAACAAGTACTGTACTGTATCGCTTTTTGTTGTCTAGATATAAGACCATTGTCAAGCACAGACACGCCATACAGGACAGGCCACCCCCAGGTCACATGCACCAAACGGTAGGGTTTACGTGTCGATCAAGTTTCTCTTTACGGGTTGGGCAAGCAGATGCCGTGCGACGTTGCCTCGGCAAAAGCCACCTTTTCAGTACACCAGCGCCACAGTGTATTGTTCTAGTGGTGACACTTCGCTTTCTACCCCATAGTGCTCCAAGCCTGGAATTGAGATGACACGGCAGGATATCGAACTACGACCACGGTGTATCTCAGCAGTTTCTACCATCCCAACGGTTATTGGAAATCGTTATGACCTAGTTCTACCGTCTGTCTGAACGAGGTATTTGGTTGTCACGCAGACACAGTGTACCTGGGGGAAATAAAAGCCGGAGATCCAGAAAACGGCAGGGATGCCCTTGTCGATCCAGTCGCGGATGAAGTCTATTCGGCACATGACGTCCGCTACCCAAGCAGAAAGTGGCTTCATCGAAGGGTATGCCTGGGAATATCATAATGGGGAAGGTTAGCTACAGGGTCACAACGCGTGCGTTCTTTGGAGGGGTGAAAACTTCAGAGCTAGAAAGCTGCTGTGAAGCTTATCAACTTGGAAGCAATGTCGGGTGTGGCGGGTTCCACCACGGGTTCGGCCGGGTGGCCAAAGCAACGGGAAAAAGCGGGTTGTTCTACCTACCTAGCGTGCTACACTTGTTCCCTCATAGTCTTCAAGATTCAGGTGTTGCTCAGCAACTGTGATATGTTGTGTCACCTTCGCTTCCCAGCTTTCTGGCACAGCGTTGAGAGCGATCGCCTTCCCGACGGCTTCCAACTCCCCAGACATGACTACCAGTCCCTTTAAGGCCTTCTGAAGCTCAGGCAGGGACTGTTCCATGACGTCGATAAGCTTGTTATATCGGATGCATTCTTGTACCAGTACCTGGGGCAGAAAGAGGAGGAGCATTGGTCGAAACAGCCAACTTTTGGAGGGGTCACCAAGCCACTTTTCTTCTCCGTATGTAGAAAGGAATAAAAACGCGATGGTTACCGCCCACATGCTGACAGCCTCATAGATCAATTTTCAACGCTCAAACGTTCGCTCTCACTCCTTGTCCGAACCGAGTCGGCTTGTATTCATGCAGTTGGTTGTGTCCATACGATTCACACGCAGTTCGCTACATAACCGTATTCTCACCGTGTTCATGCTTTCCTCATAGACGACAGGATATTGCATAGTGATGGCCTCGATGTCGAATTGGCCCCCCTTCTCGGTGAGTTGGTCCTCGATAGACTTCGCCTCCGCCCAAAGCGCAGCCTCTCCTCCCGCTCCTCCTCCTCCACCTCCACCGGACTATCAGCATCAAAACATCGAAAGTGGAAGAACATCAAAGGCCTACGGTTGTTCTACACGCCCAAGTACACAAAACATCGCTAAAATGCCCTGAGACTTCGTTTTCGTGTACGGTTCTTTGTCTAGAGCACTTCGATACATACTCAGGACATCCACTTGTGAATCTTCGTAGAACGAGGGGCTTACGGCAGTATCTGCGTGCAAGCTACGAAATCACATGGGTCGCCTTCAAACGAAGAACGACGCAGCAGAGTGAAGTCAGCGTTCACATATGACACAATCGTGACTAACACATATAGCGTCGTTCCGAAGAGTCAGACCCATTCTCACACCGTCACCACCACGGATGCGTGCATGGGACCGCCTTCGCGGGGAATTAAGTATTATAAGGAAATATAACAGGGAGGGGGGGTGCAGACCCTATTCCCTAACCCTAAACATATCCCAATATGTTTGCTGAATACAGTTGTCCTGCCAAGGCTACTGCGCGCATTACATAAAACGTTTTTCTCCTGTAAAACTTGATTGGTGTATGGAATCACGAGACTTCGAGTACCTTGCTCTACGGGGTATTGTATCCCTGTACTTGTTTGGTTTCCGATGGAAAGAAAATCCGTCGACTGCTCAGTCAATGTGGTGTGCGTGTTGTGCCGTACGGTGAAGCTTGCATCTCACCTCCATCAGGAGGACCGTGTCAAATATCACGAACGTTTCCGCTAAGGCGCAGGCAATATTTGCGTTCTCGTGCAGGCCGAACACCCCAGGCCCCGCCGTCATGGGCATTGCCTCGATGTTCTCCATGTAGCTGCGGTGTGGATCGTCTGGGTTGTAGTTGATGCTCGGGTAGATGCCGTCCTCGTCGAAAGAGTAGTCCGAATCAAGAACCTGGTAGACGGGTGTGGGTGTGAATTCCGGTGGCGTGGCGTGAAGGTAGAGCTATTGTTCACGGTAAAAGGTAGTAGACCTCGTGCGGTTGGCCAAAGTATTATAGGAAGAACGGCTCTTTCTAGGAGAGGAGGTCTCTGATTGAGCTATTTAGGCCTCGTGTGAGCTATGGGCGGGGTACAATTTTCATCGACAATTGAGACAGCAGTCCGGAGGAAGTAGCTGGTTCAGGTCCACCCTGCACTCGTTCTCGTGAAAGGCATAAGCAGAACGTCAAAACACTTCACCCCAACTGATGCTCAGTTTAGAATCCTGCAATAAAACAACAGTGTCCATCATGAATAACATCACAGAGAGAACGAAACGAGCCCTAGGCACAACAAGAGGTTGTTATTTGGTGGGGCCTTCTGTAGACGGCCCTCACTGGGCCAAATTTGACCCTGGCCCTCCCTCAAAATGTCTGAAATACTGTCTACCTACCGTGGGATCACGCTTAAGCCCTCACTACTTTATACTCTGGAGTACTCCGCAGGCGGTCTGCAGCACGGCCCCATCACGTGCAAGACCGTGCGTCCAGTGTCTCCACCGAAAACGAGTTCTTAGGCTCACCCGAGGTGTGTAGAAGGTCCGCATTATAACGTCTATCGTCCTCAGGTCGATGTAGTCCGTCACCCTCCCCCCGTAGTTGATGTAGCTTGTCAGGAAGTTCAGCACCCGATACGGCACCTTGTGGTAGCATCCGGGGTCGCATTTTCACAGAAAACGAACTTTGAGAAAGGTCTTCATAAGGACTCTACAGTCATGGTACCGGCGCAAGCTGCCGACGAAGCGTCAAGCTGTTGTAGTCAACAAACCTAAGCACATCTGCACCCCCAACTCCCGTGGCGGTTGTACTGGCACATCATACGAAGAAAGACTTCGCTAAACGTTTTCTTGGACTCTGGCGAAGTTTGTCTTGTGACTGGAGGAACGGGATACAGGTGTGAGCGGCGGTCGGTTGTGACGGCGACGGCAGCAACAGCTGCAGCATCAACAACAACAACAACAGCAACAGAGTTGGCCACGTTCTCCGATTCCTGGTCACCGTCGCACCTCCTCGTAGCTGTCGAGGAAGATCTCGAGCTGCCCCTTGCTAATATCGAGATCGGTGTCGTTAAACTCGTAAGGTACGTTCCATCCCAATGGTCCGAATTTCCGTCTCTCCTGCACGAACATTAGACCGGAGGGTGTGGTATAATAGCAGAAACAATAGAGAAAAAGCCAGGTAGCAAGGAGTGTTGGTTAAGCCGCTGTATGTGCAGCCAACATTGCATCGGGATACAGTCGAATGTAAGATCGTGCAATTTATTTGCTCAATCGAGCGGCAGTAAAAGCTTTGTGGGAGGCGTTTGATGGTAAGAGTTGACGGTGGGCCGGTGTGGCAATTCCCTGCAAACCTAACCCGATATACAGGAAACAGGAGGCCAAGATTCACCGTTCCGGTCTGCCGTTGGCTTTTGCCACATGGAGAGGGGCTATTCAGGTATTTCTCTATCTCTTCGCGGCACAATCATTGTGCTGATTTGTCTTGTAAGTTACTAGCTGCTACGGTAGTTAAAGTACAAGGCTGGCACCGACTGAAATATTCGCTGATACACCGCCTATGCTGCAGCTGGACTGGGAAGAAGCGGAGATGATACTCACTGAAATTGGGTTAGAATATGAGGGTTAGGATGGCCGTACGGTGATACTTCATGCCAATTGTTGTTGTTGTTGTTGTTGTTGTCGTCGTCGTTATTAATGTTGTTTTCGCCCCTTCAGTCATGTGCGCCCATCTACACCTTTCAGTGAATGCTTGCCGCACTACACTAGACGGGGTCTGACACGAAGGAAGGTAAACACGGTTACTAATCTTATCCTTTTTTTTTCCCTACAGTGCTTGCCGTCATGTTTTATCGCGAAAAGGGTTCAGCAGTTCCTTCCCTCTTTTGTCGAGTTTGCTCACGCTTGGCGCTCCACCTCTTGGGCGCAAACCATGCGCTCCAGACTGATTCGACTCCGCCATCTAGGGAGTCAGAAGGTTGCGAAGTTACCAACGAACCACCGGGGCGACCGGTCAATACAAACCAAACAACTATATCGATGGAAAAATTACCTGAACGCTTGCGTGGAAGAAGCAAAGTGCGAAGAGAAGCTTCTTGTACACGGTGGGGCTGGCAGTGACGCTCAGCTTGTTGTTGTCCAACTTGTAGTAGGCACTCTTCAGGTTCGCCTGGCCATGGCGTTGTGATGTAGTTAAGGCAAGTGGGGTGTTGGTATTAGACTTGGAGGCGATGAAACGAATCAGACGTATTGACGGTGGTGTTATTGCGACGCAAGATGCAAGAGAGGGAATCAGTGAATGTTATCAGGACTTCTCGAGACAAAAATGCACTCAAGAGAACCCCCCTCACAGATACTGCATTGAAAACATCGTTGCTTCTCGAAAGCAATATCATAATCGAACGGCTACGCTAGCGAAACGTTTCTAGATTTGTTGTGCAGACCCTTACTCCGGGAACATGCAGCAGAGATGCTCACTGTCGTTCTTCGGCTCTCCGCGGCCGCGACAAACGTGCGAAAGCAAGCCACCAATGAACGAAGCTATTCTGGACGCTAACCGTATTCTTCGCATTGACCAATCACCTTCAAACCCTTGGGCGGTTCATTGGTCATCTTGACCCCATTCTGCAGGATGGACACCGGGAACTCCTTGCACGGCATGCTCGTGAGCCACAGGCGGAAGTCCTTGTGCACCGTCTCTGGACTGAGCTCCTCGCACATCCGCTCCAGCTCCGCCAGCCAAGATATATACAAATGGCAATTCTGGAGGTACACCTGCACAGAGGTGAACAGCGATTGGTGATACAGTCAGGCGTTGCTACGACGCACGTCTTTCAAGTGCTGAGGCTTGTATTAAGGATTTGTGTCAGCCGGAGGGAAATCGGTTGTGTAACAAAGGAAGGGGAATATTCTACGCCGGAGGCAGGAATTTTCCACATGAGATAGCTCTGGCGGTGCAGTTGAGGCACGTCATCTAGAGGGTGTTGACACGTTGGCTATCATCGCGGCATGCGAAAATCATGGCTAGCGCAAAAATAATTGATACGGGCCGTGATGAGCGAACATTCCAAGAACACAGTCAGGTTTCGATGCGGCTAGTACGTCTTGTAGTAGACTGTGAAAGGCCAGGTCCTGTGACTCACCCACGTCCCCTTTTGGCTAGCCTCCTCGATCAGCCTGGTGGCCTTCAGGCCCTGTCCCTGTCCCAGACTCAGGCCCTTGACCTTCTTATCGAATCGCATCTGGGCCGCAAACTGGTAGAATGCCTTCGTAGGGTCTGCCGCGTCGATATTTTCCACACGTTATACGTACGTGGTGCACGTTAGTTTTTGTCGCCCCGAGTAATACCAAGCTTACGAGAAAGCAAAGAGGGAAGCGTGAGCAACACAAGTATCTCATTTGTCGCACACAACCGAAAAAATAAATATCAACCCGTCGCTAGCAATTATTGGGGTACATCGAAGCACACCCCAGCATCCTCACGAACTTCCACTACCTGATTCCTCGTTTTGCAACAGTCCAATCCTATCGAACACGTCGGCTTGCCGCCTATACTTTGGATATTCTCTAAGGCTGGTCCCACTTTCGAAGCTTGAAATAGCAGTTCAAAGGCCCCAGGCTTTGTTTTGGGGAATAATTGTGGCTGTTTAATGTGTGAAGCTAGATTTCGGTGAACGCCACACTTTGATTGATTTCTAATTCAACGGGGAGACGAGAGACCAGAGGCAAACGTAACCTGGAAACCCCATATACTCGCAGAGCCAATTTATATGACACAATAAGCGCCCTACCACAGTCAAACCACTTAGTCTAGCACCATATTCCGCACGCCCGATCATACGTTAGTTACGTACCCGACCCCTTGGACAGCACGAAGATGAGCGGGGTGAGAACCGTGGAGTCCTGGAAGCACGACTCCAGGTCAAACGGCGGCGGTTCGACGAACTCTTTTCCGAGGCTGTTTATGACGTAGCTAAGGATAGCGTCCGGCATCTTGTCAGCCCGAACGCAGCGCAGCATGCACAGCCTTTGGAGGGGGTTGAGTTTTCCCTCCCACTCTCCAGGGAAAGGAAGAGTTTGAGGCTCCATGTGATCGTACATGCTCTGAGACGGTAGGTTTGGCAACAGCGTCAAAAGAGCGAGAAATGAGAGAGGTATAGCATGTGCGTTGGTAATATGATGCGATTTTCTGGGAATCAATGACGGCCGTTCTAGCGATTCATCCCTAAGCAGTACGATCGTGAAGTAGGTGAATGCAGTGATACATTGGGCACCTCATCCTTGAATTGGATCAAGGGAACAAAACAACAACGCTGACTCAAGAACGTTTCGCTGTGTCCGTGCGAGGGGTCGCAGGAACACTCCCCTTCCATCATCCACACAAGATCGGCGAGGTCCCCCAAACACGTGGCTTTAAGGGTACGGATGAAAGGTGCTGAGAATGCAAGCCACTGTATGACCAAGCTTCGGGAGTTATTTCGTAGAGAGAGGCAGGCTAGACCGCAAGTGTACCTTGAAATCCTCAAGCAGGGGTCCTGCGAAGCTTGCCGCCAGGCCCTCGAACGCCGGCAGTCCCGCCAAAGCTTGCACTTCGCTCCACATGCGAGCGTCGATCCAATCCGGGCCCGGGTTTTCCCCGGCCTGCACAGGCGTGTAGGTCTTGCCCGAAATAAGGAAAGACCACTCGTTGTCGTCGATCAAGTTGTCCCCCTTGTACATGGACAGATATTCAAGTCGGAAGAGTCACAGAAACGGGTGGAAATAGTCGTGTTATGTAGCTCGGTGTGGAACATTCAGTCGGTACAAGGTGGTTTAAGTGGTTGGATCGAGGAATCCCTTACGGTAGATCGGCATTCTACTGCTTTTCGGTTGCTCTCCCTGGATACTGACATCAGCAGAGGACAACGGGCAAGGGGGGAGGATTGATGAGAGCACCTTGCACCATCAAAATCTAGTGACCAACCGCCCGAGGTGCAACCTATCAGTCCTAAATTTCAAGCTTGTCGCCCGCTACTACAATTGTGCTCATGTTTCATTGCACATGTGGTGACGCTACGGACGACGTCTGAACCTGCAAAACAAGAACACACGTACCTGAAGAACCCTGACGGTGATGAGGAAGGAAAACAGCAACTTATCCTTCTCGAAGAGGCTCCTGCACACGTTGGTGTAGACGTAGTAGGTGAAGAAGTTGTTGAGCTCCTCTAATCGCTCCTCCAAGACGTCGCTCTTTTCGCTCAGACGAATCCCCTGGCCGTGTCGTAGGAGAGAAACGGACGAACGCTACGTTTTGAAGCAGCAGGCACTAGCTCTCGCGTGTACTTCGCATTGTGTTTTGCCCTTAATATCAGACTGGGGATAGTCGTGCGTCGTACCTAGGGACCAGCACGGAACAAACCCGAAGCTACCGGTAGGAGGCCAGGAAGGGGCTGACTCTCGTTGACAACAACAGTAACAGACGCACGACCTGCTCACCTGCACGAAGAGGTTGGTGAACCACTGCAAGGAGTACTGGTACATGGGGTCGACGACGTTGAAGTCTCTCACGCAGAAGTACATGATGGCGCCTCGGTATGCGACCGGTCGGTATCCCTCGCGATTCAGATCGATCTCCTTCTCTGTCACCTCCGCTTCCGCCACCTGTTTTGGTCAGGTAGCCGAGGGGGTAAGTGGAGTGCGTGGGGTGGATGTCTCAGAAACATTCGGAAAATACGGGGCAACACCTGCTTCAGTATCGCATTCGTTTTGGTGCATTTTCTTTCGCTGTAATATAATGTAGTTTGCCCGAGTATCTTGAGCGATATTCACGAGCAACTCCTCAGAAAACACGTCGGAGAATACATACGACGAAAGAAGCTCAATACCACTAAACAATCCAGAAATAACCACCAATAGAGCATTATCAGCAGCGGCAACAACATCTCATCGACAGCAACAGCAACAACAACGGCAATGGCAACGGTAACTGATACCTTGAGCGTGATTTCTGTAGACGTTTTCTTTGAAGAGGCGAGCGTTTCGATCAGCTCGTGATCGTCCAGGATATTCCCCTTGGAATTGCTCAACAAAAACAGGATGCGGTTCTCGATTTCCTGCAGCTCCTTCTTCATTTTTGCGTTTGCAACCACTGCAATTTCACGGGACGAGGCGGACGGTTGTATGAAATAAGAGCTACATAGTACGTAGACCATGAGGTATTACTTGATTCACACCACGACTTACGCTTCTTGTTCGTTACGTCCTTGGTCACTGTCGCCATGCACCAATTGTGCAAGTCGGTAAGGAAGAATATCAACCAGCGTAGACAAGTACCGATTGAAGCTCTTCTTTGCAACTCAAGGTGGCCGGGCAGTGACTACAGAAAGGCACTAGCCCACAAGGGAGTACACACCCAAGGTGTTCTTTTTCTCCTGCATCTCCGGCATCTCCTCGACGACCACCACTCCAAGCAGCTGATCCTCGAGGCCAGTGAAGGTGATGGCGAAGTTGAGCAGGCTGACCTTCACAGACACCTCTGGGGGGTAGTGAGGGTTGCTGAGCTTGGTGGTCATGAAGAATCGGAACTGGTCGTTCCACGGGATGGTGGAGTCGCCCACCTGACATTTCCCAGCAACGCCACACCAAGGCAGCATACGTACGGGGTAGATGCCAGGGTGTGGTCAGAGCACCAGAATTGTCGTAGTGACGGGACATCATCAAGCATGGAAAAGACCGAGCAAGGCAGAAGGCACTCTTATCTGGACGGGTAGTTCGTGAACACAGGTTTATTCATTGCCCTTCACCTGCGTATCAACCGTCAGTCAAACACTCACAAGACGGGGGCGAGTTGTTACATGGCAACAGTTCACTTCGTTCCAACAATGACCAAGACTCGATGACAATATCGCAGACATTTTTTGTTCTCAAGGAACACCTAGCCCATGCTGAAGGTTGCCAGAATATCGACGTCCAATATCTAACCTTGATCATTTCGGTGCCCCCTTGCTTGAACTTCTGTTGGAGGAGCAGCGGCTCCAGTGCCGCGTCCAGGGCTTCCTGTAAATTGGTGGGGGGGTATTCCGAGAAGCATACATTCATCACCAAACGACCGACTGAGGGTACAGTGTGCCACCTTCTTTTCCACCTTTCTGATTATCCAATTTCCGCGATGGAAGCATGCGGTTGGCGTGTTTAGTGACCCGGTTGGTGCCCGGATCACGGCGTGGTGGCAAACGGCCAAGCAGTAGGATCATGGTACTTGGGAGTTTGTTCGTTGGTGAACTTCACGGTGTTTGGCATGGTCTGTTCTGCTATCGCTGGGAACGAGCGTGGTTAGGAGTTTCTCGGACTCTTTATCAAAGATTTACCCAGGCTAGCGTAGCGTCTAATGTTTGTCTTACCTGAACGTTTTCCAGGAGAACCCAGCGCCCAAATCGGATGCCGTTTTCGAGGGTCCTCAAGAAGTTCTTGTCGCTGAGCTTAATCACATCGATACCGTTCAAGGAGAAGCTCGGATCCTTGCCCATGTTCTTGATGTAGCGGTTGGCTTGACCCTGAAGACAAACGAAGCCAACAACACTCTTCAGCTAAGACATTTGTGTGCGGCATACTTTATGTTCGAATGTCTATCCCTTTGCTGGGACTGGCTGTTTTGGACAGGATGATGATTTTACCGATTGGCTTGGAAGTGAACATACGACGACCGGGTCTTGTCTCGTGAGGTCCAAGCTGATAATGTACGACAAGGGGAGAGTGAGAGAGGATAGTCATTTTTACCTACAGCAGTCCACGAGCGACCTCAGTTGTTGGTGGAAGAGCTGACCGAACGGCGCAAGACCCGATGTATCTACTACGTCGACTGAGCGGTGCTACCAACGCGCTTGGAGGGAATCCTGGGAAAAACTCTCCGTAGATTATTGGGCCTTTCATCGAAGGAAAGCCAGAATCACTTTGTCGTCCGCATCCGCAATAGACGACCCTTCCCTCGTCTCTCAAACTCCGTGTCAACCAAACATACGATATTAGTCTGTCTTGTCACACGATATCATAACAAAACGTTCGAAATATTGAAGCAACAGCCTTACCTGCGGGTCGATCAGCAAAGGATACCGCCTTGCAAGGCTCATGAAGATCCCGTTTTCGATTGAATGCCCGTCGCTGGGAAGCCCCACAATGGCCCATCCTCGGATCTGAGAAATCGCATCATGGGGGGGAAGATGGCGCGGATAAGGTGGAGAGGCTGTGCGGCAAAGTAGGTTTCAACTACGTTCTCGAATAGAGTGCGATTTACGGTGCTGTTTTGTAGTTGGTCAGGGTACAAGAAAGGCCAGCGAAAGGGCCAGCGAAAAGGCCGGCGACAAGAGATACACTGCTTACATAGTTTACAGACGTTTGGCCGGGTTCCTCTCGAAACCAATCAACACTCACGATCAAGCAGTTCAGACGCAGAGTGGGAAGGTCCGACATGCAACCGACTTTGAGAGGGTAGAAATGATAGGTGAGCGCGATGCAAAGCTCTCCTTCAAAGTACAAGCGGATGTGCAGCATTGCATACATTAGCCGCATCGCCGCGCACAACACCCACGATGCCACACTGGTGCCCACACACTTGTAAACGCACGGAGAATTCCCAGTGTTGCACGTGGATCCACAAAACCAATGTACCTGCACGGGGTCAGCAAGAGTGAGACGAACGTCGCAGCCATCGCTGTGCGGGATGTCAAGCTCTACCAGCTTCTCCTGCCAGCCCTTGACGAGCTTTTGCCGGAAGTCGGGGGTAAATGGACCCGAGTAGGCGATCATGCCGGCCGATACTAACACGTCCCCGACCAGGTTCTCGTAGTCCTTCGTCAGCTGGGCCACGCTCACCTATTGTTTTTGCCGTACCGCGTCAAATGTGAGGAAGTATTTGATCGTGCTGACGGCATTGACATTAAGATTGTCAGTCGATCATATCCTGGCTATCGTGATGTTACCTTCAACATTTCCTGGAATCAAGCTCCCGGGGTGAGAGCACTCTACACGTGAGCTATCAGTCGTTCGAGTAAAACCCGATAAAATGAAAACATACCCCATATCGCTGGTATCATCTTGAACCAGTAGTACATAGCACGCAGCTGATTCGCTCGACTTACGGTCCATCGGTCCTTCTCTCCACCGAGCCCTCCGATAAGCTTCTGTGCGCGGTCAAGCCTTGCCCTGCACTCCTCCACGTCGGCCACCAGTTTTTCCTGGAACCAGTGAAAGCGCAAGGAAGCATTACCGTCGCAGGTCAAGGAACTTACTGCATAGGCGTCGAGATCCGAACTGTTTCGGGAACAATCGAGTGTTGCGAATGATTTTGCACGTCGTCCGTAAAGTTGGCATGGTTTCATGTGAAATGGAGCTGATGAAGCAAGGTGGAAGAGCGCAGGGCTAATGGGCAACCGAAAGACGAGCAGGCAGGATGAAAATAACGTGCACTCGGCCCGAAACTAGTGCGTTCGAACTTGTACGTCAGCATATCGCTGAAAAAGCGTGTAGGCTAGACTATGTTGCCATCAACGATTCCATGTCGAAGATGTCCTGAGATGCATGATTGATCTTCCGGATGCATGTCATCTTCCGTCCCTTCCTTTGCGTTGGCGTGCCACACTGCCTCATCTGCCTTATTTCTCTGTCATGCGCTATATAACCTAACCCCAAACCTGAACCAAAACCCTACGCTAACCTTCTTGGTGTTGGCCTCGTCAAATTGGGCCTCCAGCGCCGCCACTTTGGCCAAAGTTTCCTTCAAAACAGATTGCGCCTGGGCCAGCTCCGCCATGGTCACGTCCAGTTCGATCTGGGCGAAACGAGGTTGGCAGGGGTTACTACGTGGTGGAAAATCACGCCTGCACTACATGACCAAGTTCGTATTTATCTCATCTGTCTTTGCTTTCCCGTAGCAGTAAGCACATGAGGTTATTTCGGTGCGTAGGTCCTTGCACCTGCCCTGACCACAGGTTTAAAGTTATGTGAGCATTGCACAGCGCGCGACGGGTTGCCGGAAACGTTGCATATGGCGATTGAATGCGAGCCAGCTCTACGGGGGGTTGGGGAGGATTGTCATTTGGAGTAGGTAGAGACAGGGTTGAGCAGAAGCACGGGTTCCGCATTCTTGCGCTGTGAATTAAAGAGCTCTTCCTACATTAAGTCATATTCAATTTTATCGGGGCCCGCTCTACTCTGTGGTGAGCAGCATATTCTACAAGTAACTCGGGGAATCGCGACATGTAGTTGTTTCTTCACACGCACCTGCTTCTCTGCCAGGAGCTTTCTCTTGGGCTCGACTTGCTTGGCCACCATGTTGTACTTGTGCATGGCCCGCACCCACAGACAGATGGCCGTGCAAGCCTTAGAGGCCTTCTCGATTTGCTTCGCCTCGAAATCCGGGTTAACCACAAACGGATCGATTGCCTGACGATGTCGCCGCCCCAGTATCCATCGTTGATTGACGGATACAACGAAATATGATAGAAGAGGCCGTAAGGGTAGGCAGCGGGGAGGAGGGGAGGTCAGGGGGGTCCGTGCACACGGTAGAAATACTCACGTATGAGGCGTCGACATATGCCGAATTGGGCTGAAACAGCACCAATCGATGCTGCAGGTCTGGAGAATGCCTTTGATGGGTGGGTTTGGTGAGGAGAGAGAGAGAGAGAGCACGGGATACATGTGATTGGTGAACGCCAGCGAAAGCGGACAGTGGGGGGAGTATTCTACGATTTAGAAATCTCCAACTACGACTGAGACAAAGTCGGATAACGGGCACTCGGTTTTCAAAAGAGCTTTCCAAAGGAACATATGGGAAGGTAATAATGGTCCACACAACAAGGGCAATATCACAGCTCGTGGACACTCGAAATTCCTGTCGTTGGCAATGTCAGTTCATAATTTTGGTTCATGTTGCTCACCGCGATAACCTTGTCGGGAATGTTGTCTTTGTCAAACTCCTGCATGTCTTGCAGAAGCTTATTGGCGTTGGACAGGAGGGTCTTTTTCGCAGCACCGAACCAGTCGTTGATCTGAGGCGGCCAGCAATATAATCGGAAAAAGTATCAGACATTCTGGTTTAAGGTCATGAACATGAACACTGATGCAACCCCCGTGGTTATTACCCAAAACACTAAATAGTTAAGTTTGACTGCTGTTTGCGTATTGGGACGTTTGGTTTCCGGGCTAGTCTTCGTGCTAACGTGCGACACTGCTTGGCAATGATCCTATATGGGGTTCGCTTTTTCTTTCGCCTGGTGTGTGGGTCTGGAAATATTGCAGTGCGCTCAACGGGCCAAGACGCGGTGACATTGCGCATTCTTTGTACTGGCTAGAGCTGCCCTAGAGTCATTGAAGAGATTAAAGCAGCAAGTCCGCCCCCGATAACTGTGGTATCTACCATCTACAGGCACTTCGGTTCTTCCCGTGGTGGTGAAGGTGTCATGCCGTGCGATGCCCTCCCGAATGAAACAAGTGGCTCTCTACTCGCCTTTTTCCCAGGGTTGTCGGGGTCGTTGATCTTGTCAGGCTTGATGCCGAACATGATGCAGGTCGCCTCCATCGTCAGCTTCACACCGTACGGAGGCTTTCCGAGGCTTTTAACCTATACTTGCAAAATTGTAGTCCAGTTGGTTGCATGCTCTCACCAAACATGCAGCAGATTCTTGCTGCATGTCACACCTTCCTCTACGCGAGGAGCTACGCCCAGCACCCGGTTCAAATTGTGCAAGTGTGACTACCGAGAATTCGGGCACATGTCGTCTCTCAGCACTCTCGGTTATACACAACAAGCCCTAGGGTATGAGAGATATAGGTAACTAGGGTATACTTCGACAGCGTACTACAAAAACACGTCACGATCGAAGCACACCCGAAGACGGTCAGAGGTATTTCAGCCAACGAAACAAGGTAGAAACGCCAGGGCGCTGAGAATCGCGACTCGCCTCGTCGATGTCGTTCTTTTTGAGGTCCTTGAGGCACGCCACGGCCACATCGAGAGCCGGCAATGCCTCGTCGAGATCTCTCTGAGCGTCGTCGGCGATAGCCTTTGTCGCCGCTGCCTTCTCCTGGGCGACGGCCTCTTGACCCTCAACCTGTGATTGTGGTTTTATGGAACTGATCGTTATCACGTTGAGCCTGATTTTGGTTCAGGATAGATATCAAGCACGGTTGTTGTTATGGCTACAGTTGCAAAAGTTGGTTCGAGTGAGGTTGTGAACGTAGTTGTCAAAATCACAATTACGTTGAGAGCGTGGCGTCAACTACTGGTTTGCGGGGGCTAGCACGGGTTCTCACCGTCTTCTGCGTCTTTCCCGCCTCTTCCTTGTCCTGCATGATGGTCACGATCATCACTTCTACCTCGGCTTGGGTCTTGATCAACACCGGTTCCATGGCTGTGAGCTGCTCTTGCAGCCCCCCTACCTGCTCCTGTGTCGAAATGATCTTGTCCAAGCCCACCTATACACCCGTGCAGAAGGTACAATAAAGGAAAAACATGTGATGATTTCACGTGGGCTGCGAAACACAATACGCACGAATGATGTAGAAGGTCCTCTGTCTGTCACAAACGAGAGAATTGATGCCTCAAGTGTGCCGGTACCCTCTTGTCGTCCCATCTACCCCTGAATTCCACGTTCTTGGTCTTGATGAAGAAGGTTGCGGCGCATGGGTCCGCGATGTGACGCAACATTTCGGCTGCGTTAACAGGATATAAGTTGCACCGTTTTCTTCAATGCGGAAAAAGCAGCTGTGACAGCAACAGCAACAACAAGAGTAGTATGCTCTGCAATTGGATGCCTTTGACCCGTAAACGGTTCTTGTAGAGGCCGACCTTCGAGGCTGGCCGTATCTACGACGACAACTGTTTTGTCAGCTGGGGTATATCGACAATGCTACAACACTGATTGTACCTGCTAGTTAATAATCTGGCGACAACAACAACCCCCGTTCAATCGAAATGAGGTTTCATACCTGCAGACGGTTCTTGAGGGTGCCGACTTCGAGCCTCTTCATCGTCAAGACATTCCTGTAAGTGCTCAGCACCTCCAGATATGACGTCGGCGTCACATAGTTGTAACGCCTCAGGGAAGACAAGAACTCCAGGGACTCCTTAGCCACGCTCTGATGCACATGCTTCACCATCTATGCCACGGAGGAAGGGTAGGTCAACGGAGAAGTGCAGAGCAAATTTTCGTAGAGGGTATTTGTCAGCAGTCAGGAGCCGGATAAGCTCTGAGCGCGCATCGTTAGCACCATCTATCAATCAGGAGAGGAAGGAAGATAGGTGCGCTGTCGGTCGCCGTTGTACATTTGTGCCAAAACATTCGTGTGTCTTCTCGCAAGGGCGCCTAGAGTCCAGTTTGGCTGACCACGGGTACGGTCGGCACTGTTGTTCTAACGACATTCAGTGAGAGCGATACAGGGTGCAAAATACAGTGGGGATAGAGCAGCGAGGAACTTTGTCGTGAAGGGGCCCAAGCGGCAACCTCGGATCCCCGTACACCAACACGATCACACCGGCAACACGTGGTTGGGGTTCTTATCAACAGGTAAGAGGAAGGAGGGGGTGGGGGGCGAGTTGTGCTAAAGAAAACAATGTCTGTGGGGACACCGTACTGGTTGTTGCTTGCCGAGCTCCATTGGGCGTTACAATGAGGATTGCCCTTCCTTCCGTGTTGAGGCCAGATAAATGTTTCCCGAGAATGCTCAAGCTAATACACTGATCATGACGCATCAGCTTGTCGGTTCTTCACTCACCTCGACAACCTTGCGCTCATTCTCGCCTAGATCCAGTTTGGACTCCGAGAGACTGCGAGTTGCCACGGATTTCAAAGCCTGTTTGGATACACAATTTCAGTAAGGCCTTGAACATCTTTTTTTTTCTACCAATTACGTCGTTGGCATCAGTGTTTGATAATTTTTATCTAAATAATCTCGTACGTCATGCAACGGCACGCCTCAGGCACCATCGTCCCATTGAATGCTGCTGAAAATGGCAGACGCCAAAGCCAAACAAGATGTGAGCGCCTGCGAATGACCCAGACAAGTCTCTCTAAGAACATGCTTTCAGTACCACTTCGGAACAGCACACCCATCATTGACACCCATGCAGGGCCGCATACGGCTGCGCCAAGACTGTGGCGATAGCGCAGCATCTCGTGGTGCACAACAGAGTTCACACACATTCTAAGCAATACTGACTACGTAGTGCATATGACTGTTCTTCTTGCGTGGGGTATGTCTGGAGGCAACTCCTGATAAAATGGCTTCAAGAAGGCCAACCAAACCAAACAAGTTGACCTTACATGTATCCTCACGAAGAAGCAACGAGGAAGAAGCTGAGCGGTAGATCACCCACCTCGTCGGGCCATTCCATGAACCAGTCAATGGTGCAACAGTTGACAATGGAGGGGAACATGCGGAGGCGTGTCCGGAAGGCTTCCCCCAGGGGCGACATGCACAGGACGATGTGGATGTTAGCCCGCACGCGGTTGATGTACTGCCGTGGTGATGCCGTACCGTGCCGTACCGTGCCGTACCGTGCCGTACGGTGAATACCGTGTCGAGTCGAGAACAAGCAACGAACGTAACAAGTAGGAACGGTATATATTCCGTCAATGTTACATGTACCGAGATGGAACAAAGGGGGGATCACACAACATACTCAGTCCGACGAAAACCCAAACATAGGGGTTTTGTGCAAAACCTGTGTGGAGTCGATTCTGGATTCAATAATTGTTTGCGACTGAAAACATTCGGGGTTCACAACAAGAACAGACGACAAGAGCAGAACGCAGGCTTCTGTGAAGACGCTTCGGACCTAGAGTAAATTACATCAGCATGGAATTGAAAACTGAAAACATGTGGCTGCAGGATGATCTCGTATGTGGTACTTTTCTCCACAGCTCATAAAGGGTCATTCATCTCGGTTGGACCGCAAAGACGCCTAGCTGGTCGGCCTGTGCGTCGTGTGGGCTGTTCACACTTGCTTGCACGCATGGAGATGGCCTACCTGCCCGAAGACGTTTAGCTTGGTGGCCGGGATGCGCTTTTTGGCGCAGATAGGCCTACAAGCGGTCATAATGCGGTCCATCTCCTCCGGCCCGTATAGGTTAGGGACATCCCCCGAGTTCAAGATGTTGTTCACGTCTTCCAACATACCCTCGTTGACGATCTGCATTAGGTTGGGTTCAACCAGAACACGGTTGTACTTTTTAGTCGCTGGTCTGTAAGATGCAACTTGCACACATTTGACGTTAGTGAGCTTCGTAGGTTGAACCTAAGTATGTGTTTCTATTGGAGTGGCCACCGTAGCCTTACTAAGGGGAATATAAAACGAATTATTGTTTTTCTTTCGAGTTGCTTTGATTAAAAGGAGTATTTTCTATGACCTTCGGAGGGAGACTTCCCCCGTACAACACGTCCCGCACGGCACAAAGCCTCCGCGGTATCCTAACGTGTCTTTGCTACTAAACACAAATCTCCCTCCAAATACCACCAGACGGGACGAAACTGTTGTACAGTAGTAATCTCGGACGATTGAGCCTCCCAATGGTACGCGCTACCATTCAGAAATAACCCAATTCGAAGTCGTGCGAATAATTGCTTAGGGAGACAACAGTAAAACCCGTCGGGTGGTCCGATGTCATACCATACGCTTTTATTATCAGACAAGAACTGGTGCGATACATACGTTGCGTGCAACTTGACCGCGAAACGAAATGGCACAGCTCAGCCGTTGGGCTTCGTGCCGCCCCGCCAGCCTAGAAGACCCCAAACCGGAGGACTCAGAGAGTTCCTCCACCAAGAAGCACACCGGCAGTGAGCTTCGTATTTCGAACCCACATGTATGTGTTTCTATTGCAGGTTGGCCACCGTAACCTTACTAAGGGGAATACAAAAAGATTTTCAAACGTGTTCTATACAAGCCACAACGACACATGAGATACTCGCCTGGGTGTCGTTGAAGAGGAAAACCACGGATTTGTCGTCCACGCCTGCCTGCATAAGGCACACCTTGAGGTCCTCATGCCACTCGACCGTCCCGTAGTTCTTTGCGATCTCGATCTGATTGGTCAAAAACGCACGAACCAGTCAGTGGCCCTAGGTAAACCCGACGGTGAGCTTGGGGAGGGGAAAGCTCGGCGATATTTTTGCGGAGGAAGACATCGGGCGCGCATTTCCTACACATGGACACATATTCGCAAGCAATAGACTTCCAGTATGCCCAGCGTATTGTACCTGGAAGAGAACGAAATCCGCCATAAATGTTGCCAAGCGAGTCAGAGACTGCCGTCCAGATCCCCCCACCCCGAGCAGCAGGGCGTTTCCCATCGGTTGCCTTTCGTCAGGAGCAGTTAGAGACGGGAGATGGAAAGGGTAACGGCGTCCTTGGGGTTGGATACTTTGATGACAGGATGGAAGGGTGCCATGGAAGGTATGGGAAAAGACGTTCGGTGGAGGAGATGAACCATTTCTGATCTCAACATTTCAGTGTTTCGGGGTGTCAGTATACTGGGTACAGTCAGGCTCAACAGCGTTGTGGATATCTAGGGAGTCAAGCAGAGCACTAAGTTTGACCCGGTTTAAACTACCTCGACTCGTGCATAGTCCAATGGATCAAGTGCGTTGCATGGCCCAATACTCGTTTTGTGTTGGACTTCACCCATTCCCATGTATCGCATTTGATACTCTGGTTGTACTGACGCATCGCGATCCTGTCGATGGAGATGGAGGCGTACTGTGGTTTGGTTACGTTTAGTTTGATGAGACTCACCGTATTACTCTGCTGATCCTGGAGACGTGTTCGATCGCGTCTCCGAACATGACCAGATGCATTGGCTGCTTGCTCTCGCCGTTGAACTCTCCGAGGTACTCCTCCACGGTGCTCTGCAGATTCTCGAAGTCCTTCACCTCTTCGTAAATCTTGAGTCAGAAAACGTTTCACAATGAGCGAGGGGGCAAACTTAACGAAGATTCCGATTGAAGAGGTAAGGCGAAAAGTAAACAGTTTTACGACGGAAGTGTTTTCCATTGGTTTAATTTGTTCACCTAACCCTCACCTTGCCGTTGTGTCTACTGCAACCCATCTCAACCCCAACATCCCGAACACCCCTTTGCACACTAACCCCACCATGGACTACAGCTCCACCCCAGGTTACCTTCGGCTCCGCCCCCGGTATCAGGAAGTCGGCGTACATGAGGAAGCTCCGTTTTGTTCCTGGCGCTCCGATAGTTTCATCCCAGTCTAGCCCCAGGTGCTCCGCCCCCTGTTTCTTGGCGAGGTCCTCGAACCAGTCCTTGTCTTCGTAGGAGATCAGCCGGTCAGCGAACACGCGACGTGTCTCGTGCACCCAGACGCGAGCTAGGTCGGCAGCGGTTGACACTCGGCGGTGATCCATCATCAGCATGCCCTGCAGCAAACAGTTTGTGAACGGAGGCATCAGTAAAACACTACGTCTAGGAGGCTGGTTCTGCGGACGGAGACGTCCACGGCGGTTTTGCCGACTTCTGTGATTCCGGGTTGAATGACCGGTGACGATCATTGCGCGTCACTTGCGTGGTTTTCGCCAATCAACGGGTAGAGAGACAATCAATGTAGTTCCGGCCGTTGGGGTATTCCGGTTGTTGTGCACAAGGAACGTTCCCAAATAAGAGGCTAGCAGCACACGTCATTTTATGTAGCTGACACACAGCAAAGCTAGCAAGCAACGCATTTGAACGACAAAAAAGACAAGTAAACCTTTTTCGACATAAATATAAATCGAAGCAAAACCTTGTTTGCCGACTGTTTGACTGCACCGCACAGTAGTACAATACCTCACCTGGAAAACCTTGGACAAATCCCTGAGGTTGTAAGTGTAATGGCTCTTGGCAGGGGTGGGCCTTAGATCCGCAAGGATAGTGTTGTACATTCCCACAGTGGCGGCTACGATGGGCTCTGCGAGGGTTTTGCATTCCGCCGAGAACCTTTCCAAGAAATTTCCGAAAATTGTCCGGAAAATGAGCGTCATGCTGTCGTCCTGCATAGCCGTGTACCTGAGGGTTGGAGAAAAAAGATGCATTGACGCTTTGAGCGAGCTTGAGACAGAGGTGTAGAAAGCAGGTAGAAGATGGGAGCTTTTTCTATCAACCAGGAACCCATCCAAGAGATTCCTAAAGAGGCCGAGGCTTCGTAGTAGCAACATAGCGGAATCGGGCAGGCGAAACGTTTGTTAGTTTCAGGAATTGACACAATTGTTTTTTTTCCTGGTTGCATTAACTGCACGTGGTTCACTTGCCGTAGTAGCTGCAACCCTTCCCCAGCGAGAGGGCCAGTCCCCAGTTGTACCTCAACCCGGGCCAACGGTTGAAAGCGTTGAAAACAAGAACAAATATCCCTCTCAACGCCGCAAGTCCAAAATAATGTTCGTGAGCGAGCTTCTTAAAGGTCGACCTTCTACTATTGCTTCACGTATCCCAGATAGCCCGCAGAATTTCACTGGAGCCGCAAGTTACGAGGAACTCAGCTACAAGGATCGTAGAGGGTTTATGCGTAGTTCCAAGCTGTGACGGAAACGGTGCGCACAGCCCGGAGCAACTCGCCACTTCCTGCAACGGGCTTGATACTAGAGCTTCGATAACTCATCATACCACCGGTGGCGTTGTTGCACTCACGCGACGATGTTGAAGTGTCTGAAGAAACGCGCCGTCACTGGGTTTCGTCCACCGCCCGGGGGTCCGCAGGCGCACACGAAGACAACATCAATGATCTGCCGGAATTGCAAGGCCTTGCGGTCGTACCTGTTGGCACAATGCCGCATCATACGGTACCACGGATGACGCAACGCACAAGGTCGATAGTTGTACCACATAATAGTGCTTGTTGAGGGAACGCGTGTATTTGGGGAAACAGGGTGAATGCAGCCATCACACTTGCAGGACATAACATTTTGCATTACATGTTTCAACGCGGCAGTGTCGAGCAAGGTGGCGCCGTTGGCCCACAAAACGCAACTGAAAGGCACATAGGGAAAAACACGTTGCAGTCGTTGGAAATCAAACTGCACTGCTACGAAGGACGAAAAGGTGAAAGCAACATGGCGGGCTGACGCACCAGCCACCATTGTCGAACCATTGTCGGAGCAATTCGATCGGAGGCTGCGCGCCGTAGAACTCTTTTGTTGGCATGTTCACATCGTCCACAAACAGGATGAACTTCTTCCCGGCGGTGGGGCCGAAAACGCCCTTCCTTCGTTTTTCACACTTGCCGTCGATCAGGTCCTGGAATAATGGACAGGCCAAACAAGCATGTTTGGTCTTGTACAGAGCAAACGGAGTTGCTAAATACTGGTTTGTGAGAGAGCTGCAGAGACGTCGTCAACATCAAGACCAAGCACAGGCCAGACTTGATACGCCACCGCGACGAATCTCAGAAGTCTCAACTTGGGGAACATGTATTTCAACTTGTTGCATGTGCGATCCAAGGCTTGCCTGGGTCTGATTCGCCGAAGTCTGTGCGGAGAAGGCGAGACAGAGAGGAACGAACGAGTCGGACACCCCGGTTTGGAGGTGCTGCACCACGTTGACAGTTTTACCCGTGCCGGTCGGCCCTGCGATGCCGGGGAGCAACGTGAGGGCCCAGATCAGAGCCATGACGGAAACGTCGAATACGTATCTTCCTTCCATTCTAGAAATCATGGTAACTCGAAAAGGAGAAGTAAAAACGTCGCTTTTCCAGGCCAGCAAACGCTCAAACCGTTTTTGTGACCGGCATACTGTGCGGTCATGAGAATGAGAGGAGATTGCATGGACTAAGTGTTACATCCTAGGGCTATGGCAACGTCGAACATCTTGCAGTGAGGATCATCGCACGCCATGTAACCCAGCTAAACACGAAACTTCGAAGAAGGGACATTTTGTCACCCCGGGAGAGTGTTGAGGCATCCACAATCAGAGAAGCTATGTAGCATTGCAATATCGACGGGGTTACTTTCCTGTGGGTTGGAACCGGTCTGCACATAATTTCTGGGCGCGGAGAGCGAGCATGAGATTTCACCTGCCGCTAAGCCCGTGAAAACATCGACATCCAACTCTCTTTGACAAGAGAAGCCTTCTTGTAAGTAACTTTGTGATCTTCTACTTTGATCCCATGATAGAATAGAGTCACGGATGAGCGCAAGGTGTGGATGTCCTACGAACGACACCGCGTGTTGTACCTGTCATGAGCACGTGCTTGTCTCCGGCGATGAGGAGATTGAGGAGATACGTGTAGCGGACGCTGTCTACCGTGGGGATGATAAGCTCACAGAACTCCAGTTTGGGGTCGTGCCTGTAGGGGAAGCAAGACAAACACCAGGGGGACAGACGGGTGTACAATGTATCCCCAAGAGTTTAGTTTATTGACTGCATCTCACCCATCGCCTAACTGAAGATACGAACATGGATATTCATATCAACATGAGAAAAGTTGAATATTTCATCGATCAATAATAGGTTATCAGGGTCTTCAGCATAAGCAGCGTTTGCTCCCAATATTTTTGTGTCTCGTGCTCGAAACCAGGGAGACTTGTCGCCTGTGGCATGCGGTCTACGAGCCGTATGATGCGCAAGCTCTGCTTCTCAACGATTTCGAACAGTTTTACTCCACACGGTCAAACATGCCGCCATGTGTTCTCCGCGCGGAGGGCTTCAAAAGTATCCGTTCGTTTGAACATGCGCAAAGCTTGGTTTTCCCGTGAATCGTTTCCCCATGAATCGTAGTATGCATTTGTCATGCGGTACTACTGCGGCCTTTCTCGAAAGCTTCCACGTCTCTTCTCACTTGTAGGGCGCCACGGTATCCATCCAGGGGACCCACTCCATCGTTTCCTGGTCGAAGCAGAAGTCGTAAACCAGCTCTCCCTCGGGAAAGGGCTTGGCGGCACCGCTTGATCGCATCTCGCCCCTACATGGGATGAACCAAACATTAAAAGATGGCCCTCAACCAGCGTTTGGAACAGGATGCATTCTAGCTACTGTGGAGGCCGAGAGTGTTCTAAGTTGACCTGCTAACACTTGAAAAGAATGCTACGCTTAGATCCTTATGAAGGAAGGAAGCACAGATCGAACCATTTCTACGTGAAAATGTATTGAACTTCAACCTCCGGGGTGCTCTGGGGCGAGTCAAACGCTTCGGGATGTGAAAAGAAGAGACTTGACGCTACTGTTTATGTGAGCGCAATCTACCTTCCTACCTCGTGATTGAAGACTTTATCAGTCGACCTCGTGTGCAGAAAGAACGAATGGACCGATCAAGACTACTGTGGTGAAACCCTCGGACGCCGAACTGTGCATGTGTCGAACTATGAAAAAATCAGTGTTGTCTTATCCATGGATGTAGACACGTACCCTTGTTTTTGTTTAAGAGCCGGACACAATCGGGTTAGTTTTCACCTGATGAATTGGTCCATGAATTCCCGGCCCTTTCGGTCGACCGTGGCGAGAACCGACCACACCAGAGCAAACATGAAGAGGGGTTCCACGCTCTTCTTGAGGTTCTCGGTGGCCTCTGGGGTCTTCCGAACGACACCTTCGAACGGCCGGAACTCCTCGAAGTAGCAATCTAGGATGTTCATCAGACCCTGCACAAGGCACCCGTCCACCTGACACAGGACCAGAGACAAACACAGCCATAGAAAATTCAAGGGACATACTCAGACCATGGCACAATTATAGTTTCTTCGGCATAGACCCCACCGGGGCAACACCAAGATTCACAACACTGCGGCTCTCGGCACGGTACCGGATGTTCAGCGTTTCTCTGCAGCAACGTTTCTAGGGCTGTATTGGCGGAATTGTGCGAAGGGTGAAACGGTATGATGCTTCCATATGGCTTACGATACTCGGGGGGCTGCAGGCAATTTAGTCGTGCTGGTGTCGCTGCCATTTTTTCTTTGTCCCACGAGCTGAGTTCCGCACACTGGTTTACTGACATTGGCACACCCCTCGTTGTGTGTGTCTGTACACCTAATTCAATGTCGGGATGTAGATTGTGTATACATAGGTGCTCATACGTATTTGGCTTGTGCGAAATAAGGAGGCATTTTGTAGACAGGGAAGAACGAGTTTCCGTATGTGCATACCCAAAGTAGCGGCGACAACAACAACAACAACATCAACAACAACAACAGTACATGCCTAAGGCAAGTTGATGCTGAAGCACACTCACCGACGGCAGAGGCTCGAAGCAGAAGCGCCGCAGGGCCGATAGAGTTGACGCGACGTACGTGTCGAACAACCGAGAGAGCGTAACCCTGCAGAGTTATTCAAGATCGGTAACATTTTCGGGAACCGTGCCAAGAAAAAAATGGGCCGGGCGAGGGGTTGGAAAAACGAACATTTCGAAGGGAGAGGCCAGGAACGTCAACAATCTACTGTAGTAGACGCTGAATGATGGGGACAAACTTGGCCCCCGAAGCCAATAATAGCAAAACTGCAACACCGCCGATACGTCTCGCGGAGAACAGCAGCTCTACCCAAGAGAACCACATGCCCCACCTAACCCCCGTTCTTGCTTCCCGGACGTGACAAAGGCGCCAACGTCGCACGTATGCCTTGATGAGTTCCTACCGAAATGGCTGCATCTCCAGGATCTGGCTCAAACATCAGTCACTGCACTCTTCACATTGACATCCCACGCCCCTCGAACCCTCTCTTGCTCACCTTTCACCGGCACCAATGACATCTGGCAGCTGCACGAGCCAGGATTGCACAAGCGGGTCGAACCCGAGGCTCTTAGGCTCCATGTAGATCATGCCGCATCTGGACACCGTGGCAGGGGAGGCGACAGCTAGGTCCTCCGGCTCGAACATCATCGTCATCGGCTCGGAAAGGGACATAATCTCTCCCGAGGTTAAACACAGCTGCCAAGCAAAGCGCATGGGGGGTACGAAAATTTCGTGGTTCAAGTTGAATGAAACGACGATCAATGCTAAACAGACCGTGCATTTCTGGGGCTTGTTGAAGTGCTGTAGCCCCGGGCTCATAAGCGAAGATCTCTTTTTGGGTGAAGCTCGATACCTTGTCCAGGTGGATCGGTTGAGCTCACGGTTCTTGTCCCTCAATCTCTCAACCATATAAACAACACCGAAAACAGTCTTGATGTACTGCAACAAACCCACAACGGCATTTGGCGATCGCACGCTTGCAAGCACACCTTTTTGTTGTCGTCGAGCACAGTGTTCATGTTCTCAATCCAGATAGCATCCACCGGGCCGTCAAACAGCACCCACTGGAGATCCGGCACTTCCTTTCGGGCGCACGAGCGGACCAAGTCTGCCAACACACCGTCCTAAGTGCATTGTCAGGGGTAGGCACCGGTGTGTCAAACTGGAAGGGGGCGGCAGTGGTGTCGTAGTCCTGTGTGACGTGAATTTCTGTAGTCATCTGCAAAGTTGCCGGTGCTGGTCGTCTGCACCCCGACAGGTGAAGCCTCTTTGGCTCTTGCCTTGCCTCCGGTTTATCAAATATCGGTTATAACTCGTTTTTCTTTATCAAGGATCACCTGCCACTCGTGGGTGTTGTCGTCAAACTCGCCGTACAGCTGTCCCATTGTGATGGACTTGGGGTTAAGGTGAAACGTCTCCACCTTCTCGTAACGCTCGCCCTCAACTCCCAGTCGCTGTTGGAGATGATGCAAGATATGATCAGGAGTACAAGGCGTGAGGGATTTGCCCCAAACTTGAGTAAAGCATTATTTGAGCAACAAGCTCAACACAGTGGATCGGTGCCAACACGCGGAGGCTCAAGGCACGTTGATTTGTGCGAGAAATCGACCAAGGCTGTCCTTCTACCCACTACTGTCGCCCTGTCTCTGTCCATATCCATACTCACATCTGCTACGACCAGCATGTGGAAATATCTGGTGCAGGCGCTTGGCACGCGAGGCACCGTTGCTGCACTATCCACTAAACGTGAACACAGGTGATTCTCATGTTGTATGCTGCCGTTGTTGTACCTTGAGATGAGTGAGAGCCTCCTTGAGGACAGCGATGTTCTTGCTCTTGCCTCCGCCCGTGGGTCCCACCACCATCAGGCCGTGTCGCACGCAGATCATCTCGTACAGCTCAATGGCCTTTGTCAGGAAGATTGGTACCTGGACGACAACCGACACCACAACATGATAGACGCTATCACCAGATTAGATATGTTCAGCAGGGAGGTCCTTATGGATTGTTAATAGGTGCTCATGCCTACACTGGACCCTTTCAAATATGCGGGTGAACGTTTGAGCGTGACAACCTTGAAATAGAAACACGATGTCTTGTAAGAGCAAGTCAGAGAGAACAAAAACTTCGTAGGTAGGAGGGGGCAGGAAAGGTCCGAACTCGTGGTCGGGTATCTACCAAAGAACATTAGACTATTTCGGAAATATGTCAGTAAACTGTTGTATTGTGTTTTGGTTTTTTCGCTCGACAACATTCGGACGTAGACACCGCCGGTGGATAGCCTTCTTCGGGAAAAGGGGCGCTGATAACACGTTGAGACTCCCCCCAGGACCTACGCTACTTGATTAGCTCCACCGTGGCACAACCGCGACCACCGTCAGGTCAACCAGCCTTGGGCAATACGCCTTCCGAACAACGCTCGCATTTGAAAAGGGGTTCAAAAACATATTGCCAATGCTACGTTCGGGATTAGTGTCAGTTGCCTCACCGGTTGTAAGCCCTGATTCTGCATGGCCAGCTTGAGCGAGTTCAGCAGCGGCCCATAGTCAAAGGCTGGGCGCTCTATGCCGGGGAACAGGTCGCTCAAGATGCCGCCGAACAGGGGCAGGTCGTGTGCCAGAAACTTGGGCACGTTCACGTCCTTCGTATGTGTTGCAAGTATTTATACCGGTTGCAGTGAAGGGCAGAGTTGTCAGGTGTACTGAAACCGATGTATGCGTTGCTAATACTCCGCCTTGTGATTTCGGGCAGCACGATACACCATAAAGCTGCAAGAAGCCGTAAAGATGGCGCGAAACGCAAGTTGCCGTGTATGCCATTTCGCCCTTACGCATGTCGCATACCACGGTGTGGCCACAGAAAACACCCATAGTTTGGTCGAGTCGATGTCAAAAATTCCCTATGTTGTTTAATGTCCCACACCTGTAACGCTCTGAGGAGCAACGCCTCCTCGTTGGCCTCCGGACTGGCCCTCTTGAGGTTCCCGGCGGCGGAGATGACAGTCTTCACGGCTCGCATGCCGTAGTCATAGTGGTCCTAACGGTTGCGGTTGAGCGGAGAACAGTGACAAAACGTCGCATGGTTTCCGTGAGGTAGATTGCTGAAACTCATGGCAGCTGAGGGTGAAGGTGCGATATCGAGCTCATGTGCGGCAGCTATTCTGTGCCCAAGTGCTTCCCCAGACCCTGTCTTACGATACATCGAGTCTCGTACAAGTCGATCTGGACGCGAATGATCGGGCTTGTGTTGAACCTCTGAGCGGCAATCGTCAAGAACATACCCGTACTACAGGGCAAAATTGACGGTGATACCTGTTGTTGACCGGTTGGAAATCGCAACGCCAATGTGTACCCGTGTATCCGTTCTGGAAATCAGGGCAGCTTTGTGGGCAACGCCTTATTCGTCGCATCCCACTTGATCCACACGCAGTCGCCTTTGCAAGCTAGAGGCATGGACCAGAGTACCTCAACTTCAGAGTAGGCGGCCATCTTCAAGATCAAAAGGAGTTCGGTGGTTCGAACCAAGCTTTCAAAAGCTAATCACCTGCGCGGACAGCTGCTCCGAGCAAAGCCGGAAAGTTGCCACCATCTTCTGGGCGCACTTCCTGTTTTCCAGGTAGCCGAAGCTGAAAAGCATGATCTCGCCGATCAGGGCGTAGTCCGGCACCATCATGGCAACGGGACGGAATAACGCCTCCAAGTTGTCGGGCAGGGCCGACCGGCCGGCGTACCCGGGGTTCATGGTGATAAACACGGCGAAGTCTGGATTCACAAAAATGTCCGTCTGTTGCGAGATTTTGGTGCGGGGTACAGCGACGATGGGACCCAGGGGGGGCGGGAGTGGCGGTTTCGCGAGAGTTGAGCTTGTTCAGTATGAGAGGTGTATCGGTGGAAATGGTGTTATACATGGCTTCCATCTAGTGCATCTCGACGGCCTGATACCGGGAGAGAACTCGTAGAAGAAAAGAATGGGGGGATTGTTGTTGCGCCATTTACGGCCCAGAGCTGACTTGATACACGAGTAGGTGTGGGTTGCGTGCAGCTTTAACCTCACAATCTTGGAGGGTTTTTGTCGACCATGAATAAGTCAACGCCGTGGTTAATCACCATGCCGGTGCAAATATCGTGTTGTTCAGTGGCAGTGCACGCAGACGGAGTGCACTCACGTCCTCAAAAATAACCCGCTTTTCCCCTCGCTGGACAGCTCCTTGGAGGGTCATGATTTGTTGGGCAATCACACTCAGCACCTAGCCAGAGAGGGATGCGAGGCAGATGGCCGAGGAAGAAAGAGCACGGACATTAGTGAGAATTATAGGCGGGAAAAGGGTTCGCATACCCGTGGCTAGGGCCAAGCGATGCACCGTCCTACAGCAGGCAAGACAAAAGCACAGTATTAAAATACATCAGTGTGTCTGAAGGCCGGCAGGGGTTGAACAGCAAAGTGTTAAAGCAGCGTGTTGTGTCTGAGGCAGGCAGGGGTTGATTGTTTTGTTTCCCGTCCAGATTCTGTCTCTCATGCTCAACCGGGTGTGGCTTCAGGCTGTACGAGCGAAGGGAAAGGGTAATTAGGCACACCATGATTTACTGACAGGCAGAGAATTACGACGGTTCGAGTACGAGGGTGCCCTCCAAGAGGGAATGGCACGTCACCTCGATGTTGATGCGGTTGAACTCGTCGAAGCACGCCCATGCTCCTGAAGATGCCAACCCTGCAGTGGTTGCATGGGAGACGGTAGACAGAGCTCAAACAACTGTAACGACACTTTAGATTGTTTCACGGAGTGATACGGTAAGGCAAACGCTGTCGTTCATTGACGACTTTGCAGCAAGATATCTACCGTCCAGATCGCATGATGCAATTGTGCCCCGGTTCCAGCGTACAATGACCCGCGTAATGGGTTTGTCTTCCTGTCCTTCTCTTGACGTCTCACTTAGACCTAGCGAACGCGAGTATCCCTACCCTCACTTGCCTTTGAAGAACTTCCCCATGGCGAGGTAGTCAAGTCCGTCGGAGCAATTAAACACGACACACTGTTTGGCCAAGGCTTTCGCCAGATCCTTGGTCGTCTCCGTCTTCCCCGTACCCGCAGGTCCCGCCGGGGCGCCGCCAAGGATCATCTAAAGTGCGATATGTCCAATCGTGTGGGGAAACGGAAGTGGGTGGGGACGTGCCATAACTGGGCAAGGAAAATGGCAAACGGCATCGCTCAGGATAGCTACAAACAGCTCAGGATACAATGAATGGAGATTAGAGTTTGCCTCCAGCCATTCTCATAGTGCTACTCACTGCGCTTTCATCGAGTCGTGTCCAAGTTCTGACGGGGTCCCAGTTGTTTTTAGGTGTGGGAATCTGAGGACGAGGGGCAACCGTTTGAATAGAAAAATACCGGAAGTTCCATCCGGTCCATTTAACCCCAACGAGAACGACTTCTCTGAGCGACAAAACATCATGTCCAACGATCGACGACTGAACGTACGTTCATGAAAGGGTGGGCGCAAAACAAGTTCGGATACATACGTAGGTCGCCCGGGGTGGGTGGAGAAGTTGCCGTGAATCGCGGTAAACGCACGCGCCTCTTGGTGAACGTCAGTGAACGTCGGACGTTCGTGTTCTGTTGCTTAACGCGACAAATGTCATACATGCGGGAAGTGCTGTGCGCGGGCGACGGAGTGACGTGTTAAAGAACGCTACACATCGTAGTATATTGTTTGGGTCGAAGATTTCTCTATATAAGATATTCTCACCTGCAGCGCACTCATGATGGTCAGGTAGCACTTGTCCGTGAGAGGGGTGATCACCAGACGGAAGGAGTTCCCGAGATACTCGTAGCCGTATTGCCTCTCGCTCGACACCATGACAACCTGCTCCGAAGGTCAAAATCAGCGCAAATGCCACATTTTCAGGAAATACTCACCGTATTGGGTCGGTACTCTTCAGAAGCAGGAATGCGGTCTGTTGCCTCGACACGGTCGTAGTATGGACTGACGCCCAAAACAAAGGATGTGCCATATGTCAGGTAATGTTAAAGTTTCCCCATGAAAACCTGTGCCCGAACTTACGACAGAGGCACCAGTACCCGTGCTGCCTCTCGCGTGACACAAGCACACCTTGTTCAATGGTCCAACCTTACGTTACCATCCCAGGCATGCCTTCCGTACTTCGTTGAAGACGTATCATCGCTTGTGCTTTTCGTTGCCCACCTTGAGGTGGCCGGTTTCGTCGTCGCCCCTCCAGTAGAAACGCATCTGTGAGGCCCAGTCGAAATCCGTCGCTGCCGCAACACCCGCGTCCGCCATCTGCGATAAAGCAAAGGCCGTTACATTCATGTAGTTGTTGCGAATGTCTGAAGGCATCTCAAATGCAAATATTCCATGAGCGGGACGAGCGGTTGTCCTTCGTCCTACAGGCAGAGCAGCTAGTGATGGCCTGACGGTGGACTTTACCCACACCCCGACCCGGACGCTAAACCAAAATCTGTTTTCAGTTCTTGGACGTTCCCAAACCGTACCTTTTTCATGACATCGCGAGCATGGACGTCAATGACGGCCAAAGCCCCAATGGTGACCCTAGCCATCTTCGAAAGCTGTCCGCGGATGAGGTACACCATGTCATTTAACTGCCCGATGAGCTGCTCGTAGTAGCGGTGTACCCCCTCGTTGCCACCTTCCAGCATCGCCGCCTCTGTCTCCGCAGTCCAGTGCACCTGTTGATATGTTTGTACGTTCGATTCAGCTGCTGTACGCCATCGCATCAAAACGCGAACAAGCACGCGGATGACTACCCGTTCATATGAAACGACTGCGTTCAACCCATTCTATCGGAAATCCCGGTGTTGTATGCAAATATTACGTCTGTGACCCTTTCATTGAAGCAAATAGTACTACGATCCGTGTATTATCGCCATTAGAATTACGGGGAAAGAGTTGCGAAGGACACTGGTTCATCTCCTCGTTTCCACCATGTGCATCGCGTCTTTTGTCATGCCGCACGTTGGACCTATGAACGACAAAGCCCCGCGTGCACACGAGTTTGTACGAAGTCCTTGAAAAAGAAACTCCAACCAGCGACGGTGAATAACATCGCAGCATTCAAGCGTAGATACATCTTTGTGTAAGGACCCTTCTCTGGAACTTGAGGTTTCAGGGGAATACAATATAACCTCCGCAGGATCCTACGAAGACATCTATTAGGCTGTTAGGTGCTTACCTGAGATCCGTTAAGCACAATCTGTCCGGGCCAGTTCTGCATCCACTGCGTCCGGTCGATGACAAGGTAGTCGTTGACTCCAAGCATCATCTGCTCCCTTACGCTGGCACACATCATGTCGCAAACCTGTCGGCGTTGCACGGAAGGGTTACGGTGTCCACATTCAAAGCGTCTCCTTGCAGCAATACAAGAACAGCCGCATTCAGAAGCAACCCTTCCACCTCTCGCAAATCTGTCATCAACGCCTTTCTTTTCCGGCAGCTCATGTAAGAGCGCAACTTGCACCACCCCTCTACACCTTAGTCTTATAAATGCTAACCCAACAGTTGGTGCACCATTCCATCGCCGCTCCCAGAATGCAAGACTGCTGAAATGAAGACCTTTCTCCCTTTTGTCCGCCACCACATACACCGGTTCTCATGCAAAAGAGAAAGAGCCCTCACCTCTACCATCCAGTTCTCGATGTTCTTGCCGTTCGGGTCCACCGGCGCCTTGAAGGGTACCTACAGTGGTGACGCGTGCACAAAGAGCGGTATGGTGAACATTCGCTGAGTGAGGCAACTGTATAGCTGGCGAACACTCATAGGACACATGAAGTCGTTCTCAAGCTCAGGTTTGCTTACGGCGGGACTCACACAAGAGTTGAAAGGGTGCCCTGTCAGCAGGTTTACATTACATGATGGAGATTGAAAGCGTTATGGTGCAGTGGGCGCGTTGCGAAAACCTTAGCACGTCTGCCTCTGTACTAACAGTGTACACCTCCTTCTAGCGCCGTCGTAGTTTACCTTCTCGCCCTCTGATGAGATCATGCCGTGGATGGTCAGGTCGTCGGCAAAGTCCACCGTCTTGATGCCCTCAAAGCACTTCCGAAGATGTGGTTGCACTCGCAGCGGGTCCTGGAATGGGTGAAGGGTAGGTTCGCAGATAGGCTTACCGTGTTTGCGCCATCCCATCTTTTCTGTACGTCGATTGCTACGCAAAGAGTTAGGACTAGGATCAAACATCAGTTATTATTTGGCAGTCTCATTTAACGAATCGTGAACATGATAACCAGCGGAGGAACACGATTTTGCGATGCTGAGTGTTGCTACAAATACTTCACGCCCGCTACTGCTGTGGAAGAGCGACACCAAAAGCAACCGCCAAGACCTGCCTCTGGCAGTTGACTCTTGGGTGCAGGTGTCGAGAAAAAACATCGCAACACTTTTATTGTCAACGTGAGGGCCTGAATGAGGCGGGAGAGGCTCTCTACCCGGTGAAAATAGTCCACATCCTGAATATCAGGCAGATAGCCCACAGAAACTTGCTGCGGTAGTTTTGTGGAATCTGGAAGCTAATGTCAAATAGGGAATATGATCCGAACAAGGTAAGCTTTCGACGGTTTCGTCCTCAACAAACTCCGCGGAGTGGAGCGGGTTGCTGGAAGTTTCGGGAGCGGGGGCGGGGCGGGGCGCATATCCGCACAGACGAGAACCTCGCGGGGGAGCGCAGATTGTACCCGGCGCGCTGAGACGATCTCGTAGTGGGTGACACTGCCCGCTCACCCCTCCCTGCGATTCGACCGCGAAAACAGCCTTCATTCCTTGAAAATGTTAGCGATTACACTACTGTCTGTCTCCAATATATTCGCTCTGCATGTGCCGACCTTCGTTTGGCTGAGAATTTCGAGCAGCTCATCGTTGGACAGGAAGTAGAATCGGCTGAAACCCGCTCTCTTGGTCTCGAGATAGTCGCTCAGACCCTTCTGCACCATGTCCAGCAGCTTGGCGCTCTCGCGGAACTTGTCCAACAGCTTTGCGTCGTTACAGAACCTGATGCACCTGTGAGAAGCAAACCACAGAAGAACACAAAGGCATGTGTGAATCAGCGTCCAAAAAGGCGTTCGGATCCCCTTATCACCGTATATCAGGATCCATATGGCCACCGGTTTGGTGGTTACCAGAAATTCATGAGGTTGACTCTCTCGTGAATATCAACACATGTAGCGGTCTGTTTGGACGGAGCAACCGTGGAGGGTAGCCCGGTCAATAAAACGTCATGCCCACCACCTCAGCCATATGCTGTCATTGCAACCGCGACACATGTGAAGGGACTCACAAGGCACCCCCCCCAGCAGAAGCCATTGTCGCTCTCCAGTGCTTGTCGACGCTCGAGAAGCGTTTTCCCTCGGCGGGTAGCTGCTTGTTGATGTCTTCCGAGTCGAAGATAGGTTGCAAGTATAGCCAGTTGCGCTGCACAGCGAGCCACTCGTCGATGAGCTCGCTCACCACCTGAAGCATGTACAAAGAAAATGGAGTCCACGCCTTAAGTTGCGCAAGGGCATGCACGGTGGGTGTCATTCCCGCTTGATTAACGGCAGGACAAAATTGGCCGGAGGGCACTCGTCGGTGAAGCTGCCACCACTGCTGACGAACCTCAGTGCATGGGCGATGCATGGCATGCATGCTGGGGTAAAGAGGATGACTTGCACGTCGAGTTTCGGGGAAAGCTCGGAGATATTTCCTTGGGAGCAAAGATGCATTGTCGCTTTGCTTGCCACCTACGTGAGGTTAGGGTTAGGGTTAGGGTTAGGGTTAGCTTAGCGGAAGCTCAAAAGGCCAGAAACTCGCAAATCCGGTCTTTGAGGCTCAAAGTATCGCCTGATTTCACTTACTCAAGGCGAGGTTTTCGCGGTTTCGTTTGGAGGAAGATATGATAGTTCTTCGAGCGATTGGACATTGCGTGGCGCGCTCCCAATGCCAACGATTGTCGTAGTTGATGAGTGAAGTTAGTCTAATAATAGGTGCTAAGCGATCACATCACACGGGGCAAAATTAACTTGATATTGACACGCAGCTGAAGTTTCCTTTCTAGCTGGAAATGGCAAATGGCCCATCCAGTTCTGGGTTAGTTCCTACAGAGGTTGCTCGGGGAGGGCTACGAAACACCGCCTATCATGCCGTGCTTACCTGTAGGGTATTGTTCCAATTCTCAATTCGTTCTTCGAACGGCCCCTTGAATGTGCTGAAGGTCATGGCTTGCGTCATGGTGATATGCTCGTCGAGGAGCGACATGTAGTCATCGACGCCCTTCAGAATGCTCGTTCCTGAAAGGGTTCAACAAATAGATATCCCAAGTGTTCATACAGCGAAAATCAATCTTACAGTGTTTTTTTCATGCTTACCATAAAGTAGTATAACATGCGTCTAGGGTACCTATCCAAACTTTGCATGACGTTGATTATGACAGGTGATCCCCATCATGACGCATGCGTGACGACGTGTCGCCTAAGCAATGAACGCGTTCGACGCGATTGATGCCAACGGCGTTCTACCAAATAGTCACAATGGGTTATCAAGTGACATGTTTTGGGATGCTGGCTTGGAATAGGAGACACACCCATCAATTCCAACCCTCGTTTGGGCCAACAGGTACCTGTTTCTCGGTATTCCTCCGTGTTGAGCTTCACCGTCGCCCAGGCCCCCTGCATCTTGTCCAGAGCCGACTCGATCGCAAACTCCTTGCTCGCTGTCTCGCTGACTTTGGTGATTACCTCGGCGTTCTTGTGCAGCTCTTGTTCGATTACCCTTTCGAATTCATCGTACCGGCATAGCGGGACGGAGAGTCACGACAAGAAATGGTTCAACAACAATCACAGACCACTGCCAGCCCGCACGAGGTTCTCGGTCTTGTTTGGCCGCTTAGGATGACATTACGACAACAACAACACTTGCCCACTCAGTGCATACGACGGTTCATGCTGATGCTTGAAAATCATGGTGACAGTGTGTGACCTTCGCCCGGATGCCAATCTCTCCACCTCGTGAACATCGCATCTATAGGCCGACGTGAGCGCCTGGTTGTTGGCGTTTTGCTCTCTTCATGTGTTTATCTGTCCCTTTCGCTACTTCCAGCGTTTCCTAGCCCTTTTTTCAGAGCTGTTGCTAACTTTTTCACACCCAACATGCGTAGTACTCGAGGATGCATTTGTTCTTCTGGGAAAATTGGGCAATATTTCGAGAATCGGAACGTTGAGGATTGACAACTTCTCACCGGGAAGCTCTGCATAGCATCAATAAGGAACGCTACGTGACTCTGTAAGGCTCACATGGTGAGAGTGTAACTGTCATCCGGGTGCAAGTCTACCCCGAGTTTCTCGCTGAGTAGGTCCCAGTGACGGTCCCTCATTCCCGCCGTTCGCAAGCCGGTAATCACGGGCAAAAAGGGCAGGAATTCATCCACCTGGAAAGTTTCCCATGGGTCAAAACTGTGAGAGATCCCAGTCAATACAGGGCAGGAGGTGAAAAAAAACTGCGCCCACCTCGATGAGCAGCCAAGAGCGGTCAGATGACACAATGCAAGTCTCATCCAAGCTCACGTCATTTAAAATGAAAAAGAGCAGCGGCAGTATAGCACACCATGTGATCCATGTTCAGAGAATACATGGGCATCTGCTTTCTTGCGCATGTAGTCTACACACACACCTGTTCTCTGACAGAGCTGGCAATCTTGGAACAACCTTCCAGACCGTTCGCCTCGAAGAAGCGGCCTGCCTTGATGAGCGCTTTCGAGACCACGGTCACGTTCTTCTCCACCTGCGTTCAACAAAACAATTCTGCTTGTGTGATACATGAAATGATACAAACCTTCCATCCGTCCAGCATCAATCAACCACGACCGAGGCACACAATCAACCACTGTTTCCGCCAATTTGTTGATCGGGGATATTTTTACAGTACCTCTTCGGCGTCAAGCGACAGAAAAGAATCGTTCATCCAGCCCTTATGCCAGGTCATCCAGTCGTCCACCCTCTTCCACAGGTCGCAGTACGGCTCGAAGGACTTTTGCACGTCCGCAAGGAGGTCATACTCTGTTGTTTCCTTGGCAAATAGCCTGAAACCAGTGTAAGAGCAATAGTGGATGGCATTTGCGCGGGTAGAAACAAGGCATTGGTTTGTACTTGAAATGCAGTGATCTCGATCTGTTGCGGAAAAAAGCGTGACATAACGGCTCGATCCATTTTTGAATGCAATCAAGGGCATACGTAGAAGATATTATCTCTCTGGCAACGAATGGATTGGCGTTCACCCATGTGCGCGACAAGAGGCCACCAACCAATGCATGGAGTTAACGGAAAAGACACTCCTTCAAGAACACGCGCACATTCAATTATGACTTTTCTCCAATACCTTGTGTAGCGGCAAAACGTGTGTGATGGCAACTCACTGTTCCCTGGAGTTGAAGAGGATGGCCTGGTCGGAGCACTCTTCAATGTCCTTCTCCATCCTGCGCACCATTGAGCTCACTTGCTCCACCTTCGAAAGGTCTGTAAAGTGAGACATCTTGTTCACCTGATCACAATCAATGTTCATACATGTACGACAGCATGCTGTTGGCAAGGTTTGCATTCGTGAAGCAGGACATATTTGTGCCAAATGTCAAGTCATGGTTGTCATAATTGTCACATTAGTGCCTACGCAGGTGGGTATTTTCTCTCAACCACCTGAAGGCCTTTCGAATGATGAAGGTTGGCTACGAGGCAGAGACCCGGTGCACATGTCACGTCGGTGACAAAATTGAGTCGATGCGTTGGAGGATCTGGTGGCTTCATACACTCATTCGGCGAGAGGTCCACAGAAGGCCAATAACTGAGGAAAGCACTGTGCAGTAGGATCAGCGTTCCCGCAACGTTGACACAATTGGCTACGGAGGTCCTGTCTTACACGCGTGTTCGACATGGGGTACCTCCTGCTATTCACCTGGTTCTCTAGCTTGTTGAATACTCCGTTGAACATGGATGTGAACACCAAGACGGCCAGCGGTATCGCTGGTTATTTTCTACAAGTACTTGGAAGGGGGAAAGTGCACTGATTCCCGCAACCGAGATCTGCAAGAGCATTCCTTTGAACGAAAAGAAGGTCATGTGTGCCTGAACACCTCGGGAAACAAGCGAGATGTTCTATCCCGTTGCATGGTATCTACTTTCATGGTTGTGAAAATCGCAATCGCACCTGGTCCTGTAAGCTCTTGAGGCGCTCTACGTACTCTGTCTGCTCCTCTTCCATTGCGTGCTGGTAGCTTAATTTCAGCTGGGCGTTGGCCACTTCACGCAGCTGGATCTTAGCGGCGATCTGCACAAGACAATAACAGCGGCCCGGATCACAACCATGGCAACGACAGAGCGATGTGGGACAGAAAAAACATATGTTCTCTTGTCGATAATCAGAAAAACGAGAGGAATTCAACGACAACAGCAACTGAAGCGTTCAAGATGCTGAGTCAGAATTTGAAGGTCAAACCTTTCCCACCTTGGGGAAACGGCCTCGTGATGGTGACATATCATTGCACATCCCCCATTGGAAGCGTTGTGGGTTCTTGCTTTGGTCAAGAGAAGGTACAATTCAATATATAGAGTTGAAGCGATAGTATCACTGACAAAACTGCCACATGTCGAGTGACGTCCCAAAAACACAATTATCGGTTATTTCGCTGTTTTTTGGTATAGGTACGACCAAATAGACTCGTCCATATCACATTTTTTGTTAATTCTACAACTTCATGTGGCGTCCTCTCGGATGGAGCCTGGACGTCTCAGGCGATTGGGTTCGAGAGAGCCTAAGGCCAACGCAATTCCATCGGTGAATTTTGAATGCCATGTCCAGACGAAAGAAAGCCGCAAATACCTTTTGGGGCCATCCAAAGACCTCCCACTTCATGGACATGGTGGTATCGTCCAGCGGGGTCTTTGCCGTTCCGATCACGTCAAAGGCACTCATCGTCGTGTCGATGCTGCCCTGAAGCTCCGACACCCTATTGGAACGAACACCGCAACGAAATGGTCAGAACACAGCGTAGGGGGCCTAGATTCCCATGCGAGGAGGTTGATATATCTTCTGAAGGCTGTGTCAATGTACATGGATTCGACCGGCGGAAGCGACAACACTGCTACCTATGTAGGCAATTGGTCGGTGGAGTACTCACATATTCGCCGTGCTGGCCATGTACTCCTGCATCTCTGTCAGCTGCTCGATGTTCTCGATCGGAGCATGAAGTCGACGATAAATAGTCTCGAAGCTCCCGATGGTGGTCTGTTGAAGCCGCAGCAGACAACGTTTGGCACCAAGTTAACCAAAACCAAGTGTTGATGATGGTATCATAAAGGCCCTCGAAAGTCGAAGCCATTGGCACATCCAGAAAGCCAACCGCGAAATCAAATCAAGTGAACAAGAGAAACAACCTCAAGGAAGGGGATTTTTGCTTTGTGTTATGGTATACCTGTATCGTAATATTATAGTATGTACGATGTGTTCCTCTTGCAGCATATTTTGTTTACCTGTGCCTGGTCTTTAACGCTCTTGGTGAGCATCAAGGTCAGTCGCTCGGCGATGTCTTGGTGCTTGGACGACAGTCGCTGGCGGATCTTGCTCATGCTCACCTATAAACATGGTGCCACACGTAAAGTTATGCTGTGCTGGAGGTATGAGAGAACAACAAACACCTGGAAAAACTATGCTGAATTGCGACACACCGAACAGTAATCCGCGAGGCAGGTAGGCACAACTCTGATCTAGCTAGTTGATTCAAGGCAACATGCAACGCGGGCGGGTCCACATAAAATAGACCCCAATAGTCTCCTAACAGAACACCATCCACAATCAGCAGCAACAAACACCGACAAAGGAATTACCACAAACAGCCCTAGGGAGATGTTCTCGGGGATGAGCTTCTCGAACTCAATCTTCTGTTGCGCGTGGTTTGCCGCCAGCTGACGCAGGTCATCGAACAGAAACTCGCCCGTCTCGGCCTTGGTCATGGCCGCTTCCGTCTCACACAGATATTCGTTTACTTTTTTCCGAGGGAGGGTGGGTGACAAGCGACAATTCGGGGGGGATTGAGGGTTGGGGTCTTGAGAATCGTGTTCTTTTGCTCTCCGCCCAAGCAAACGTCGGAAGCATAGCGAACACCGCCGAACAATGGCACACGAACAACAACGAAATGTCGGCGAACACGCAAGCGATTACATGGCCAATTTTGTTGGTTTGCCGTTGAGTGAGAGTCAAGGATCCCTCTGCTCTCGACCGATGATCGGACAATGCACGGATTTCCGTGGTCATGTTGAAAACCGCGTCAACGATTTTAATATTCTTCTCATGTTGCATATGGTGACGACCACAGAACAAAACGTGACGATTCTTGTTTTAACACCAGCGGGGCAGCTCTAGGTTGCTAGAAAGAGAAACATATTGGTTTTGGCCACACATCACCCTAGATCACTTTTAGCAACGCAAGAACACCATTTGTCACAAGTCCAAAACAGGAGTCATAGTCGCCATCGGCTTTCGAAAATCCCCATTAATGTTGCGGATAATGATGTTTCTCTTCTCCCAGTAAAGACCAAACAAAAGTGGATGATCATCTGGTGAAAGAAAAATACACCTCCAAACGTACCGTCGACGTTCAAGAACTCCACAAAAGGTTCCAAGGTCTCCAGATACTCCGTGGCCGGTTTGACAGCCCTATCCAAAGCCACGGCCACGGTTTCCCTGAGGTGCTGCACCCAGTCCTCTGACGAGTAGACACTAGACATGACGGGGTCATGAGACCAGAAAAGTTTCTTCATCACGCGCCGCTCCACACGAACCATGTTCTGAGTGGTGGATGATGTAGCGACGGGAGCATGCTTATGAGAGATGGAGATACTTGTACCTTGGGCGAACGTTGTGGCAAATACTGAGCTCTCTCTGGACGTTGGGTAGAGCGGACGGGCGCATAACGCCAACCAAGATATAACTTAAAGGTCGTCGACACCAATGGTACAGTAGGCGTTTCTCGAGAGGAGCTCGATACTCCCAGCGGACTGGATCGAGGTATGCCGCTGCACAAGAAATCCTCGAACTTGGGTGAGAACACGTTCCCATTGGTTATCATGTGTGACGCTGCTCGCCTCTGCCCGCGTGTTACCTGAGGTAAAAGAGAACAATACTTGACAGCTTCCACCACCACCACCATCTTTAAAAACATGACACCCGCTCAGTCACCACCGCCAAAACCACTTCCACCATCGGGGCTTCCACCACATAAAAAGTCACCTGCGTTGAAGCAATCGCCTTGTCAATGAGCGCAAGCGCCGCCTCCTTCACCGCCGGAAGCCGTTGCGAGTACGCAAACACCTCGCTCCCCTTATCCCCGACCACCGCAATCTCCACCACGAACAGGGGCGCTCGTAGCGCACGAAGCGTGTCCCCCTTCCATACCGTCCGCCCTTCGCTCCAAACTTGCGGAATTGGGGCAGCCTCGTCGGGGAAATTCGGCGCGGGAGGAGTTGCCTCTGTTGCCACCCCTCCCCCGCTTTCTCCCCCCCCATCCCCCTCTTCTTCGCGTTGAGAACCGTCGTCGTTGCTATCGCTGCCTGAGCTACACCCACCGCGCGGAGACGGAGAAGGTTCAAGCGGTAGGCCTGGAACAGGAGAGCTTGTCTTTGTTTGGTCTTCCTGTGAAGGTCTGTCAGGCAGGATCGGTATCTTGAGGACGACCTTGTTGGAGGATACGATTCTCGCGTCGTGGAGACAGGCGCGTAGCAGGAATCTACGCGCGATAGGAGACGAGGGCAATCGAGAGCAAGGGAAGCAGGAGAGCTCGCTTAGAACTGTTGTTATCAATTGTTTGCGACAATTGCATCGCGGCTCTAAGAATTTCGCTTATCGTAGATGGAGCGGGGGGGGCGAGGGTTGTAGTAACGCATTTGACCTGCCGTTCTCGTCGATGGGAGACAAATGTGAAGCATGTGCTTAGTGTCTCGATGGGGATCAACAACTACGTAAGCAACTTTGAATTTTGAGAGTTGGACGAAGACCGGTTAGGGCACTTCGTTGCTGGTCTGGAGATTTCAGGAATCAGCGCTCCTGCTGACGAGTGTATCCTTCGAACGGCGACACGGCTCTACTAACCCACAAGGTACTTCCTGTGAACAAATAAGGGGTATGTTGCTACCTTCACCATTCACCACACCTGACGAACTCATCCAAGCTGGCCTGGACGAGGAATCTGAGAGTGTCCTGGGTCATGAAGTTCACGTACGCCAAGAATCGCCGAAGCTTGCTGAACCCATACACCTCGTTGGAAGTCTGTACAAGCCAGGCGGAGGAGATAAGGAAGAGAGGTCATCATGGAATCAACTCCAGAAACTCTAACCCCTCACGTGGTAGAATGAGTATGGAGTAGGTGTTGAGTGGCGCTCTTGCCATATGGTGTGTGCTACAGAACCGCTCAACCCTTCGTACTGTTATGCTAACCGTAGCCATAACCCGGACCACTCTCCGCCGTTTCATGTTGCTGTGGGCGCTCACGATAGAGAGCGTGCAGTGGCCCGCATAATTTCTACCGATCGCGTACCTACGCGAACTTCCACGTGGATCCTTGTCGTCGGCTCAGATTACGTCCTATCACACCCCCACCAAAACACTGAACCAACTGACCTCATCTAGGTTGAACCAGCCCTTTTTTACGTCCTTCAAGTGGTGACGGATGAAGTTAACGATGTTGATCACCCATTGCTCCTTCAGGTCTAGGCTCGTCGTTTGCGTGGCCTGCACGCAGCATACAAAAGTACGTGAAGTGTTGAAGATATAAACGGCAAGATTGTACCCCTGTGGACGGGATTCAGCTTGAAGCGTTTGGGCAGGTCGCTGTGACACATGCAGAAAAAACGAGCACCGAGCACCGTAAATCCTAGATTCTGTCTGAAATAGCTGGTTCCCCAGGGGTGTGGGTGAGGCTAGGCTAAGGAAGTGCATAAAAGTAGATTTCCGAAGTTGCGGCCTTCAATTGTGGAGCCTCGCCTGGGCCCCCTCCATGGGGACGGCCTTGAGACAGAAGTTGAAGTATTGAAAGGTGTATATTCGCCTCCATCCTGATCGATACAGCCTTTCAACAAGACTCGGCATGCCATTCCCCCTCCGTGAACACATGCTTAGCCACCTAGTTTGCTCTATCACCTGATTTTGGAGTGACACGAAGTCTTCCAAGTGGACCGACTTTGGAACCATGTGGAAGAGGCTCAGATCCAACACCCGCCGGCACTCAGATCGAATCTGGACAATACCCAGGTGCAACCGCGACGAACGTGCAAGCGTGACGACGAACTTGTGAACGTGTGTTGACATGCACTATGTTATATAGTATTTTGAATCTGTTGTTGCCATGAAGGGTAGGTTGCAATCGTTTTCCCCTCCAAAACCTGGCATATGGTAGAACTAGAAAGATTGATGAATAATTTACAGAAGATGGCATCAGTTGCAAAGATGGCATTGGTTGCAACAGGTAGACAGTCCTTAGTTTTTGCAGTGAAAGGGTCGAGCTAGGTCGGAGTATTTCAGCGCGCCGACACGTGAACTGCGTTTCATGTCTATTCGCAGGCCAATAACAATGCGTCGGTGCATGTACAAATGCAACAAATCTCTCCCGTCCATACCTGCACAACGATCTTGATTATCTCCGGCTTGGTGAGAAACGAGCTGAAGCAGAAGTCTCGGGACCGTTCCTGGAAATCCTCGAACCCGATGTACACGGTTCCCTGCATTGGATAAACGCGATGTTGTTAGCAGTTTCAGTTTTCCCAGCATCTCCCTTGGGCACTGTGGTGGACCATTTTTCTCGAAACTGGTTTTCACAGCCAACAATGAGCTCGATGTAAGTATGACTTAATCCCTAGCCGTCCTCATTCAATGCGAAAGTGATATTTTTTCTTTTTGCCTGGGAGAGACGACCCTTTTGTACTTGAACAACTTGAACCTACTGGCCTCGGTTTTAAATTCTTGAGGAAGGGCAAGTAAGTAAATGTTTGCAAGAACGACTCGGGCGTGGGCTTCGTTTGAGTGTTCGCTTCAGCCTGCTTGAGGTTCTGCATAGATATTTCGCCATTGACGGCGAGGGTAGTCGACTGTAAGAGCAATTGCTTTTGACCCTCTGGGTTTCAACGCTGGGATAGGTGTACAATAGTTTGCCTGTTCTGGGATGAACACCTTGGATACATATAGTTTCAACACTGGACCTCAGCCTAATCCTGCAACTCTCTAGGCAAGGGGCCTTTCCAAGTACCTCCGAAGACAACTGTCTCCAAAACGCCGACTAGGTTTCATCTTCAGGTACCCAATGTGATACGCTGCCACCACCTTGTGACGTATTTTCAACAACACCTTATCGGGAGGAGGCTTTTCCTCGCGATATACCCCCCTTGGGATGCGGAGACTGCGCAGCATTTCCGTCCCAGGCTGCTTCAATCCGTGAGGCTTTTGGGCCTGAGCGTCCCACGCATCGCGCAAAGAAAACAGTTTGCAGTACGCCGAGCCACGTTGAGGAAGGTTCGTTGAGCAACGTGAGAAAAGTGTGCATCGGAGGGGCAGGAGAGCAACCGTTTATCGATTGAAAATATCTTAGGAATTGTGCTTCCTCGACTACGCGTAGTCAGTCTCTGGCTTCCTCTCGCAACCGAATACAATTAAAAAGCATATTGGAAGTAGCTCAAACCACCCCGACCATCGGAATGTCATTCTGGGCCAACATGCGAACACTCCCCTTTTTTATTAGTACCCACTTCATGCCTTTTCCCTCGTTGGGCGGTGGAACCTACGCTCTAGCCGTCTACGCTATCGTCGTTTTTCCACCCACCTCCTTCGTTTGAGTCCCCAACACAATCTTGTTCATGGTGCGAAGGTAATCAACGTTGACCTCCTCCATCAGTCCGGGCATGTCACCTGTGCTACCTTCCGCTGAACAGGCCCTTGAACATAGAGCCGTAATGCGACTTATCTCCTCGCCCTCAAGCTGTGTGGCGAATTGAAGGTGCCGTACACACATGTCGAACGTGCGATCCGAGCACAAATTTCAAGCTTCAGAGTTTACACCCAAGGTTAGAGGAAGGACCAGCTGATGGTTCTGAGGAAACTGCTATATTGGGGCATGGCATGGCCTACCTACACACGCAAGCTGTGTGGTGGATTGAACGTGACGTACACAAATGTCGAACGTGCGATCCGAGCACAACCTTCAAGGGCTTCAGAGTTTACACCCAAGGTTGGAGGCATGACCAGCTGATAGTTCTGAGGAAATTGCTGTATTTGCGTATGGCACGGCCTCCCTACACACAAGCCCGAAAACAGACATCCCAAGAAAAGTCCAAGGCATTAATCGGACGCCACTCGTAGCAGCCCCGCATCACCAACACGCGGATGGGCCATGCCCTCTCCGAGAATGGTTAACAAGATAGAACTCAACTTTTTGGGGGGTCTACTCCTCTCTCTATTCCCCCCAATGCGATACGAGTCTAGACTTGCCTCTGCCATGTCGTCAGAAGGCATGCAATCGATGTAGAAGTTGTACAGGATCGTCAGTTCAGCCTCCTGCATGGCGATCAGAGTTGGCACGTCGGCCGCAGGGAAGAACATCGTTCGCGACGAAAGTCATGTCAGAGTACTCCACGATGAGGATTGTCAAGAGTCATGCGGGCCTCGTGTACTGCATTTCCTTTGTGTCCCGAATCGCCAACCATTGTAAGGGTTGCAATTGGTGCGGTTACTCGGGTACGACTTGAAAGTGTACCGCAAACCCTTGCTTGCGTCGAGGTCGTGTCACACCGCCAAAGCCTTGCCACACAGAACTCTGCGTGTCTTCTCTTACCTCCCTGCTCGCGTGTGCATTCGCCACACGGTCGGCAAAGTTGAACGGGTCCTCCGCCTTGAGGTACACGCTCAGCCGGGGGAGCTTTTGCTGCGTGTCTCGTTCCTTTGTTGTCCCCTCTAGCCATTCCACCACCCATTCTCCGCTGTTGGCATCGTAGTCCATCACCTGCACGGATGCATTTCCAAACAGATGGAGGTTATCATTTGGTGTTTGTCGGATACGTGCTTCGATCTTCCGGGTGCTCCATTATTAACTTGGAGCACTACTCTGAACAACCTCCCCTACCTGTGGCGACGAGAGCACGATTGGTCAGCCTTTGGCTTGTGAAGTCTCCTGCTGCAGACACCTCAACAACAACACTCATACAACACATGAATAACGTGATGAGGCTCTTTGCATCGGCCTGTGGTTCGCTTGCTCCAAACAAGGCATAGGATCACCAATGGAACCCAGACCAAACAGAATCCCCCTCACGAGCTACAAGCTCCAGTAGACCTCACAACATTCAATCTCTCGTGCGCGTCCCGTTTGTAGCCCCGCGACATCGTAGCCAACAGAAGAATGTAAAGTAGCAATGGGTATATTTCACCCATGAACACCGTACAGAATAATGCTGGCAATCGATTTTTGTGCTGTACCTTACACTCCCGCCAAGACCCCGTTTGATCCGGCTGCAGGAAGAGGGCCCGCCCCGGTAGCCCCACGACATTCCCTTCTGAATCTTGCGCTAGACTCAGCCAATTTTCGGGACTCCTCACTTCAAAGTCATAGTTGTCGAACACCTGTGGAGGGTGTTGTATAGGGCAGTAAGCAACAACCTCATGCGATGACGCCCATTTTTACACAACTGGCTTCCATGACGGGCGGGTACAACTACGGCATTGTCGCTGAACGTTCAGCAGCCTTCGACCGTTTGACACTGCAATTACTTCTGAGGAGATTTTCGCTGGCTGCACCATCCACCAGAATACACCATTGGACATACCTCTACCGGCATCGGGGGTATGGACGGACTCAGGAAGGCCAGCGCGCTTTTTGGCGGTTGTGAGTGGTCGATACCACGCTCGAGCAGGAGTGCATCTATTCGATGCTGCAAGTACAGGCGGCGCTTGCGCTCGATCTGTATTCGGCGAGGAATCTCTCCCGGCCGTGTCTCGAATGGGGCCTGGACCTGGAGTTGAGAGCAAGAAGCGTGCGTCATGCACAGAACCCATGAGGGATACAAAGAGCTGTTCGACACCTGGAATTGGACGCTGGAGACAATGGATTCTCGCAGCAGCATACCGGAGGTAGAAAACCTAGAGACTCTCAAAGACATGGTGTGGTCTACTGTAGTCTACGTAGTCTATGTAGTAGGCAGAAAGCACAAAAGGATCACTTTCCGGCAACCTGCAAATCTCAGATCAATTTAATAGGACAGGAATAGTACCTTTGGTTCCAAGGACGGGTTCTCAAACGACGCACGAACTGTGCGAAGCTGGGACTTAGCCAATTTGACGCTCGCACGTCGCTCGTAAGTCCATGCCGAGGGAGCGTCTTGAAGATGCACCTGGGCCAAGCTTGCCTCCCCGCGGAAAGTGCCGAAACGCTGTCGGCGGTAGAGGAAATGGTGGTTCTATGGGCGTTGAAACCTTGCTATAAGACATCATCGATATCGAGTGCTACTCCAACTTGCCTATAGGTCGAAGGTGATGGAGCGCAGGGTCAGGACTTCCAAGCATTGTTGGTTGGTTTGCCTCATCCATGGCCCAGAGCTTTCTCTTTCACCCCAAGGCTGCATCCTGCCGTAATGTCGTATCACATGTCTCACGGCAACATATTGCAAACACACAGACAGATCGAGGCTAGACATATAGCAGTGACTGGCGGCTCACCGGCTCTCGGCCATCAAACGGGCTTCGGCCGGACGCATGCTGCTCATCGGCCACTCTCGACATCAGCTCTTGGGAACCTGTCGGCTGACCGGTATACCTACCCGTCGTGCGCTGTGGACCTGCCGTCACTCCTGGGGTGATAACGATCACAGCGGCTGTGCGGCATCGAGAAGTAAGTGGGAGCAGGCAGGGACTTCCTGCTTTTTTCAAGCACCCTGACTCTGTCTACGATAACTGGTATATCTTTCTTTCATCCGTAGATGGTAGCGCTGCAGCGCTGCACTTGTAGATCCCGATCCGGTAGGTTGCGCCGCATTTTTCGTTTCGTTTCGGGTTTCGGGCGGTTTCGTTCTTCTTGCCTGGGTTGCGCCGCATTCTCGATAGGAAGCAAGGGCGTTCACAAAGCCCCCCGCCTAGAGCTGGCAGCGAGCACAACACAACCCAAAACGTATTTTAGACCTAGATTGATATACTGTCCGGACTGAAGCCTTCTAGCCAATCAAGGCAACCCGGAGGAGGGAAAACACGATACTGAGTACGGACCTCATCAGATCTACCGAAGCGGCGTGATCTGGTGATTTTGTGTCGATGTCGACCGCCGATCTGGATGACGAGCGAGCCGTGCTGGAGGTGGTCGAGCTAAGCGAGTCTGATGATGAAGATTTTGATTACAAGGCAGTCGAGGTATGAGGGGTTGGAATAGTATTGGTGACGGTGTGCGGAAGGTAACACCCTCCGAAAGTGTGACTGGGTCTCTTCTCAAATGTATCTGACCCACACACGCAGCATCTACGATCAAACTTTTATGAAAATGTATATCCGTATGTACGTGAACTGATAGACAGCAGTATTGAAATATACCGAAAGACGCCCTTCCCTAGGAAAGAGGGTACTGATGATGTCGGCCACTTTCCAACTGACCCAACACGTGCACTGCTGTAGCGTGCCCGAGCATCTGCAACTCCAGTGTGCGCTTGTGTTGTGTTGCTGTCTCATGCATAAGTACAATTCAGCTTATTTACCTTTGGTATGTTTGGAACGTACTCATGCATAGCTGTGGTCAGACAGGAAAGGAAGACCACCACTATATGGTTTGGTGATTCGGCATGCCATGATATTGGAATCTACGGCATGTCCAGCGAACGACGACGCCCACTTAAGGGGTTCCAGAACAGGGGTTTACGCGGGCTCTCTTCTCATTCATTAATCCAGCATAAAGAAAGAAAACTACCTTCCCGCCGGAGGAACCTGGTACTGAGTACTAAATATTAGTAGCGGACACCATCAACAGGCGCCGTGCGTGCGGATACGTTCAGGTTTGCTACTGGAGCTGAATATAGAAGGTCGCAACAGTCTCTGAAAACAGTCCGAATTCTGCGCCGGAACCAAGCGGCATCCAACATTTGGCACAGTCGTGCTCACCGCCACGGATCGTAAACCCCTGAACGTCAGCAGTAGCTAGTGGCGTCAGTTACTGCTGTAAACCCGCAGTTTAGGAGATTGGGGTAGGTGGCGGCGAGCACAAGCAGTACAAGACACTGGGTGTCGGTCGAATTTGCGGAAATTTGCGGAGTTGTAGGCCACTACTTACTATGCATACGACATGGTCGCCCCGGTGGTCTAGAAGGTAACCTCGGAACCTTCTAGAGGTCAGGTCAGGGGTTCGAATCCCGGCGCAAGCGAGCTTTTCTTGCAAAGTGAGTTTTTCTCTCGCTTCCGCTCTTGGCTTAGTGGATAGCGCTAGTTCGTGTGTACACAGAGGGAAGAGAGTGCTGAACTCTTCTCGCATTAATAATCGAAGACAAAGTACCGCAGGAGGGGAGGATAGAGAGGGGCTCTTCTGTGTGACCACGGGTTGGAGTAAACAGCACTAGTGCTGTGAGCGCTGATTTGAAGTGAAGAAAAAAAAAAAAAAACGACCCTCGATATCACCACCACAGAAGCAGACTTGAGCGCGCCAACACGCACCCCCCACTACAATAGGATGTCCTCTATAAGGATGTCCTCTATAATAGTGATATTAGATATTAGTAGTATGCACTAGGTTCCTGGCAACGCAGACCTTATTTGAGCGCCTACCGTTTTGACTCTTTTGACTTGAAAATAGGATAGATAGTACTTAGTATGAATTTTCTTCTTGATTTCAAAGGAAGCAGGCGCTTGAAATGTATTTTTGAACAGCCTCTACTGCCGCCCTGTGCAATAATCAACGATTTCTGTTGTTCGCGATGCCTTCCGACTGGACTTGTCTGTCTCTTGTGCGCTTTCTGGTGCTCTTGCGTTTGTTTTCAAAATTGGTCAACATCAAAATTCTTGTTCTGGAACCCCTTTAGGGTGTCCCCTTTTGAGAAACTACTGCTGTAGCCTTTATCCAAGACAAAACAATCGAAAGCAACATTCCGGCTCAGAACTTGTTGAGTGTTCGATGCTAAATCTGTAGAGGGCATCATCAAGCAGCGCCATGCGCGTTGGCACACCCATATTTGTTGCTGGGGGCGTGCTGTCGATCTGAAGCTGCGGTTCAAAGATTGAATACTATTATAGGTCCAAGGCTGGATCAATACCATTCATGATCCACTGCTGTACGCGCGGTCACAGACCCAACTTCCTGGATTTCGGATGTACAGCGGCATATCACAACACTGAGTTGTCTTCGAACACCAGGATATTTTGGTGGATAGAAGTGGATTGAGTGGTGCATGGACCCGTATATTAGACCCAGTTTGCAGACTTTCGCACCGTAGCCTCAACACCCCGTCCCCAGTAACAGTTCATGCGTGCCAACGCGCGTATCGCTGATCTATGATGTTCTCTACCCGTTTAGTACCGAACATGAACGCCTATTAACTTAGATACTAGGAAAAATCGCCCACCGTGTCGCCTATTTGGCCTTGAATTTACTGTAGAGTACTTCTTTTGTTTGTGGAGGTAGATTGCGTGATATGAGGGTAAAGACAAGTTCCAACCGCTGCTGCTTTGTGCGACAACCAAGGGAGGGGTTCCTGCAGAACACTTCCCCCACTGGTCTCGTGCATATCGTGTGTGATCGCCACGTGCTCCATCGGTTCGTTTCCAAATCAGTCAAGATCAATATCGCTCTTCGTCGCAGCCTTAAAAACTCGTTGTGCTTGTGCTTACCAGCTTTGTGCTACTGCTGCGCTGTGTAGGAGGATTACTCCGATGAAGAGGACGGGCAGGATGAGGACCTCGCAGCCGCGTTGGCTACCCTTCGCATGCAACAAGAGGCTAGGACCAAGGATGGGGGGGCAAAACGGTCTGGGCAGGGTGGGGGTGGAAAGGACGGTTCCGTTGATGGGGCTAGAGGAAGCGGCCCTTCTGAAACAGAGGTTCTCACACAGGTTGGTAATAAAAACAGTGCGTGGTTTTCTTGAGTGTTTCAATCCCTGTCGAGGGGAAGTACCAGCGCACACCGCACACAAGATGGACATCCTGTTGATGACAGATCGACCATACTAAATACAGGCTCAAAGGGTTGGGGTAATATGATACCCCATGTGTTCCAGGTTCGACCCTCGGTAGTGGACGACTTCATCAGAAACTTCCTGATCAAAGTGGGTCTCACTCGAACCCTGGATTCTTTCAACACGGAGTGGTACGAGCTGCAGGCAAAAGGGAGGTTGGGCGAGGAGTACACTACCAAGGTTCCCGATATTTATCTCAGGAACGAGGAGCTTGACGAGCAGGTGATTTCCACTTTAACCCAGACCTCGTGGGTAAACACGCTGGAAATATGATGGCACGACAGGATAGCCTGTTCCGGTCGAAACGCTGACAACGGTGTCAATGAGGGCGTGATGAAAAAGTGGTCGGAGAGCCGCAGTATGCCGGAAAAGCATACCCCACCCGTGTTTATGCCTTCAATTTGCTGCATAGAAGTCTGGCCGACTGTGAAGGCGAATACAGGCAATGGTTAGTCGCCTGATTGGTTGTAAAGGTTCAGACAGCAGAGTATCTGCGGACACTATCATACCTCAGCACTTCCTGCCGGATTGCCTTTGGTAATCACGATGTCTTTGCTGGCCGTTTGGAAGGATCCTCCTGGTCGGAATGGTGTATTCAGGACACGTCACCGCTGGTAGTCCATGGTCTTTGTGTGTTATATTTGACACCGTTTGGACCACAACGATGCTGACTCGTTTGCTACGCAGGTAGTGGCTCTTCGGCACGAGTTGACAAAGATGCAGGCTATCGCAGAGCGGGCGCAGGGCACTTGGGACAAGTTCCGCAAAGAGCGAGATTTCCACCGCATGCACCACAAGAGAGTAGTACAGGTGAGACAAGGACCGCTCTGGTTTCACCAGATTTTCCATATATCGGCTTCCATGCAGCCCTAGCATGACGTCGGAATTGCCAGTAGATTGTTTGCGTTGCTGAAATTCCAAAACACAGCAAAGGGAATGCACAGGTCGGAGCAATTGCACAGGGGAGCGATGATTCCGTCTCAAATCCACTTTCGGGGGTGAGGCTGCTTGTTATCGGCCGTGGATCCCGGCGCAAACCGAGAGCAATAGTTGTGGGTTTGTCTCCAGAGTTCCATCGTGACATCGGGGCTCACTGATGTGTGCATGTGGCGGTGGAGGCATAGAATGAGCAACACATTCATTGAATTGCTATTACGGTGGAACATTGTAGTCAAGACCAAAACAAAAAAACGGGCATGGAGTTTACTCTTGCGGTATGGTCTTCGGTTAGATCATACGGTAGCGCAATTTGACGGCACGACTTTTAACATTCGAATGCGAAAATCCAAATGAAAATCAACGTAGCTGCTACACAGTTACACTCCTTTAACGCAAAGGTCAGTTTTTTTCTACTATTTGGTCCTGGTCCTGACTATTATGTACCTCCGTAATAGACACGCTGGGACCGCTCATCCAAGCGCAACAAAAACGTACACGTACCGAAACCTAGAACTCCGATAGCCCAGAACGAGCTGGAAGGGAAACAAAATAGTTTGACAGGGCTAAAACATTGACGGCGAGGATTTTTCGTCGTAGTTAGGCTCCCCTCGGCTAGATTTTGGTATTTGGTATCGTTTCTATATTGGCTACGTAGTCCGGTCAGGTTGTGTGCGTAGGCGTGGGTGTTGCGCTTGCTTTCAATAAGAAACGTGTCCAGGTCCTCATACGGCAATACACGTAGTCCCAGGACATGCGCCGTAATTTTCTTCAGCATCTCACTTAAAGGACGAATTGGACCTTGCCACCAAAAGATGATAGCTCAGTTGCCCACGTTTCGGAGGTGTCGCACAGGGGCGTGTGTCACAAGAGCGAACAAAATGATGCAAGTCTTCCGATGCCACAGGTCGGTGATATCCCAAATGATTGAAACCTTAAATCAAATACGTGTGCGTCCAGTGATACTTTTGCGGTATTCGTCAGAGCGCATTGGTGCCAAGTTTCCATGTGAACCGTACCGTACCGCACCATACCGTACAGCTACCAGAGCTTCCCTCATCTTACGTTTGGCACTCTGCTGGTAGTGCCGCTGCACCAACAGTGACTTGGAAGGTCGGCCATCCACCCGCATGACGGAGTCCTCGTGATTGTGCGCTGCATTACCAAATAGGAGAAAGGTAGAATGGCGACGGATCTAAAGCGGCTCAAGCAGCACTTCAAGGCGTATGAGCCTACCCTGAAAGAGTTGGAGCGAAAGTACCAGGTCAGCAAGAGAGTCTCCTCAGGAACGTTTGACCGTGTTAGCGAATTCATCCAATATCATCGGAGGAGGCGATATGCAAACGAGTGTACTGGTGAAAGGTTAGGGTTAGCGGTTAGAAGATATACAGCAGTGCTTGCCCAGTATTGTCCTCTGTCAAGGAAGGATTTTCTTCATTGAAAATAGGTGTAGTTCGGCAGAAATTCGGCATTTGGGCTTGATTCTACAAGGTCATTTTACCTTATGGGGGCCCGTCCCCTTACAAATTGTCGCTGAATAGTCTGTGTGTTCGTTGGGTTCTGTATTTCAATTCTCCAGCTGGCCATGAAGGAAAAGATGCTAATGAAGCTGGAGCGTGACCGCACCAAGGCTAAGATTGACGCCATTGAGGCACAGATGAAGGCAATGCAGGTCAGTGGTACCATCTCGTCGCGACGGCAAACCATTTGCAGATAATCACCAGGTAGAACCAAAGGTGTACATATTTGAGTACAGCAAGTGGGCAGAACCTTCGCCATGAAACAAGTGCTCTGCACCGTTATTGGAGATCATGTATGAACATAACGGGGGTTCGAAAGTCGAGTTATTCTTGGGAAGTCCGCTGTGATTATGTTGTTAGTCGAAGATGGATCGTTGCTCGGTTTGTTCAAAGAGGTTGACTCTATTCGTGGAACCGAGACTCGGTCACACCGACCTTCACGGGCACCTGCGTGCTGGCGACATCAGCGAGTGTCAAATTCGTCAAGCTCCCACAAAACGGCCTGGATCTCTGTTTCTCTGACGCAATCGCAATTTCAAGGAAGAACGAGGTATTAGCCAGCAAGAGACGAACGCCAGGGGTGCTGGTGGGAGCCGAGCCCGGCCCGTGCGGGGCCCCGGACAGCCGGGGGGTCAGGAGCTTTCCCCTATCTCGGCGCCGCCGAAGAACCCGCAACCGACGATGGGTGTCAAGCACAAGCATGACTCCAAATTACCAAACGAAGACACTGTGAGTTGTGTGCAGGGTGAGAGCTCGTCGAAGCCCTGACCCTAACCCTAACCCATCGAGTCAGAGGGGAAGGGGAAGGAAGGATGGAATGCTAATAGGTGCATGGTTTCGCATTGCTTGGACCCTGCAAGTGGTTTGGTCGCAAAACTGAACAACTAGTTGTCCCCCAGGTAAGTTCAGCGGCTCGCCGTGGCTTCCTTTGTTCCCTCTCCCACCCTTTGGCTGCACTACAGGTGGAAAACCCTTTCTTGGACCTGGTGTTCCAGCCTCCAACCGTGGAGCGGTTCGCCCTGAGGAAAAGCTTCAAGGGTCACCTGAACTCTGTTTCTGCAGTTGCCTTCCACCCACGCAAGGTCGGCAGCCTGCGAATTTTGCGAAAATCCCTCTAGCGTGAGAGCTCGCAAGGGAAGAAACCATCCCAGTACCCTCTTCCATCCCTCATGCCTTTGTCACCGGCCGCACATACCATAGACGCCACGTTCGTGAACCAACACAGACACGATTCGTTGAAACTTGATGGGCCCTACTTGCGGTACACCTCTCTGCTTATTGCCCTCGCCTATCCAATAGGCGATAGTTGCCACCGTCAGCGACGACGAAACGTGGAAAGTTTGGTCCGTGCCCAACTGCGACCTGCTCATGAGCGGCGAGGGGCACCGTGACTGGGTGTCGGGTGTGGCCTTCCATCCTCACGGGACCATGCTGGCCACGAGCGCGGGCGACAACACCGTCAAAATATGGGATTTCCTTCAGGTGCACTGACGAACACGCAGACATTCTAGTCTGTTGGACTTGGATGGAACGTTCCTGAAAGTGCAAAGAACCATTTAGTAGGATGTCCAACGGGTCGACAGTATCAACGGTTATCTGAAGTTCGTCGACGAGAAGAAGGGCACAAACTCGAAGAGAGGAAAAGACAGCGGTACTAAATAGCGGGAATATGGAAGGACCGAGCATACTGGAAACCTTGTGCTGCCTGTGTGACGGGCAGCGTAGGGAGCGAAAAAATGGCACCGCCGAAAGGTCAGTCGCCCAATCAATCCCATCTGTTGTTCGTATCTCCATGCACCATGTAATCTACACGATAGTATATCTACATAGGTAGATCACGCGGTCGTTCAACAGCAGTCACAAGCTATTCTGTGGGCTGCGATCTTGGCACGGATGGATGGGTGTTGCTGCCATCACGAGCTATTTATCACCAAGCAGTTGTGTCTTCCTGTGGTCGTTGAAATAGTGCTGGTGTCTACCGAAACCTCCCGACCATTCGTTTTTACTGCCGCCACTCATTCGACCATCTAACCGTTTCTCAAATACTGCGGCATCCCCCGATTGACGATGTATGCCGGATCGGGTGCATACGCCGAACATAACATCTGCGTCCCTTGTCGCAGGCTAGCTGTGCGACTACCTTCACAGACCACACCCAGGCTGTTTGGGGTGTTTCTTTCCACCACTCTGGGGACTTTCTCGCTTCGTGCTCTATGTGAGTGTCTCAACAACCATTTCTCCGAGACGTACAGGCAAGTTGACCACGTTGACATCGAAAATATGTGCTTGGAGAAAAACAGCACGTGGGTTACACGCACACTCTTCTTCACCGATACAAGACTGATGGTAGAGCTGATCTCCTTCCTTCGGTGAAACTTTGTGCACAGCAAGGGATGGAAAAACACGTGGCGTCCCGTGGTTGCTCTTACACCAAGACCCGCTCGAGAATCGGGATCCCTGTAGGCGGCTTAAGTACGAATCCCCATAATCATCGTTCGGCATGCGAATGTGGTGCTGGCTGGGAATACGCCGCTTGCCATGACCAGTCCTCTTGAACTCGTTGTTTACACGTTGTTCAGGGATCACACCGCGAGACTTTGGGACGTTGCAAGCCAGCGATGCCGCCAAACGTTCCGGGGGCACGTGGACTCGGTGAATGCTGTGGCTTGGCAGCCCTTCACCAACAACCTCTGCACCGGTTCAGGGGACAAGACGGTCTCTCTTTGGGACGCTCGTTCGGGACTGTGCATGCAGGTCGGTCAGCCTAATATCATGATATGCATTGATGCTGGATGATGACTCAGGTCATGAACATACACACCATGCTCAGGGGCAGCCTGAAACGTTTATGTGGCCTTGGCACGAGATTTTATTGAAGCGCAGAAATGCAGGCAGGGGAGGCAGGGGGGCAACACCTGTCTTCGTCATGCCCCGTGATGTTGGAAACAACAATTGTACTGCGGAAGCATGAAGACACTGTCTCCCGTTCCTTGCCTATCCTGTATTCTGTGCTGTCTATTGGGGACAGACCTTCTACGGCCACACGAACGCGGTCAACCACGTGTGCTGCAGTCTTAGGGGAGACATGGTGAGTTTCTGATGGCTCGATGCAGACAGTTAAGCTTAAGTGAGAGTACCATCCCATCTGTTCTGGACGCCAATTGTCTCACGTTTCGGTACTTTCTGCTTTTTAAGACTCTTTAGCATGACGACTTGTATCGCCAAGTCTGCCCCACACCTAAGTGGTGGAGGTATGTCTGGAGCCGTGATAGACGCCCAGGCGTTAACAGCCGGTGCGACCTCCATCTAAGTCTTGCATATGTCCTCGGAGTGTCTTGCCTCATGTGTGGACCAAAGGTTAAGAGGGGCACATGTTCACGGGTGATGGTTTCAGGTGGCCTCTTGTGACGCTGATGGCGTGGTGAAAATGTGGGATGCGCGAATGGTGGCCGAAATAGGAACCATGGAGGCCGGGCAGCACCCTCTCAACTCCGTCTGCCTGGACAGATCAGCCACGAGGCTAGCAGCGGCCAGCAACGACGGCACGGTTAAGGCAAGAACGGCAGATTTCATATCGTGCTGAGGTGTAGACGTGGTCGACAATACGGAAATCTTTAACTGAGCACCGAACGAGACGTACCACTTCGGGCAAAAGCTGCCCTATCCCCAAGCAAACTGTTTCAAAGTTTGGTTGGGAAACCCCAGCAGGTTGTCGCGGCTCAAAAAGCACTTTGTACCGTGGCCATAGCGATTGGGAGGCACTTTTTGCCAGCAAAACAGGCCCCAACCCTGAACAGGTCCCCACTCTCACCGCCGTCCATTGCCCACGTGTCACACGCAGGTGTTCGACACGACTTCGAGGGCACTAGTGGTTGAGTTAAAGGGGCACGAAGACGCCGTGCAGAGCGTGCTATTCAGCCCGGCCGACGATAGTCTGGTGTCGACGTCATCCGACTGCACCTTTAGGGTCTGGTCGTGATCGTTCGTCTCGAACAGACCCACCTGTTCTGCTCTCTTTTGGTAAAAAAACTGCTGTGCATCGCTTTCGTATGTTCCGCCTCGCAGCTCACATGCAACGTTCATGCTCGAAAGGATCTGTAGGCCCATCCTTTCTTAGTGGCTACTCGAAACCATAGCTTTCGTCCAGCCGGTTGTACGACGTCGATCTGATCCAGTGCATGCCGACTGCAGTTGTCGTTCTGGCTCTTAGTGCTTAGCTTGGCGGGTACAGTAGGGGTCCAATAAAGAAACTCTGTTGGTATCATGTAGAAGTTAGACAACCCTCGCCTTCAGGTTTGCATCAAGTTCGTGTTGTCTCGCGCACGCATGCGTGTGGTGAAAGTGTAACCGAGTCTTGAAGGCGAGAGCAAAAGTTTCTTGTAGATACGATGGGGTTGCTTGTGATTGTTTGATGGCGTGCCGGGAGAAGCAAGGTGGTTTGTCACTGCGTTTCATCTCAACGATGGGGGAAGGTCCGAGACACGGAGGAAAACGAAAGGTTGCAAACGTCCCGTCACAATAAATACTACGCATATGCACAACAATGGCTGAGGGGGCGTTCTGGTACGTTTGTAAAAGTGAATTATTTGTAAAAACGGGCGATTTGTGTTAGCCGGCGAGATTCATCCATGTAGTGCACAGACATCCTGTGTTGTTCCTGGATTTGGATTTCTCTTCCACAGATTAGAAGTCCGTATTGTTACTTGCTTGTGCGGGTAAGTCTGTTACCAATTCGTTCCATATCCACGCCACATGCGAATACATACATAGCCCAAGTTTCACGTGTAGATTTTGAACAACATGTAGTCTGTCTCGCTGTCGAGATTATTAGCGAGTCGAGATAGGCCGGGCACGCCTGCCAACATGCGTGTCAGTGTGCCCGTTGCCTCCAGCGCGCGAAGCTGATCAATGTGAGAGTATTGTACTGTTCTATCTTCGTCACCAGCTGCTACAAGCAGTGTGTTCGGGTGCGTCCGACACTCTGCTTAACCTTTATCATCTTGTGTGCAGCAGTGTTCGGGTGCGTCCGACACTCTGCTTATCCTTTTTTCATATTGTGTGCGGGTAAATGTTGCTCTAGACTATACTTCGAAGTGTTTTGCACTTACTGAGGTTGCAGCCAGCCCTGTGGATCCACACGTAGATGCCGGATTACAAGTTGCAGATATGCAGTAGATAAATAATACAGTAGATAATACTGTAGATGTTGAGAGAGCCCGCGAGGACCTGCCACATGCTTGTCAGTTGATTTCAAGCGGGAGAGATTATCCAAGTTCGATAGCCACCCTGCTCCCAACGATCTGATGCGAAAGATCGCCTGTCACCCACTCAAGCGTTGTAGACTAGACTACAGTACAGCACATATGTCGTTGTTGTTGTTGTTGTTGTCTTCACATTATTAGTCTACTAACCGTTCCGTTCTCTCTACCCACAGCAGTACATTGTAGTATTACCTTCTTCGGTCCGTACCAGTCCAACACTTGACGTGGTCGATTCCCGTGGTCACAGGCTACCAGTAACTTACCAACAAAGTACCTATACGAAGATATATAAAAAAAAAAAAAATGTACCCGAAGGGTCCGCAAGTCAATTCTAGAAATCAACGTCAAAAACACATGAGTCTGCCCTCCGCTCACCTCTACGGTTGGAAAAATGTGACTTGCTGATGGTCCGCCCTTCAACGCATCCAGATACATACTCCGTCATGATGAACGATTTTCTTTGGTAACATTGCCTTGGGGTGCTGCCATGTTCTCTGTGTATATTGACGCCATGAATACAGCAGTTGTCTAGAGTTCAATTGATATCATTTCGCCAGTGTGGATGTCGGTGGTTCACTCCTTGAATGGCATCTCAGCACAACAGCATCTCCGTTATTTATTTATTTTTTTTCTTATTATGACACAACGAAACCATCTCTATCATAGAATTATTGTGTGCGTACTCCATATGATACCCACCGGCAGGCTTGGGTCCATGCGGAGTAACCCGACACAGAGGATAGCACAGTTGTACTAGGCACGTACCCTTGGAATCACCCACCATGGATAGAAAGAGCGGCGACGGTTTGTGTGAGGAGCTATGAAGGACCGAGCGAACATCGAAGCAAAGGCCAGGGAATCAGGGACACGTATTTAGCTTGGGTCTCCGCACCTGTCTTGGACTGTCGGGTTTTTTTTTTTTTGCAGGCTCTGTATTTCTGTCGAAGAGACCACTACCTCTACCACGCGCGTGACGTCACGCGCGTCACGCGGTGTTCCGTCTGCCAACTCAGACAACCTATATCCTCCTGCTCTACACACCGCCGCCGCTCGTGCTGTGGAACTGATGTGTCACCTGTGACTGCGCTCCCGCACCTCCTTGCCGTCATCTATCGAACTGGTCACTGGTCACCGCTGGTCACTGCTGCGAGCTAATGCACTTGTCCATGGCGCCAACAGAAGAAGGGACAGGCAAGCCCAGCAACTGATTTTTCTTTTTCTAGACCATGCATACACAACTGTAGATTAACAATGAACCCATAGCGCGAGCAGAAGCTACCTGTATTACCACGATTTCCATAGCAGCAGGTAACAACGGTATCTCGGTATCTCTGCTGTGGGGTACTAGCAGGAGTTGATTTCCTGTGAAATTCGCAATGCCACTCTTCAACCATGCTATGCAACCCAGGCCTGCGGCTACAAAATGCCCATCGCCATGACACGCCCCCGTACTCCTCTGAGCCACTCACTCCCACTCACTCCGATGTGTGCTTGCGGTAGACTGCCCCTGAGAGGAGTAGTCTGTATGATGCGTATCGCGTAGTAAGCTTTCGCGCGGGCGGTCCGTTTTTTCCGATCGAGACAAAGAGACGCACACCACCACACAAACGATACACAAACGACGCGACAACTAATACAGCGTCCACGGCGGCACAGATTATACATCGCAGCATGTACTGCTGTAGTCTACATCGTCTGCGGCGGTAGTAGGCCTCCACCAGAGTCCATAAAAGGCTTCTTCTCTGTCCAAAGGGATTTCACAGGGATTTGTTGTGATCGACTGAGGGGGTGAGGTGGGGGTGCGGTACAATGTTTTGTCGTGCCGTGTGTGTTGGAAGACTCATTCATGGGCATGCTGCTTGCTGCAGGGCGACAATAGTTTGAAGGTACATGCATATGCATATGTAACAAATTCTAACGGCAGCAACTTTTCAGCCCAAGAAACCAAATTCTTAGATACAGATACAGAACCAACCCAACCCTAACCCTCACCCTAACCCTCACTCACGGCCTAGCGGCCGCGAACTGTGCCAAAACGCGGGCCGAAACGAGGCTGCGCCGCCTTGCGGAAATAGGGAGAGGGCGCTGGAGAGGAATCGACCGCCAAAACAACGCTCGACCAATCAGAGGGCGTAAAAGCTCGTAGATGGGAGGGTTGCGGATTGTGGATATCATATTTCGCGACAAAAATGTTGCGGTGCCTTGCGGTGCCGCATATCTGGAACACGAAACGCCCCTGCAGCCTGCAGCGTGTCTTGCGCTGACTGCTGTTGGCCTCGCCATGTACTCATGTTCAGGTGTGGAAACTATTAATAGCGACAAGCCTCGTGTGATCTTGCTGGGAGGTGGATTAGCTGGCCTGAGGTGCGCTCAACAGCTGGTGACGGAGCATGGCTTAAGCACAGAAAACATTGTGCTTCTCGAGGCGTCCACGAGGATTGGTGGTCGCATCAGAACTGATAAGTCCTTCATCGAGGGATTCTCCGTGAGTGGCCCATTACACGTACACATGAACACATGTCGTCAATCTCGCCGTTAAAGCACTGATGATGATGCCTCGCCGTCGTCCGTCCTCTTGTACTGTCCTTCGACCTAACTCGGACACTTCCGGCCTGCAGACCACTGCTGTTGCTGTTGCAGTTGTATGGCAACGTGTGGCAATCGTATGCATACAACCACCAAAAACTACCCTGTGCCCACGTGTCCACCGCTGCTGTCCACGCGGACTCTATCCTTTCGCTCTTCCAGCAGTCTATGTACCGATATGCATGACAACTATTATAACATCTACACGACGTGAAGCTGAGCAGCCAAGTGTCGATCGATGTCGAGATTCTTTTGTCAGATGTGTGTGAAACGCGCTATTTCGATCTTCCTCCTGTTTACACTTTGTTCGACCATTTCGTATCAGCGGTAACGTTATTTCCCGTACCTGACCTGAACGTGTACTGTACTGCCCAGCTCGACTTGGGAGCTGAGTTGCTCCATGGTGATCAGACTTCGCTCTACCGGCTCGCCGAGGAAAAGGGCTGGAAGATGGAGGAGCTCATCTCATTGGCGCAGGGTGACGGGGGTCCGTTGCCGGCAGACAGCAACGACGGGTGGGGGCTCTTCTACGTTGGGGGCGAGAAGCGCATGCTTGCATTGGACTCGAAGGTGCTGGCAAGAAGTTGTGTGCACTCGTAACCGTCGACGGTCAAGGGAAAGATACGTCGCGCGCAGTGAGATGGGGTCGCATTCGACCGCGAGAATGCAGGCGATGTTGGACTTGGCTGCGTGAGTTCCAAGATACCAGGTGCTCATGGAGTGCCTCAAAGGCAGTGCCCCGCGTACTCTCGGCGAGACCATTATCTTTCTGGGAAAAAAATTAACACATGCACGCTCAGAATGCCAAGGGCAGAATTTCCACCTTGATTAATGGGCCGGCCGGCCCTATCTGGTTCTCTGTTATCCAAACGTCCATCTTGATCTCGCGGCCTTGGGTTCCACTAACCTCAGCGGGCCATACAGATGATACGTCTGGTGGGGTTTCGCATCCCCGGATCTCGCAGCACTCGTAGCTCTTGGAAGCATGCGAAAGTCTTCCCACGGCAACATTGTGGGCTGACATTCGCGCCGTTGGGTTATATCGCGTGCGTTGGTGCCAACCGCATGTAACGATCGATATGAACTGCGGACCAGATCAAGTTTGCTAGCCTACAGCTTCTTCAACGATGCGACCTTTCCGATTGATTGGTTGTCAGGACCCAGCCTTCGTGCATCTGAACGACTATCTTGCAAGCCTGGCCGACTTGTGGCCTGCGATCAAGCTCCAAGAGGGGGAGCTCGTACTCGAGGACGAGGACGGACCATCTGAGATTGGTCCTGTGGAGTTGAATCCTCCTCCCTCATCAGGAGGAGAAGCGGCAGCAGCAACGACAACAGAGAAAGTAATACCACCCCAGCCGTTGCAGCAGCGGCAGCAGCGGCGGCGGCAACCCCTCTCGTTGCGTGACGGGCTTGAGGCGGCCGGCGTGGGGAAGTCCATGATGGGCGTCGCTGATGCTGGGTGCGCGAGTATGAAGCACAGACTCCCGACGTAAACGTACCTGCAGTACCAACGTCGTCACGCGTCTGCATGATATGACGCCTTCCTTCGCACACGCCAGCCCACGACAATTCCTGCAGTGTTGGTAAGTATGTTCATTCAAGTCAAAACACGTGTGTTTTTTCGTCCACCTGGGTGCCCAGATACGCGAACACTGTCGGGGCTGCTCTGGAAGACACGAGCCTGGCGGGCACGTGCTACGTGGAGCACGAGTGGGACGTGGACGGTGATCGCACCTTCGTGCTCCAGGTCAACACGAACTGCCTGTTGTTGCGGATCAGGAGGAGCTATAAACCTCTCAATCGCAGTGCAGCCGATAGGGCGACCGCATATCGATACAATCTTGTCGAGCTGCTCGAAACAATTGCGTGTTTCAGCTTTTTCTGCCGCGCTCTCTTGTGTAGGTTTGGCGCAAGTAAGGATGCCGCGTGTGTGCTGCTGGGAGTACAGCGAATGGCATGTTTTGCAAGTGCACAGGTCCGGGCACGTTGCTTCGAGTTCATGTACTGCCGGGAAACACTGCTGCCCCTGAAATTTTGCCCTCGGTTGGTTGTCAAGCATCGAATACACAACTGCGAAGCCGAAAAATCTGTATCAAGGGTGAAACCTCGGCTATTTTCCTTCTCTCAATGACTCCTTCCCGCAACAACCAGGGCTCGTTGGGGCAAGTGGTAGACGAGCTGAGCGCCGGACTTGAAAGGTGCGATGGTTGAGTTGTCCGTCCGGTGTCATACAAAAGGCTTGGGATCAACGAAGCCTATGTTCGTAGGGTCAGTGCAGAAGACATTCCTGAATAATTGTTAGCTGGGAAATTCGGCACAGCCCTCTGTAAGTGCGGAAGCCCGTTGAATCACACCGCGTTGGAGCTAAGAAGGCAACCATGGGTGTTTCTGGTGCTCCTGGGTCAGAAAGGCGTGCGGGGCTACCAAGGACACCTTGCCCCGTTCTGTACTCCATTTTCCCTTGTGTATCCACTAGTCACTAAAGGTTTGGACTTAAGTGTGTCATCCTCCGGTTGGCTTCATGTACGACCGACCGACGCTTGCAGCGAAATAAGAGGTCGATTCAATCATCGTTGGCATACTTTGGCTCCGGGCGATGAATTGGTTTTGAATTTGTTTTTGTCTCTGGTGCCACGTGCATGTGACCTCGTGCTTGCTTAACTGCAACGTGACTCTTCGCATACCTGCTGCGGCTACACTGCGAACACTGCTGCTGGTCCTGCTGCTGAATACTATAAATAGTTGCATTCAGACGGATTGGCCAGTGTCTAAGGTGGAGTTCACGGCGTCAGGGCTGGCGACGGTCACGTGCAGGGATGGGCGAATAGAACAGGGCACGCATGTCGTGAGCGCCTTGCCGCTTTCGGTCCTACAGGATGGGGTACGTGCCACCCAGATGTCACTTTCTGCACCTCTGACCTCGTTCTGCTCCTGTCCAACACATCGAACGTCGTGGGCGTTTGTTCATGGAAGGAACCCAATCACGTTGATCTCAATACCGGTTGTAAATTGTAAATCGCCCTCCAATCATGGGCAAAGGTTGCACTGGGTGTGGTCTAGACGTCAGGCGTAGCACCCTCGATGCACGCGTCAGATATGCATAGCAACTACAAGTGTTCACAATGGGCACCGCGGCGCAGACGTTCACACATCAGTGGGTCCCCCGCATATGGTTCAGGGGCCAGAGCATATACCACCATTCTGTTGTTGCGCCAGACGCACAACATTTCCAACGACGTTTGATCTTAACATGTACCATAGGGTATTCCTCTGAGCTGATAAAAATGTTGTTTGCTTGGGGAAGTGCTGCGAACAATGAAAGAAAGAGCTTGCGCCCCGCGAACGAGCGACCTTTGGGACATGAGCACTTTGTCGCGAGCCTAACCGCCTTGAGAAACGAATATGCTTGCTTGCTTCCTTGCCACCACGCCTTCATGCAAGCAGCACCGCTCCTCTCTTTGACATGTAGTTATTATGGCCGTGTAAGCACGTTGATATTTCTCTTGAACAATGCCGAAATCCTCCCCCCTCTGCTGCGTCAACAACATGTAGGATGTGGAATTCGTACCTCCTCTGCCAGAGGCGAAGTTGGCTGCCTTTCAACACATGGGGCTCTGCAGCATCGTGAAAGTGATACTCAAGTTCGATCGCCGGGTGCTACCACCACTGCTGCACGGCTGCATCTGCTCGGAGAGTTTTATCCCGGAATTCTGGTTCAGGTGCGCTCAAGGAGAATTCGAGAAATGTTTGAATCTAGAATGTGGTCTCCAACAACGACGAGGTTATGACGGTTCTAGGGATTTTTCCTTTGTGCCACTGATGTAAAGTAGGCTGGGATCGAATACTCTACCTGGAGGATTGAATAATCTAACCCTAACCCTTCACCGCTGTGTATGACCCTGTGTATATACATTTTCCCGTGGTACTACCCCACACTCGATGTGACGATTAAGACCCCCCCTCCCGCCCCCCCCGGTGTTTGCCATCGGGGTTTGGGTTTTCGTCGCTTGGCAACGACGTTGTAAAACAAGCCCCCCACTCGGTGTTTGCCATCGGGATTGGGTTTTCGTCACTTGGCAACGACGTTGTAAAACAAGCCAATTCACTTCGTGAACTCGGCAACCAGGTTACCGTTTTTTTTTTTTACCTCGTTTTTTTTTTTTGCGGTAACCATAATGGTGGTCGAGTAGATCATGTTGTGCGGGGTGGAGAAACCTCACTCCGCGCAACGGGGGATGATCGCACCACGTTGTGTTAAATTGGTCAAGCTTCCTCGAGGCAGTTACACAGTGCTTACAACTGTCTCTGGAAGTGAAAGCACCAGAAAATAAATTAAGTCATACGTAGCTGTCATCCGTACGCAAGGAAGTAAGCACAAGATGCCGAACACCCTTAGCAGGATGCAGCTCACCCTTCATGCGACTCGCCAAATACCTCACGGCGCTTCGCGCTTGGTGATGTGAGAGCCTGGTCCGGCGAAAACCCGGCGTGCTCTGTCCCGGTTTTG